AAGCTCTTTGTACCAGCGTCTGAAGCTCCTGCGGCTTCTTTGGCATCATCCACTACAAAATACCGGATGTGCTGCTTCTCGGCGAAGAAGGTCTGGATAGTACACTCCCGCCACGAGCTGCCCTCGACTTGCTGTGCTGGCTTCTGCTGGTGGGCCTTGGACACGTGCACCTCTAGGGCGTGCTTCGACCGCGTGAGGCAGCCAGTGCAGAGGCAGCATGTGAAGGCTGAATAGCAACGTAGGCCGTCGATGGCCGCCGAGCAGGGCGAATTTGGTAGCACCACTCGACTCGGCAGCTGCAGCTCGTACGTCGCGAAGAGGTCGAGGAGAGCCTGCAACTGCGGCCCTTTGCGGTGGTGTGGGGGCTGCCTCAGGTGTCGTTCCTGGCTACTGCGGGAGGGGAGGAGGCAGGTCTGGCACTCGACGCAGAGCACCACACCATAGGCTTGGATGTACGGAAAGCTGGCTGCCATGATCTCCTCGATGTCCCCGCGATTCTATTGAGCCGCCGTACGGCTGTAGGGCTGCAGGGTGGCCCCGGGGGGATTTTTATATTTATGAAAGAATATTCATGAAGTAATGGCCCGTGCAGAGCCCCTGACCGGGGGTGAGATTAGGTGGTCGGAAAATATTTATGCCATAAATACGCGAATTTCTAGGGCTAGTGGTTTAAGTAATAGTCTTAGATAGCTAGAAATCAGATTCAGGACGGAAACATCAACTTAATTCCTCTTACTATCCTCAATCTCATTATATATCTCCCCCACCCGCCGCCACACCTGCATCTAGTTAATCTCCCGCCTCCCAAACTCCTCCTCCCCTTGCTTATTCATCCACTACTACTACCACTCCGACCCTCCTCCAAACCCAACCTCTTGACAGATCCCGTGGAGCTGGCCCACCTAGTGTAAGAAGAAGATTCCGGGGAGCATCAGATGTAGGTAATCACATACGCCCTAGTCCTTGACTATTATACAGACGGATTGTGACAACCCGCACCGGAAGCACTAGTCACAGCTAGCTAGTTGGAGCCGTGAACGCCACTACCGGTATACTACTATATCACAGCCCTTCTCACCAGCGTACGGGCAGTCCTAGTGGCAGTAGCTATACCCCTCTCCCTCAACACGCATAAGCTGGCAGTAGATGCAATGTGCGTGGAGCCGCTAATAGAACTGCTCAAGCTGCTCGTTCCGCTGGATACCGAGTTGCAGTGCCTAGTAAATGACCTCCACACTACTCTCTTAGCTACCACTACCACTACCACTGCCACTGCCACTACCACTGCCACTGCCGTCCTCAGTCTCACTCCCTGCCCTATCCCTTTGCTCGAGTGACTCTTAGCATCGATCACAGAGAATGCTGTCGGTTATGCGACAGTCAGCCCCTTAGAGACAGCTGTCTAAGTGCTGTGTGAGAACAGCCCGCCGACAGCTGCCGCTCTCAAAATACTCAGTTAATACCGCCTCGTCCTGCGCCTCGACTAAGTATGTGTTGACAAGCTCTTGCCGCAGAGCGGGGAACTAGCTACTACTACTATCGCTACCACTGCTTGATGGAAGAATCACAACTAAGTCACTGATCTCACCCACGCGTCCTCCCCGCCCTGCCTGCTATATAAAGCTAGTCAGCCCGTACGGCCGGCCGAGATAGATGATGTAAATAACTCCAGGGATATCAATACCTATCCCGAGCGCGCTAGTTGCTACGATCCACCCGCCACTGCTACACGCCCACTGCTCGAGCAGCTCTTGCTTGTCCGTAGCAGTAGCCTTGTAAAACGGGCAGTCTATCTCCTCGGCAATACTCTCTCCTTGTGTATAGCTCCGGACATAGATCACCCCACGTGATGCTAGTGGTAGTAGTAGTCGTCGGATGAGCGGCTCTATAGTTTCCTATAGATCCTTCCCGTAGCAGTCGACAATACGATACCGGATCGTGGGCCGTATGGTCGACTATCGATATAGCTGAGCATGCTCGAGCAGCAAATTAGCACGGAACACTAGCTTAAGCGTAGTTAGAAGCGTAGTAGTCAAATAAGTAAACCGGCAATCCAAGTACTATAACTGCTATAGCTCTCGTAGCTTGGCTCGGTATAATGTGTCTATCACAGCCATATAGCACTCGTTAAAGAAGACGTGTGCTAGTTGCTTACTCGGCTCAAGTCCTTTGGCAAAGTGGAGAAAGTTAGCCTCAACCGCCCGGTCCGCACTAACGATAAGTAGCTGCGGCAAGAGCTTCCACTACCGCTACCACTACCACTCCTCACACGTAAGCTAGTGCCCTCGTGCTCGCGTAATGAGATCATCGACGAGAGCAGCGAACGGCACTACGACAACTATAGTCTAGCGGGACGCCATTGCAGCAACCGAGAAGAATAATAGACTCTTACTACTACTAGTGCCGAGTACAATAATCTGCGGCTAGGCCGGCGTGGCAGAATAGACTAGCTTAAGTGCGTGAGCTTGCCCTTCAGATCGGGGCGCTGCTCTGAGCCCTAAGATCCTCTGCAGTCCTTGTAGAGCACGACTAACCTCGAGCTTCGGCCGCTTGACCGGTTGCTGCAGTAGACTAGCTGGACGCTTGGCTACTACTACTGCCACTACTACTACCGCCCCCTTAGACTCGAGATGCAGAAACGCGTGCTATACTCGTGATACCTAGCTGTATGCGCTGACTAGATCCGGCCCGAGCCGGTTGAGAAACGCGCCGTTAATAGCATAGCGTAGATCGGCCGTCGGCTTGCTATAGGCTAACTGCCGGACGAGAATATGCTCAAACAAGCTCTGCTCGACCTCACTATCACTCTCTCCCTCCACAACCTCTCCCTCCTCCTCTTAATCCTGCTTCCAGATCCAGCTAGCCTTACGGAGATGCTTATCGCTAATAGCAATAGCAATATATCACCACCCTAAGACGGTCAACCGAACTCCTAGATGCTTAGCCGTTGCTACTGCTATAGCCCCTAACAGCTAGTCCTAAATCCACGGCCCGCGCTCGTCGGCAAAGAGAAAGTCGCCTTTAATCTTCTCTACCACACGTGAGAATGGCAGGACGTAGACTAGATACTGTGCAATAACCTAGCTAAGCTATTTCGGGAAGCAGCGGAACACATACTCGATCTTCCCTCGGCGTTTGAGAGACTTGTTATAAGTAGTTACCACCGCTACTCGCCCGTTGATCACAAAGAGATTCCGGCTCGATATAACGCTATTCCATACCTTGATAGAGCCGATCTCGGGACTGCGTGCGGGCTGCCCTCCCATAACGTGCATAGCAACTATTAGCTTGAGCAAAAACTGCTTCTCACGATCTAAGTACGCCTTGCACGGCTAGTCAGCCCATTCTAGTTGGCTACTACCACTACTATTGCCCTTAACTAACGTCTGGCTATTATACAGCATCTGCTCCCACAAGAACTCTTAGCCCACCTTCTAATACGTATTGTTTGGGTGGTTAACAAAGCTATACCCCTTCTGCTGAAACCGCTGTGTTGTCCCCATACTATCGACTAGCTGTAGCAGTGGCACTAGCGTAACACTCTAGTGAAACAGTAGCTTATAGAGAAGCCCTTCTAGCTCAGCAGTCAGCGCTTAACACATTATCCGTACCTTGGCTATTACTACTCCCTTGCCCCCGTAGAAGACGGTTTAGCGGTCATCAGACTAGTAGATATTAGCCTCGGACGGCTAGACCTGGTTGATGGCCTGTCCACGTACTAGCTATAAGAGGATGCTAGATGCTAGCGAGAAAGACCCTTCACACAATTGATCTCTCCGTAGTTGATGGATGCGCTCTACTACTGCCCCTACCACTGCCCCGATCTCCTTTCGGCCCTGTAGTCCGAGCTCTAGCCAGCCCTTCTCTAAGACAGCTACTTTAAGCATAAGCAGCCGGATCATCTAGATTATATGAGCTAAGATAGGGGTATATTAAAATAGCGGGTAGAATCTCTTTGTTTGGGGATTAACACCACGTACGGCCAAGTAGTGTATGACTAGCGACTTGTATAAGAGCAGTTGACTAGTATCTTGCGCAATAAGACTAATAATCAGTCCCATTAGTGTAGAATCGAGTGTGCTGTCTACTACTACTACTGCCTCCCGTACTCTCTTAACGCAGACTAACTGCAGCTTAGAGAATATGACTCCCGTCTTAGTCTCGTCGTCTATAGACTCAGGAGCAGTGCGCTGCTGCAGAATGCGCTCCTAGCTCTATAGTAGTCGTACTAGTTCCGGCTCAGTAGTAGTAGTAGTGGCAGTAAACGCAGCGGTAGTGACTAGGTTGTGCTTGGATCCTACTAGCACCTCTTCCCAGCCCGTATACTGTAGCTACGGGTCGATCTCAGCGGCTACTGTGCTTACCTAGTATTAGCCCTCTTCCTTGATCATCCACTCTACGATCTTAGCCTTGATTGCGGCGCTAGTATCACTACTGCTACTGCCGCTGCTATTGTTGACATCATATGACTAATGCGTCTCGTTTACCACCTAGTATCGCGCTCTCTTCTCTCGGAACCACGTCTGCAGCTGGACAGCTCTGAACAGCTCCTCGTCTTTTAAGCGCTTCTTATTATGCTCTATATTGCTGTGCTATCGTATAACACGCCGGTTGGTCGTCTTATACGCGCAGTCTCTGCATTGGAAGCCGTCGACCATTGGGAGGACTAGCTGGGGCAGAGACCCGTCTAATGGCAGTGGTACGCTACGGAAATCATACTACTACTACTACTGCTTGAGATACTCTACAAGCTACTGTTGAGATTCGAGTCTGACTTAGTGTTTATTACATAAGTGGGTGCTGATCGCGCCTGGACTTAGAGCTTGCCGGCAGCCAGCAGAGTGGCAGATGATCACGTGGAACTTTGTATTTAATGTTAGCTATAGCCTTAACACTTCGGGTAGTGGCGGTGGTAGTTGTATAGACTCGGTAGTCATCTTAAAATCAATTAGTTTGTGAGAATTAAGTATAATAAACTATAACTCTAGAATGCATATTCTAGTAAATACATTTATTAACACAGACCACTACTTGGCCAGTGCTATTAGCGAGCCTTACCAAAGAAAATGCATATTCTAGTATATGCAATGTAAAATACTGTTAGGCGCGCGCGCACGAGCCGCCGCCCGCCCAAAAAAAACGCCATTACGCCGTAATAGTGAGAGTAATACCGTTAGGATGTCAGCCTATAGAGACAACGTTTTAGGCTCTTGTAAATTAATTCATTAAAGTTTGCATCAGATCATAAATGTACAGGAACATTGCGATCGCATGCACTTGACGCTCAAAGGATGACCGATTGTACCTTTGGCAATTTCGTTCGTATCTTCAGTTCTGACACTTTGGGAAATCATTGAATAAGCTACGGAGATTATCGGTAGTCCTCCGGCTCATGTGCTAGGGCGATAGTTCATATGCGATTGAAGTCATCGGCATGCTCACGAAGCGAGCGTGTATGATCACTGCTTCTGTGCTACTGCGCATTGACGATACAGAAGTAATATATTTCTGAAGTTTTGCGTTCATGCATCAGAATTGAACAAGCCAATCTTGGCTGGTGCTATTCATCAACTCATGTTCGATACCACTACCATATGTAGGCGGCCAAGACGTGATCCAGCCACCGCTGAATACATCATCCATCCAACTCAATGGGTCTAAAGGTGCTTGTTGACTCTCTACTGTCGAGGCAACAGGCTGGGGATCTAGAATAGCGTCTAGAATCTTCTCCAACATTAATTTAGCTCCTCGACAAATGTCGTAATTACCGTCGCCGGGTTTTGCCTTGTCGAGAATTAGTTCCCAGTTTGCGATGCTTTGCAGAAACGACTTACAACCCATTCCAAGGAGGAAATGAAAACTGAGATGTTACGTATTGTTTCCGACCGAGGTATATCAGCAGAAGGGGAAAGATTCTGTTGTTGTTGTCGAAGAAGCTCAATAGCAAGAAGAGCGGCACTAGGCAAACCGTAGAAGACGAACTGCACTGATAAGACTTTTAAACTTTTCGATAACTCAGGGCACTCACCTCCCAAGCAGCGTCATTCGCTGGCCCACTAATACGATCTCGGTGCTTCGAGAAAATTAAGATTCTAGAGAGCAGCTTCGAAGCAGTCAGATGCACAGCGCTCCAAGAACACCCTCCGTGTCGAGCTTGTATTCGATATAGGAGGAACTTTGAGTACGTGAAGTGAAGCAAACAATATAAATGCGAGAAGCAGTCATTTGCGGCAAGACCAGAGTCCCAACAATTATCGTCGTACTTAGCAAAACTTGGGATGCTTTCCCAAGTTGCTTCAGCTTTATCAAGGATAGTTCTAAGCGGAAGTAAGCAAGCTATCTTAGAACAGATCGAGTCACAAATACTGTGCTTTCTGACTTTGCTCCAGATCAGGGGCAGGGGGTGGTGTAGCCAGCGACAGATCCAAGACTTCTTCTAGGATAGTATTAAGTGCCATCTTGATACGTGCCCAAGTCTGCCTGTGAATAATACCATGCGTATTCCATCCTGCGGGATCAAGTCGCGAAATTGCAAGGACCATAACTGGAGTAGAAGCAACAATCTCATCATCAGTCAAATCGTATGGTGGCCGGCAAGTGCAGTAGCGCATTGCAAGCTGAGGTGGGCGTCCAAAGAATGTGGAAATATTCTTGTCAACAGAGTATGCAATTGCGAATGCACGTCTGTAAAGTGCTTGCCTTCAGCTTCCGTCCTTTGAATGGGAGGAGCACTATCAAGGCTTCTTACCTCCGTAGCTCTACCATAAATAATGGAAGGTTTGGGTTATTACTTGGATCACGATGAAGCCCCATTGCCAATATCGTCGATGCAAGCTCGCTGCATCTTCTCCACCCCAGGTAGCTCGTATCACCATAATGTATAGTGACCAGGCAAGTGCTTCCGTATAGCCTACTATGTTAGAAAGCATTATGAGCGAGCGATTTCAGGTGGTACGTACAGCCACACGAGAAGATCGTTCTGCGATTCTGCTCGATCGCAAAACGATACACATACATTACTTGCATGGACAAGGTCACCAACAAGCTCCTGTCTCTCTATTAAGCTCTGACTAGTGTTCAATTTTGTTGATTTCAGGCCCAGAGCGAGATAAGTGAAAAGGATCCCGAGAATCTCCCAACGAAGATTGGCTCCAGTAAAAGATTCATGGAGTGTTTCAACTGTTGTGTGCTCGTCTATCTCCAAAGGCTCTCCCGTCTTTGCAAAAATCTTCTCCGCAAGAAGAAGTCGTTGGGAATCTGTGGGGTACTCGTCTCTCAAAGTTTTGATGATTGCGTCCGTGGCTCTGCTGATTGAGATCCATGGTGCCAGAACAGTTTGGCTAGCTGCATAATGCATTTCTAAAATCTTCTCCAATGCGACATAATCAGGAAGCAGACCAAGTACACGAGCCCCAGTGGTTACACGATCGGAGCTGAGATGCCAGTGAGCGGGAGTACGCAGCGTGCGTTTGACTTGGGCGAGAGGACCAAGCCAAACATCGTCGGACGCATGTTTGCTCGCCTTGATGATCCCTGAAAAGCTTGTGGAACCAAGATACCCAAACTCTTCAACAGATGCCCTCCTTTCGCCGACAGTACTAGTTGTTGGTGCTGCTGGTGTCGACGTTGTTGATGGAGTTAAAGTAGATGCATGCCTCCAAGAGGTTCGAGGGGCAGGAGATGGTGGAATAGATCCTGCGGCTGGTGGAGATGAAGTCAATGTATGACGCCCAGGAGCTTGAGGCGTAAAAGATGGGTCTGGTTTGTCACTTGTCTTTGTGAGCGGCGCTGGATGGTAATAGCATTGTGCTTCCTGCCTCCTCTTTACACAGCGTCCACAACTTGGGCTGCCATGGTCACAACGTATCTTCCGAGTCCGGCATGGCTCACATGCTTGGAGCTTGCCATTCCGCCTAGCCACGGATTTTTGAGATGAATTATGTAAAGACATTGCAGAATGTGCTATACGATGCCGAAGAAATCTTCTGAGCTCTTCTTCAAAACTCCATGATACCAATTTGTTGCAGTTTATAGGTTGAAGATGGAGAGAGGAACTCGGAGCTCGGAACTCGGTGTGCAGGCAACTGATGAGTAATCGAGGAAGCAAGCGAAGCAGCCCGGAGACTCCTTTCGATGGAACTCGGAACTCGGTGTATTTTCCTGCACAGCACCTTGTTGGCTGCAGATTGCACACCAAACAGCATTCATTCATGAATAATTCTGATATAAATAGTAAATGCCGCTCGATTTTCTCTAGGAAGTATTCTTTCTTTCTACAGCAGCTCTCACGACTACAAAACATCAACTCAAGCAACATTCCTGGCATTCCATTGTTTCGGATCAAAGGCCTTCGATTACTTTCATTATGCTCTCCACTCGCGGTCAGAAATACAGAGAGATCGGCTACCAGCATGGCCTACTTGACGAATACAACGAGGAAACAAATCCGAACGGTATTGTTGATTTATCCTCAGCCGAGAATGTAAAACCATACCACAGCGAATGCAAGCGTAGTTTGATAACGAATTTGGCAGTTTCTGATCCATGGCGAGGTTATTCAGTTCATCAACTCTCATGTATGTATCCCCAGCGAAGAAGAAACCACATTCCGATTTAACAACGGCAGAAACTCGATGCATCGTGTTGTGGCTACGGTGAAGGGTACACCGGCACTCTGCGGCTAAGAAAGGCAATGGCTCTCCATATGAATGAGTATTGCAATCCTTTTGAGCCGTTGACCGCAGAACATATCACATTTGCCGCTGGTGTCACGGATTTGAATGAGGTTTGTGCTCTGCTCACCTGCGATGCTGATTGTGGCGATGCTATTTTGCTTGGGAAACCCAATTATGGCAGCTTTGCCAGGGACATGGTATCAAGAGGCCAGTCAGTTACCTCTAGAAGATACTTCGAGTTCCTTCTGATATTCTAAGCAGCATATCCCAAGTCTTCGCAGACTTCGGAGGCGCTGATCAATTCTCATCGGATTGCGTACCATACTACTTGAAAGCGTATGACGCTGCAAAGGAAGAGGGCATCAACATCAAAGCTCTTGTGATATGCAACCCACACAATCCTTTAGGTATGTCCAAGTCTTCGCCGGCTGCATCACCCTGCAATGCTGTCTCTAATTCTTGGTTAGGTCAATGCTATTCTCGAGAAGCTCTTATCGAGCTCATGAAATTTTGCCAGTCGAAACAAATCCATTTAATCAGCGACGAGATTTATGCATTGAGCACTTACCAACGAACCGACCGACCATCAGAGAAGTACGTTTCGGTCTTCGCTATTGACAGTCGGCAGTTTGTGGATCCAAATCTCATTCATGTCCTTTACGGCTTGTCGAAAGATTATGGAGCGGCTGGTCTTCGTCTAGGCTGCCTGATCACTCGCAATGCCGAGTTTTCGGATGCAGCTAGGTCGCTTTGGTAAGTCCTAGAGTCTTGCCCAGAATTCTCACTTGGATTGCTGATTCTGATCCCAGTCGTTTTTCTTCTCCGTCTCAAATTTCCATGAGCCTGGCCGCAGCTCTCCTCGAAGATCGCATTTTCTTGAAGAGTTTGCTCGAAAGCTCTCATTCTGCTCTGTATAAGAGTAGAAAAGTTGCTGAAGTGGCTTTGGAACAAGTCGGTATAAAATATCACCGAGAAGGGTGAGTCCATGCTGAATTTCAACCTCGGACCATACTGACGGTCTCAGAAACGCAGGATTGTTCTTATGGCTTGACTTGCGGCCGTATCTGCCAACAACTGTAACCAACGGGGATGAATGGGCTGCAGAGAAGCTGCTTTGGAATCGTTTCGAAAACATCGGTGTGCAAGTGTCATTAGGAAAGCGATATTTTGCACCTAATCCAGGACACTTCAGAATGGTATTTAGTAACCATGAATCGGTAGTCCTGGAAGGGATCAGAAGGTACGTCAAGGTTAGCGGTGCATGATACATTCTAATAAGGCACGTAGGATCAAGACAGTATGCAACCGATCGAAAAATAAGTCTGACTGGCCATGTCAGAGCTTGAGCTGAGCTGGCAAAAAGCATGTGGCCCAACGGGGCACTTCAACTGGAAATGAAAGGGGGAGAGCGTCGAAAAATTGCGGGACAGAAGCAATTATTATTTGGTTGTTTGACGTATGATGAATATTTCCATTAGAAAAGATTATAGATGTTGATGCTATCTCCGTGAAGCAGGGGAGAAGCCCCCAGACATTTTGAACTGTCACGTCAAGGAAACGACCAGAACCAATTGCAACACCTGAAGCTTTCGACTACTGACTACGACGTGCTCCAATTAGAAGATCAAATGACAGTGCCCTTGTTCTGTGCCCTGTTGACGTTGTAATTTTTCCATACTGCAATTGCAGGGAAGCCAAGAACCAGGATAGAACATGCAGAGATAGCACCCATCCTTTGACTGTAACCCCAAGCATAGTTGATCGCGTCTCTAGTTGGCGTTCCCACAGCATATTCGATCTGCGTCAAGTAACCACCAAGATAGATAGTTGTAGCATTGAATTTCTCTGCTGCAGGAAGAGCAGACTCGAGAGCGCCAGGGAACGTGTGCTGGTAGATAGCGGCGGAGACGGCATCTCCGATAGCACTGCCAATACTGCCGAACAAACTGATGATACAGAGCATCATGGGAACTCCGTCTCGGTCCGCAGCTGCCATGACGGCCATCTGTTCTCCAATAACAAGAGTTCCGCCGCCAAACGCGATAAATATCTGACACATGACGATGTAACCAAGGCTGCCCTCTTGACCACGGAAATGAATCATGAGACCTGCTCCAAGCATCATAAGTGGTAAACCGAAGCATAAGCAGGCGTACTTGAAATGCTTTGTAGTTCGAACATAGATGCCAAAGACCACGCCCCAAAAGCAGGAGCCAACGTTGTAAATCTGCGTCATGTATCCGGTGTACGTGGTGTTAAGGTTATACACCACGAGGATGAAATAGTAGTAGTACAGATCCCAGGAATAGAAGCTGAAGTTGAGGAGCATAGCAAGGATACAGGCTCCGAGGACAGTGCGTTGCCTGAAGAGTTCCCAGCGTACGAAATGGATCCGAGTGAACCACTTCTCCCAAACTGCGAAGACGGGAAAGAGCAGGAAGCCAATGACGATCATGGCGATGAATTCTGCGCTGCCGAAGGTTGTGAAAGCATAGCCTTCCAAGCTGAACGGAAGAAGAACCAGGAGGAATGCTGCCATCAGGATCAAAGCGCCCACAACTGCAACGATGATTAGCCACATATCCAGGTAAGTTCATTATCTCTTACCATCAAATTCGTGAACGTAATGAACGATAGACTGCATGGTTGTTCGACCACTGGGGTTTCGCACAAATATACCCATCTTCTCCGCCTTCAATTGGTAGAACTTGAAAACAATGGCTAGAGGTACGAACACCACAGGCATAATGATAGCGAATGCGCCCCAGGCCCATCGCCACCCACCGCCATTGTCAAGGAAAGATGTTGCAGCCAAAGGTCCCGTAAACGCAGTGCAGATGAATGGTGTGCTGACAAAGGCAAACGCAAATGCTCTGTTGCGAAGGCCGCTGGTATCGGCGACAAAGACATCCAAAATAAGGTAGATGGCATCGTAGCCAACCCAGTAAAGGGTGTAGCCTGCTGCATAGGCATTGGGACCTTTGCAAGTTGCAATGACGACGATGCCTATGATATACACGAGAACGAAGAAGAGGAAGCCTTCCGCACGACCCCAGATGTTCAAAACTTTGGCGATAACGAGTTTGAGGACACCGCCAACGATGCTTGCACAAACGCCTGCAGTGCTAACTTGAGGTGCAGCATTGAAGGACGAATATGCGTTATAGATGACGTTATTCCCAATGGATGACTGCAGCGCGAGCATGAAGAAACATATCCAAATCCTATCCCAAAGCTGTGTTAGAAGTCGTATATGTTTGTCATTGAAGTGATGACAAGTCCTACATACCATGCATAAGTCGCATAGACTACACTCTTAGGCCATACAAGAGCAGCAGCTTCAGCCTTCTGTTGGCCCGGCAAGGCATTTGCGGTGATCTCAGTTGGGTGCTCCTGGATCTCCTTCTCGTTCCGAGCCTCGAGACTGTTTGCATCGGAATCGGTAATAACAGCAACATCGTCTTGGGCAAGATTCTGGACGTTCTTGCCATCCTGACGGCCGTGAATAATATCCATGATAGCCATGATGAATCGCCACTCGCAGCGCAATATTAAGACAGTGGTATCAACCAAGGCAACGTTCGCACGGAAATAACAAGAGAGCGTGAGAGAGAAAAGAAGAAAAGAACTCGAGAGGGAAGATCGACCTGCATATGCAAACCCTTTTCGTCCCCAACCGGTTGCATCGGCGTGCATCGGCGGCACTAATGAGCGTCTGGTGGGTCTCGAGGCGGATCTGATAAGATTATGATTCGAGTGGAGTCATCGTTATTGGGCAGGGGACGCCATGGGCCCCACGAGCGGCAGCGGATCTGATAACTTTACTCAGTTCGTCAGGTCGGGGCAACCAACCCAGTTCAGCAATCCATTACGTGGCGAAGAGCCTAGAGCCGAGGTGGGCTTCTACAAATCGCGCCATGTGGCACCGGAAAGAGACTAGAAAAAAATTGCAAAAATTGATGCAACTTTCCATGACCCCCACTTACGGAGGAGAATCGATTCACAATAGAGTACCAGCAAGAAACGAGAAACGCGAAAGGAGAAACACGAAACAGGAAACGCGAGTCAAAAGGAGGCCATTCCATTGTCATACCTCATGCTCAATGTCCGCCACCCTTGGAATTTTGTGGAGTCTCGCACCTGCGAATGCTGCTACCATCTCCACCTACAGACTCGTCAGACGCATTCTTGCAGTTGAGAGAAAAGACTTACGCATTGCTGCACTAGTTCCACGTCCTCCTTGCTAACACCAACTCTCCTCGTACCCCGCAAATGCCATGCCGTCTCGAGAGGAAGGTTCTGAATCATGATCCCGGAGAGAGTCACCAACTCAGTCTCCAACGGCGAAATGATACTATGATCCGAGAGATAGAAGCCGTATGTGATCTCTCTCGATATAAAATCGAAGTCTCTATGCGCAGCGAATTGATCCGTAGCCGTTGAAAGATTGCCCTCGTAGATAGTATTAAGCCACTTCTCTCCTCGAGCTCTGTTTTGTAGACCTGCTTGCCAATGTTCCCTACCACATTAGCCAAGTCTCTCACACTGGCATATGCACGAACCTTGAACAAGAGTAGTCCTTATCCTCAGGCCGTTCGATTTTTGCGATAGAAAATAGAGCTTCGAGAGGCTTGCAGACACCCTGGAGAGCGACATTCTTCACCAATGCTTCCCGCAACCGGCGTATAAGAGTTTGCCTTGATTCAGATGTGGAGAATTCTGGCTTCTTGAGCAGATAGCTGTACAAACTCACAGCATGTTCTGGTTCTACCCCAACAATAGCAGAGAGCTGATAGATATCAACACCCGCTAGCAAGAAGATTCAGAAATACCCACAACCACCATGTACCATTTATCGTCTCCCAGCGTGTTGTGAGGAAACTTCTTTTGCACGTCTTCGAAGAGGGCGACAGCATCTTGCTCAGATGGTCCTTGAGCTGCCATTGTAGTTGAATATCGTCGCATCTGCCTTAGGTACGGTGAAGGCTGTTCGCAGCTGGGAGGATACCGAGCAGGGTGATGTCTGTTTTTGTTCCACGGATCTGTGTCGTCAGCGTTGGTCTCTGCAACGGTAGATGCAACTTACAAGCATACCACAATGTCTTTACTCTCGGAATACTAGTCCTGCGACCGCATAGAATGTAATGACTGAGAGGATTCATTCCAGAAGATCAGAGTGTGACCCAATGCTTTAACCTTAGCTCCCACTTCACCCTTCCGTCCAAAGAATCCGCACAAGCCCGATCTTCTGGGAGCATATGAAGTGGTGGACAGAGTCTGGACGAAGTAGAAGGTCGGCGGAGTGTTCTGCTTCTTGCTGCGTCAATGTCAGTCCTTCCTGAACATTTCACAAGGCTGAGACGCGCTAAAGATCAGGCTGTCACATTTCTTTATCTTATCGACCTCAACGACAGCCTCGAACATCAACAACAGCATCTTCCCATCTCTGCACGACAACATGGCCTCTGCCGATCCGATCACTGCCATTACGGTCAGTCTGCCGCCGGCAGAAGACTACCTGATGTACCTCACTATCCTCGAATACAACATGAGCCCAGAGATTCTGCCAACTTTGGAGGGGTTCCTACAAGATCCCGAGTTGACGCAGCATATTGGTTGGGACTTGATACATCTGCTGCTGCCGCAGCCCGGGGCGGAGAAATGCCTCACTACGATTGCTCGCCTTGGGAATCCGCGGGAGGTCATACTGAAAGTGACAGAAGAACTGCAGAAGCTGGATCTGGAGAGCGTTGAGGAAGAGGGGGAGACACCACCTGGCACAACACCAAACGACCTCGATGGATTCTGCACGCTGGTGAATCTGCTCTCAATATTACATCCCCGAATCAAAACGAAACATCCATCCCGCTTCCTCTCAACATCTCTGATGGCAGTCCTCACAGCCTTCCGCCCCTCAAACAGAGCTACTCTTGCCCTCATCGCATTCGTACATACAGTATTCCCGGGAAAGAAACGACCACCTCTTCCTGGGCGAAAGTCCAGCTTGCAGATCCCGACGAGCAGCTTGACAGACCAAACTGCACTAGATCCCGAGGCCCAAGATGAAGACCCTGCCGAGTCTGCCATCCAAGCAAAGCTTCTGCAATCTTTCGTAACCCACGTGTTGGAAGAATATGTCAACGCTAATACCTTAGAATGGGCCGCAAGGCTACAGGAAGCTTTTGAGCCGAGGAAGGTTGTGGCTGGAAGAACGAGCTTGGGGGAGGCATTTCGGGAAGAAGTCGAATTGCAGACTCGGGACACCATTGTAGGACAACTTGTGGTAAGTCGGTTCTGTCAAGTGTATGCTTCCACTAACCTCCTCAGGCAATTGCTCGCGATCTTGGCCTAACCCAATACCCTGTTCTCTTCGATGCTATCTACAATACCGATTCGCATCCTTCCGAGTACGAAACCGAATACCCCTCTACTCCTGGGGACATACCTTTATCTCAAGCAGGATCACTGTTCCTCATAACATCCTTCATCTTCTCCTCGATAATCTTTGGGTCCCAAATGGCAGCACCCGAGTTGTCTATATTTCCTGATCATGCCAAACTGGTGAAGCATTTCATTGGGACGAATGGACCAATGAATATCGGTGGCGAAGAAACAGGTGTGATAGATGCTATCTTGGGCATTGGACTATGGCTGGAACATCACAATCACTTCGTCTCAGGACCACTTGAGGATGAAGACTTCCTACAGCATCTTCAGTTCCTGTCCTTACTCTCAGCGAACAATCCGTCACCAACTCTTCGATATGCAGCCCATACTTTGACCTCGTCGATACTTCATGCGCACCCAGTTGATCGCTTACGATTAACATTCATAACAGACACATTGGAGGAATGCCCTTTCGAAACCTTGAAGGGCTCTGCAGTATCATGGCTTAAGGAAGAGATCATCACCGCCCAAGAACGGAAATCTCACAATGCTTTTGATTCTACTGTTGCATTAGCTGCTGCCCAACCATACTTATTTCCCGATACATCATCTTTAGCCAGTGCAGATGATATGGAATTGATACAGGAGCTAGAACAATCATTCCCGTTCCACATGTCGGTTGTCAATTTCCTGTATTTTGTTGGAGGAAAGCAATATACTCACGTGGTGCCTACTGGGATGATGAGTGTTGTGGAGGAGATTTATCTGGGACCTTTGAGAACTGCGCAGCAAAAAGCTTTGAAGTTGGTCGAAGCCGAATCTGAGAACAGTAGTGGAGGATCAGTGGTCGAACTGCAACTCCTTGGGGATCGAATTGCGTTATGCTCAGCACAGATCAATGATTGATGAATGCATGATTTATTGTTCTTCCTGTCCTTAAATTACATGTCTTCTTCGAATCCCAGCAATCATCCATTCTCATGCGAGACTGGTACTCTCGATCCAGACCTCTGCCGGTACCAAAACTGGCCCTTCGTCATGATTTTCTCCGCAAATGTTTCCCGACACCTCCACTAAAAGACCCATCATAGTCCTTGATAGGATGCCCTAACAATTGATCATCGTGTTCTTAATACCCAATATGTTAGTGTGACTGTAGATGTGGATTGTGGTTTCGAGATACTGTCATCGGAACACACCTGATGCAAGGAAGTAGACCGGAAGGTAATTCTCTGAGTCCAAGGGACGTAGGTATAAAAGCTGCGCTACTAGCTTAGATGTCGCTTCGAGTTTACTTAGTTGTTGATGTCGGATCCATCAAGGATCATACTGGTCTGACATGGATTCATGTGCGCATTCTTTAGCAATTCTCTCAATGCCCCAATCAGTATTGTTGCGTGCTTTGGTGTCCACGTCGTTCTTCGCTCATCCGAAGTGACTGCCAAGCGAAACCTTCGTATCTCCTCCGTGAAGGAAGCAATTCAGACGCTTATGCTTTTCGAACAGAATTGGCAAAGTGTAGTACTGCGAACCACAGAATGATTTAGTGATCTATTTTTTTGATTCGTCCCACTCAGGAAGACACCGACCTGGTACGTCTACGCTTAATTTTCACCTCACTACTTGCCATGCGATCCTTCTGCTCGTTGGCGTTCATGGAGTACAGATTTCCCATGCTCAAGGATAATTAGCTTCGATTGGGTGTCCTGTAGTACACGTTCCGTTGCTCGAAGTTGGGTCTGGCATGCTTCTAATGCTTGAAGGCGTTCTCGACTACTCGAAACGGGACCTCCTTCGCGGCATAGATATCTCAACTCTCGCGCCAGCTTTTCGTTGGCTTTTTGGAGGACGTTATTATTTTGAATCTGTTCTTCTGCGTGTATTTTGTCCTCTGTTGAAGTCCAAGCTACGCTTGGCGATTGTCGATCAGATGAATTTCGATACTTTATCAGAACAAGCACGGTTACGAGTAACACAGCTATGACAATCCATTGCAAGAGATAGACGGATGACATGTTTGCTGATCGATTCCGCTATTGAAATTGTGGACCTTCTTGTTGTGATGTATCAAAGACTTCGATTGCCCTGCAAGCTGGAATGTTGCCAGGAATGTAATGGCTGGCATGGCAATGCTTCCAAAAGATTCCTCTCAGATTGGAAGTGCTGCTTTTCAAGATGATGACGGAATGGGACCGAAACGAAAAGTGGCTCGTACGCAAGAGGGAGCATGATAGAGCTCAAGCCGCGAAAGACCAGGAGAACCATGAAAAGGCTCGGAATTTGGATCTGAAAATTGCTACGCTCGAAAACGAAAGAGATGCGACCCCGAGGAAGTAACCTATTTTCAATCAACGGAGCAGCTCGTACGCAATAATTGTTAAAAGGGGTGGCGTTTGAAATGTTAATCACCGACTATTGATCATCTACAGAGAGCAGCTACAGGATGTGTACGGAGGATACATTGAGACGCAGGGACGGAACTGGCAAGGAGCAAATATGTAGCTGACTGATCCCGAGCAATGGATGCAGAGCAGAAGCTCTATTGGATCCTGTTCGCGCAAGATTTATTCAATGTAGAAGCAGAAATACAGGAAAGCTTTTTGTTGGTCGTCGAAACTTGCCGTTTCCGGAATTTAGGAACATCTCATTGTCTGGGGTATAGCATTGCACCCTTGCTTTGTCCATGTTGAACAAATTCCATTGTGATGAGACCTTCTGAGGAAAGGCGCTCAATGATCAGCAGGTACGAAAATGGATAATCAAGATCAGAAAATCAAGAGTCTCGAAGATCGGGTCGAGATCCTACAGCAAGAAAATGCACAGCTTCTGGATCGACTCCGGACTGCGCCAGCTCACGGCTTATGGCAAGCTGATAAAGATGTAGACTATTATCGTAACAGGCTTCAATCGATAAATGGAAAACTGGGCGAATGGGCACGGGAATTTGCAACAACGAAGCCAGCTCCGTGGCAAGGCTTTTCGGACTATGAAAGATGGAATTTCGTCAATAATCAATTGAGCACCGTTACCAGACTGGTTGATGGAGACGTATCGAATATGCTGAAGACGACGGAGGCTGTCAGATATATCCTTGAAAGTTTCGCAACATATCATGTTTGTGTAAAGATTTTTGCAAACCCGTTCTTCGGCTCACCAGATCATCGGCTGCAAGATGCTGGCGAATTATCTTGGGTATACTCCGTACTTCTACCCAGTACGTTTCTTTAGTAGCTTCAACCGTACCTTTTGACCGGACGAGCAAAACCGTGCGGCAAATTAAGCCAGCTGCTAGAACTTATCTCAAGATTCAAAAATCGCCTTACAGGACATCCGCTGACTTGTAATAGAGGGCAAAATGGCTGCTCATACGTGGAGGTCGGATACTTTGCGGGAACTTAGTGACCCAAGATCTCCCAAATTAAGCTCAGAAGCAACCGATCGATTGAAACAAGCTGCGAAAAACCAAACTGTACTGTTTTTGGAATCTAGTATGCGCTGTCTGCTCCACCAAAGCAAAATGAATGAATACACAAGACGGTTGAGGGAGATCTTCGAGCTGGCTGCGGAAACAGCTCATGATATCTGGCGCGAGAGGGTATCAATTAAATGTCAGACAATGGCAGACTTCGACAAACTAACGGGCGAAGAAGGCAAGGGGGATTGGTGGGAGGATGAAGCACAAAAGGGTGAAAGATTTGCAATACTGCTGCTACGTCCCGAGTTGACGATAGTGGATGGTGCTGTAGTAGAAACTCCCAATGACGGAAAACAAGAACAGGAACAGATTGTTATCATAAGTGATGCCGAGACAATGTACGCCAAGTCAGGCTAGAGTCGAGTGAAGGAAAGGAGAATAGATAGGGCGAACATGGACTTCAGCACTCAAGATAGCGCTCACTGGGCTGGAAAAGAATAACAAATTCTACGATTTGCAGTGCAGAAGAAAACTTTGGAGCCGTTCTCATGTTTCGATCTCATTGATGTATCCTTACTCTCAAATTTGTTGCATTGGTATCCATGAACGCCAACCATACCGAATGACTCCTAGCTATGTTGACCGATGTAAAGTATCGACACTCCGCAATGAATAGAACGCCGGCAATTAGATCATAACCCAAGCAGTATCTTGAAGACCATTGCGACTAGTAGAATGACAATAGCGGCAATTGTCCTATCAATCCACATCGGAACTCCATCGTTGGACCTCCTCTGCACTGCTTGAACAGGAATCGCTGGTGGCCTGGGCGTCACAGTACCTGTTGGTTGGGGGACGCCTTGCGGAGGCCTTGCAGGAATTGGTGACGTTGAAATACTTGCAACTGTATCTGCCGGCCGAGTATCCAGAGCACCATCTGTTCCGGTCCCAAAGAACCCTTCTGCTAAAGAAGCTTCCTCCTCCGAATCATGCTTGGATTTTACGGTGCCCTTCAACTCATCCTTCCACGCCATATTCAACTCTTTTGGTACTTCTACCTCTTGCGACGAAGACCCTTCCTTCTTCGAGGCTTCTTCGCTCTCTTTGAGAATTTCGTTATTGCTTCGTCCGCATACCGAGCACGTCCAAGCCGAACTACTCTTCGCGACTCGTTCTCTTTCTGCAGCACTACAATCCATACCACCAAGTTGTCCTTTGGGGTCTGTTTCCATGAAACTCCTCAGCGCAACGAGAGCCGTTCGCACTCCCCAAGCTGGCATCCACGTCTCCTCATGATGGCCACTAATGCTGAGACAAATCTCCCTATTTACCTCGAATCTGCCACTAGGTGTGAGGAATCGAAAGGACGGAGGGCGCAATGGGTACGTAGGAGGTAATACGATTCGACCATGGTAGATACCTTCGGCAAATGAAGACGAGGGAGGTCCTCGCAGTGTGAAATGCCAGTCGAATAGATCAGCATCGTTTGCTGGGGCTGCATGGAAGTCGGGGGAGGGAGAATTGGCAAGTTCTGCTGCTTCGCGGACTGGATCCGTTAGAAGGGGTCCATTGAGGGGAGTCCAGAGCTTACGAATGCGTTTTATGGTGGGAGATTTGGAATTGATTCTTGACGTCGCCATGATGTGTAGAATGATGAGACTGCAAGAAGGGATTAAAGATTCTATTCTATCAACGCCAATAATGTTGCCCCTTGGAGCATGAAGTTGGGAGTGATCTGGACACTTGGAGCCAACACCTCTGAAGCTGGGCGAATCAGGTTAGCGCATTCGGAAAGACGTATGTTTCGAGTCACGTGAAACTCAAGAAACATGTGGGCACGTATGTTGGGGACGGGAGGTTGTTCAGATCGTCAAAATTATATTGCAGGTTTGTTCTTGGGTATTATGTAGATACAAATGATCAGTCAACGCCTTCATCCATTCCATCCCAACCTCTCACGTCGTCCTTCTGTCTTGCCAATGTATTGCCAAGCAAGGTATTTGTGACAACACCAACCTTCTGAGGCCAACCTACAGCAGCCTTTCTGTCTAGGGCTTTCCTCTCAGTCTCATCTTCGTCGCTGCTAATATCATAATCATCCTCGTTCCGTGGATGGAGGTTCTCCATGGAGACGGCTCCTGTATCCGCATAATCATCTGGGTTCCTCCCCAGAATGCGGTCCGCTTTCGACGTTGACCGACTCGGATAGGCGACATAATGTCTGCCTGCGCCTTCTTGCTTTTGAGGCACTGGAGGAGCTGGTGCTGGGTCAGCACCCCATCCAGCGGCATTCTCTCGCATCCGCTGCTCTTCCCGTTCTCGTGCTATTCTCTCTCTCGCTTCTAGCCACTTTGGACTGGGCTCCCAGCTCCATCCATTTCCAGTGGTGGTGCATATCGGAACAAACCATAGTACCGGCGTTGGTCCGAATAGGTGTCCAAGATTCCGTTTCCAGCCAAGATCAAATGCGCTGGGCAGTTTCTCAGAATCTTGTTCGTCAAGATATGCTTCGTATCTGTCCCTCGCGCGCTGCCTCTCTACTGCGTCCGAAAATTCGTGTCTCTGTCCTGAATTAATGTCGTCCATTTGTTGACCATAAGAACCAATGTGCTGATGCTGCATCGACTTTCGCAGAGGCGAGAGGTATCTTGTCTTCTCCAGACACTCGATCGTTGTCTGACCTCTAGATGCAAGTATAATATGCCAGCCTGTGAAGCCAGCCAGGACGAGGCCAATTATTCCCGAGATGACGGCCAGCATCACGTAATTCACTGGCATCAGCGATTCCGTATATTCTCCTTCGTTCAGAATCTCTCTCCAGACCCATACAGCAGACACTCCAAAACAGACGAAGCAGAAAAGGGTGGTGTAGATTAAAAATAGGAGGAATGCTTTGTAATTTCGCAGACCAACACAGGTCGCCAGCCAGGGGCAGTGATGATCCATCTTCAAGACGCAGGTTCGGCATGTCGAGCAGTGATGTGCACGATCCGGCTTCCGAGCTTGACACTTCTTGCAGAATCGCAACTCGCCATTCGCCTTCACAGTGAAGTTCGTCGCGGGAGGAGGCGCAGTTGTGGGGAGGGAGCTGTAGCCTTGGCTGGTCGTCGTGCCCGGACAGGTAAAGACAGCTGTTGTGTACGACCAGTTAAGGAGAACGTAGAGTGCGATTCCGAGGAACGAGGTACCGTTTCCTACAATGTTAACACGAAGCAGACCAGCACACTGGAATATTCACCTATCCAAGCAGTCTTCGCAGGTAGAAAGCCAATGGTCGCTTCCACCCAGACGGCCCAGGAGGTTATGCTGTACACGAAGAACAGTGGGAAATATGTTGCTCCCAAGCAGCAGTACCTAGGTACGATGTTAAGTTTGTAATTGGAGCAGCCACCGATGCAAGATTCAGTACCTTTCGCACTTTCTAGCCCATTTTCGAGGCATTCTGGTCGGTGAGGAGGCAGGACTGGGTCGTGCTAGAGTCGCCATTGGAGGGTCAAGAGGATGATGGACTATACATGTTGTGAGGTTGTTGGTGATGTGGATGTTTGTCTTAGTGGTGATGAGTTGGTTGTTTGCTGATGAATGGAAAGGAGGCTGAGGCTGAGTGAGGCGCTGACGAAACACGGGATCTGCCGAGTGCTCCTTAATCCGGTCCGGTTCCTTCGACGACAACAACATCGAACATTCATGATGTTGCCGAATGGCTTCACTGTGCATGGCAGAAACATAGGTATAAATTGAAGTTGTCACTCTCTGACAATAGATATAGCGGCACACTGGTATCCATGAAACGGCCGTTCTTTGCTACAGTATTCAAGATACCCCAGCAACATCCTGCTACAGTCACATTTTCCTGCTCCGTAAAGGCTGGACATCTAGGCCTGAAAGTCTGTAAGAAGTTGAAATGAGTGGATGGGGAAGAAAGATGAGCTCGTCGACGCCTACGATGCGCTAGACAGTCTCGAGCTACTTGCTTCATTCCTCAAACTGGTCCCCGAGCAGCCATGAATTCCTGCATTACATATGTAATGCTTCTTCATACCCAACACAGTCCAAGAAGATGTATTTACACACCTTGTTCTTCAGTACTCGACTGGGTGATTGGCATTGAACGAAATGAAAGTAGTCATGGACCTGGTCGACTTTGAGTGTCTTTCCCCCTGTAGCAACCGAATCTCCCTGTTGCGTCCTCCTCTTTTGCATTCGTTCAAGGCCGGGGAAAGTTGCTTTCTTTCTTTGCTTGAATCGATGATATGATTTGTCTCCTCTATGCCTTGATGAAGCTTCGTTCCTTAGTTTCATTAATGTAATCCCGTTAAAACAAGAAAGGGGAAGAAGGAAGAAGATATATGATTGCAGCGTAAAATCCTGGTCTTAGTCCCCAAGCACGTTACAAGTCAGATCATTTCCTTCCCTTCTTGTCATTGATCTGGATGTCCAGCATGCGCAGAGCACACTTGGCACGGCTTACAGTCCTTTCTGCGATTACTCTGAATTTGATGACAGCTTCTGCAATTATCCTCTCCACATCCGCTACCATATTTCTGAATACCTCCCGACTGATCGAAAGCAAATTCTTCGTTCCATACACAGACATTCGTCTGTTCCTCAATCGCTAAGCGGCCACACAGCATTGGAAGCGAGGATTTCTTTCTTTTCATCCGGGTTCAACCCAACCAAAACAACAACAACTTTCAATTTCAAGTTGGTGCGAGATCAACAACAACAACGCATTATCACGTCGAGAACAGCAAAGATCTTATCTCCTCCCCTTCTCCTCCAGCCTTGTCTGCAGAGAGTTGGACGGCAGGCGAAGGTTTTATCAGCGATCTGGAGTCTGCTTGCTCCAGATTCATCTCTCAATCACGCGTCCCAAACACGGAGAATTACAGACATCTGTCAATCCCATAATCTGTCTGCCCCTGCCTTTGCTGTCACCCCCGTCTCATCACACTCTGCTTCGCGTATTCCGTCCGCGCTTGACCACAATCGCGACGATAAACAAAGCAAGAGGACATTCTAAACAACGAGGAACACTATAGTCCCAACAATGGCCTCATTCCGTGGCGAGGAATCGGTCTACTGCACTGTGTGCAATGTTCGATTTCCCTCCTTCATTGCTTTCCACAATCACAAGCTCAGCTCTTCGCGTCACATCTGTTGCGAGGTCTGCTCCCAAGATTTCAATAATCAGAAGGCTGCCAGTCAGCACCATGACTTGGTAGGTTGAGCATTGCACATTTCCTCTTTAAACCAGCTGACCATTTGTAGATGCACTCGAATGAACAAGATCTGCGATGCCCCGGTTGCCACAAAAGATTTACGCGCCTCGGCGCTCTCATTGGGCACATCGAGCTCGAGACATGCAAATCACTCCCGAATATCGATATCGATCTTGCGAGGAGGGAAAAGGAGCAGTCGAACGCCGCTGTCCAGAGCGCTCGTTCGTTCAATGACTTCAGTCGAACGGGCGTATCTTTCAGCGAGGAGCCACACCCACTAGTGAGAACTCCTGGATTTCCGTCGCCTGCCCAGCGAGGCCAAGCACAAGCCCAAGCCATTGTCGCGCCGCCTCGTCAGCCAGTCTTCAAAGATGACGATCTTCTTGGAGGATTTGTCGATGTTGGAGGATCCAGAGGGCTTGATGCTGTCATGAATGCTCCTTGGGGTAATGAGACGAAGCTCCTCGAGCAAGTTATCGTCACGAACAGCGGGTTCCCAACCATCAATAACAAGCCCCCAAACATCATGGATGCCCAGGAGCCTCTCTCTACACCAGGTAATGCGTGGACGGGCCAACAAAGCCTTTTCCCTGATGCTCCTCCTGCCGTTGCCCCTCCCCCAGACCTCGCTGCTACAATGTTGCAGACCAATGCCCAACCAGGTCCAGAGGCCAACCCCTATGATCCAGACACTCCAGGTTTTGACTCTAGGAAATATTACATTACCATCATCAACAAATTCAAATGCCCTTATCGCGGCTGTGGGTAAGTTTACAAAACTTCAAGCGGGATCATGAATGTACTGATCAGATTCAGGAAGAGCATTAACAACCGAAATGCTTTTATCGCTCATCTCAAGTCGCCCGCCCATCGTAACGAGAAGCTCCAATGCTCCACCTGCCTGAGGTACTACGATACCGCCACCGCTTTGACGCAGCACATGGAGTCCCAAGGTGTTCGATGCAAGGTTCGCGAGAGCAATTCCTACATGACTGCCGTTGACCAAGTCACTGGTGGTGTTGCATTGCCGTTTGGTAAGCACCAAGACAATACCGTCAAGTATGTCGTCAATTCCGGGGTGTTTGATCCTGCTAGTGGTGGTGTTGTTGCGGCTAGCAAGTCAGCGGCTGAGGTGAAGAACCAAACCTTCAACAAGTTCTGGGAGGATCATGTGCCAAAGTGGTAAGCTGAGGCAAAAGTCAGTGGAGATATATGATGCTAGGTGGAGATTATCAGATGGCATGCGTCCTCTTTGCCCAACATTCCGTCTTCTAGTTCCAGATCCATTCTGATTCCAGTCTTCTTTGCATTAACATGATAACATTCAAGCATTCTGCCCAACCTATGGGCCCCGAGTCATCTGCGTTGTGATTCAAACTGTCATCTTATCTATTTAAATATACAATATGTTTCCTTCTGTTCTTTCTCATCTCAGCATTTTTACATACATCAACCAAGCAAGGTCTTCTCAACATCACCAGATTCTTGTTCTATATCCAATATGCCCACGTCTCAGAAGGAGTCGAAATCAAGCCTCAACAGGGGTTCAGTCAAATCGGCTGTCGACGCTCCTTCAGGTACCCAACGCATAACTTCATCTGCATATAGTCAATCCGGTGGCATGAAAACCCATACCCATCTCCACGCAGTGTCTATCAAGGTGCAGAAAGCTGGAACTACTACGCCGTCGTCTATGAGTCACTCTCAGAACTCAGCCAGGCTCACAAAAGCAGCGAGTAGCTCAAGGATCCCAGTCTCAGAGACCATAAATGTTGTTGCCTCCGAGCCCCCTGTTCGCTCAATATCCTTCAGACCAGCAGAGACTTCCATCAGTGGTAGGGAGATAAGTGACAAGCAGGCAGATGAGATGTGCAGGGAACTTTGTCTTAGAGTGTGGAAGACGGATTTAGGGAAGATGTGGGATAGTGCTCGTGCTGCTGATAAGAAGGGTAATGTGGATGACCAGCTATACGGACAATCGTTGGACTTCTTCTACTGTTTCTTACCTGTGAGTTGTCCCTTCTTCCCCTTCCCTCCTCAAATAAACCTTACGGCAGAAGACCTGATGACAGTAGATGGTCATCAAAGCGCCTGCCACTGATCCAGTCACCGTAAGTAAACAAGGACTGGAGAACTACAACGTCTTGTTCAATAGATTTGGGGATGGGGGGACCTGGGGCCAAGGACAATCTGGAAAGAATTTTCCTCATATGTGGTTTTCGGGACCAGGCAGTGAGGGTTTCTAGAGAAATTGGCAATGCACTGGTGAGTCTCAGACAGCGAGAGAGCATTACTACGAAGCAAGAGACTGACTTGATGTAGGAAGAGGGGAAAGCCTAAGAATATGTTTGAGAAGTCTGAGAGATAGGGTAGGCTAGCGGCGTTTGATAGTGGTGTTCGACCCTCAAGGACATCCACCACCGCAGTAGAGCATCTAGAATTCTGTGTCATTGTATCAATCCCATAGCCCATCTCATTCAAACTTCGATGTATCAATAGCGACAATCTTTCCTCCTTCAACCTTGTCACCTCCTACTGGGGCACTCAGGGCTCCAGTGGTGGTGACATACAGAATATGCTGATCATCTTCCCGCCTCCCAAATTGGCCCGCCGTCCCACCAGCCACCGTCATCTCATTCAATTCTCCTGCTGCAGTAACCAAGGAGCCATCCGTCTTCACAACGACCACAGTGTTGTTGCTATGTGTCATCATCCAAGCATTCCCTTTCTTGTCAAACACAAAATCATCGACGAGAATATCTTTTGTGACAATTTCTGCTTCGCCCACAATCTTTCCATGATCGTCAATCTTGATGCGACAGAACAGCTGTTTGCTGGTGTTGGTCCAATATACATAGCCATCTCGATACTTGATTCCGTTGATGCCAATTTTTAGTCCTTCCGGTGAACATTTCATCTCGTCGACTTGGACCCAGACCTCACTAGCACCAGTGATGACATCGACCTTTACGAGAGCACCAACTTCCGAGTCTGCAAATAAGAAGAAGCTCTTGTCGTTTGAAAGTGTTTCGAATCCATTTGGCAGTCCCGCATTTGTCAAATCGCAAAGCTTCTCGACTTTCGATTGCCCCTCTTTTTCAAAACTTCCCATGTCAACCTTCCAAATGGAATAACTTCCAGACTCGTTGCCTTTCATCAAATCAAAGTTTCCTGCTGCAATGTAGAAGACATCGTGCTCGACCTCGATAACACCTGTCACAGCAAGAACTCCTTCAAATTTGTGGACCACGATTGGGGTTGAGGGGTTGCTTGGGTCGACCAGGACTAAGGACGCCGTATTGACGACGGTGATGAGGATTTGGCCATTGGAGCGGATTGCTAGGTTTTCGATGAAAGTTGGGAGCGGAAATTGATGGACGAGATGAGAGGGAAGGGGTGGGTTGAGGACGAGTGTTTGGGCCATGTTAAGATATAGAATTAAATGATGTGCCAACGAAGAAGGGGATGATAATGTTCATTAGGAAAAAGGAATGATGAGTTCTTTATAATTTATAGTAATTTCATATTTCCCAACAGCATGTAGCTCCGTCCGATGGCACTTGCCAATGGGATCGACCCGATTGCCGTCTCTCAATTCAGCGACATCGACCTTGTCTCCTTGTAGGGCTTTACAATGCGAGACGACCAATCCGTTGACATTACTAACGAGCTGTATAAGTTATCGGATCAGGCATGCAGTGAACGCGAACGCGAAAGCTTTGAGATGAGCCGAACTAGCTCATGGTCCCGGGTGTAGGCAACCGGAGTGACGACTAGTCATGTACCCGCGGTCATCACGGATTTAAGGTCGAGAGCGAGATTATGGGTAGCAGAAGTGCCGCTGAAAGAGAGTTATTAAGTTATATGTCTAGATATCTCTAGAAGATTTAATGAAGAGAGACATTACATTTCGGCACAGCAAGGTTAGAATACAGTCGAGCTCTGGTATGTCGCGTCAGCAAGCGAAACCTGGAGACCCGAGTTCTCTCTCCCATCGCCATATTCCTACATCTGCTCCAATTCAAGCCCTTGCCAGAACTCCCAATTCCCTCCAAACCCAAACTCCAACGCTTCCAAAGTGGTGATATCGTAACAGATTCCAAAATCGTTCGCATCACATAATACAAATACAGCCCATCTCTCCCCTCCCTATTTCAATGCCCTCTCCGGACGAAGACATCCTCAAACTAAACTACCACTCCCATCACGATGAATGTTCCCCTTCTGAGTTTTCATCGTCGCTGGCCCAGCCTGGTACGTAGGCTGTAGCGCTTGTCGCTTTCTTGTTGTTCTCTGGCAGCGGTACTCGGGCTTCGGCCTCGGCTCTTTGTTGTTTTAATGCCTTCTCCTTTTCAAAATATCTGAAGAAGGGACAGTTGTTGGGGCTCAAGCAAATGCATCTCCTGACGCCGCTTGGGCATTCTGGATGACAGCAGCCTTGGCAGGGTTGTTTTGTTTTGGTGGAGTTCATGGTGTTCAAGGGTGGAAAGATTTTGACTGGAATAGTCTTTGCTGGAAGTTCTTATTGAGGTGTGGTGATCAAGATCGAGGAGAAGAAACACGAAAAGGGTAGGAAATTCTCAAACTAATTCAGCAATGAAGCAGTGTCAGGGTGCTCTTATAATGTTTCTAGAATTGCGAGCTCCGAGCACCGTGTACTCAAACATTCACACACTCCGCGGGATGATTACGAGGCTGCGCATTCATCACCTCTGTGACTCTTACCCTGCACCGAATCACTTCATCAGCAAGGCGTGAATCTTATGCAGATGGGACTTGTTCGGGGCCGAAAGGGCAGAAATGACATAGAAGGATGGGTCCGCGGATTTTCCGTCTCGGATATAAGTAATTTCCCGAGAGGATCGCCCAAATAGCTTCTGGCGAAAGCTCGGAGATAATCAAGCAAGAAAATATATCCTAAAATATATCCTCCGATCAAGTACCCGATTTCTCTTTCATCATCTGCCTGTACCCTTCCACCACGCCCTTCCTGACTTCCCCGAGCTCCTCTCTCCTCCTCAGACTCCCACTTGCTTTGGGGACATCGTCAATCTCCACCCTCGCGCCGCCTCGAATCTTGAACTTCTCCTTGGGTATCTTCGAAAATGTTGGAGGAGCAAGAACCACTTCGTTCAAGCCAGCCTTCACCTCTCCTCTGTCCCGCTTGATTTTCGCCCATGGATCATCATCTCCATCCTCTACTTCTCCAAGTACCTTCCGCTTCTTTCCCTTCTTCTTTTTTCCATTCTTCTCAACATCCACCTTCCACTTCACCTGCCCATCCTCATCCATCTCTTCCTCTTCTGCCAGCTCCAAAGCCTCCTGTCTCTTCTCCTGCCGCCGTGCTTCCTCTTGCCGCCACTCATCGTACATCCTGTGCATGCGCTTCTCCGTCTTCGTTCTGCCGACCTTCAATCCCAAAGGATCTTTCCCTCCTCGCGTAGACTTATTGATCAAACCACTAACAGGCAGTGCTGCATCCACTCTGGCTGAGAAATCTGACATCCTCTCCCCTGGGCGAATCGAGGGCACCTCTCCTCGAGGTTCTTCTACCTTCGCAGACTCTTCCTTCTCATTCTCTGCAGCAGCTGCAACTCTTCGTTTCTTCGCAGCTTTCGTCTCCTTCACACCGTCGTCCAATCCCTTTGGCAGCTTCTTCCCTTGCGCAAAGGCCATGAGGCGTGCGAAGGCTTTGGGTGTATCATCTTTATCATCTTTTCTCTTTCTCTTCTTGTTGTTCCTCTTCGCATTGATCTCTGTGGTAAAAATGCCATTCGACTTGGCGGACTTCGAGACTGGGAGGGGCTCCGCGACGGAGGTGGGAGGGAGGTCAACACTGGCAGGGTTAGCTAATTGAACTCGAAGACCCTATTAGTGACAAAATAAAGGAACTCACGTAGACTTGTCGACCTCTCCTCTGCGGACGTGTTTATGGGGCATGATTGTTGTTTGCGAAGAATTGCAGAGGCTTCCGAGTTCCAAGTGTGCGATAAGATATGGGGAATTTTCTGGTGCAGGGGTCCAGACGCTAAGCTTTCTCGGATGGATGTCACGACTCAAGTTGGCTTCAGAGAAAAGTCATCCAAGCTCGAGGTCCTGCAAAGAAAATCGGTCAAGTGCTTTCTCTATTTCCAACGGATCGAGATTCCAAGAGCGGCAAAGTCCAGGTCGAATTTCAAGAGCCATACATTTTTTCCCTTCCTAACGAATCATTCGGGATGAACGACATCGGACATGCCCTCACACTGGCCTTCACTCCCCTGTCCTATGCGAGTGAAGAGAGGAAGAGATTATATGTGGCAGCAACATCTGTTTCATATAACTTGAATACAAACCTCTACAATAAAACTTCAATCCGAGATAAGGTCTATGTCTATGAAGTAGGTCGCCATGCAAAGTTCCTGGTCAAGGATCCTCGTGGTCCCATGAGTCGCAAGACCATTTCTTTTCATATTGCAGACTTGCCATATTTTCGCTCACAATTCAGATTGCTCGAGATACTAATGTTCTTCTGACAATCTGCTCAAGAACCTAACTAACAGTAAAAGCAACCTTGACACCATTCCTACTTTCTTTCGTCATGACATACTCCTCCACATACTCCAAACAATCATCCCGATTCTCAATAGTTTTAAATTCTTGCACCATCTTCACAAGAAAGAATGCCATGTCGGTGTAAGCATTCTGCTGACCTGGACATGTCCTGCGACCTCCCATGAACGGAATATATTGCCAGCTATGTTTCAAACCAAGCATTCGTTCGGGAACGAAGCTTGATGCATCTTCGCCCCAAATATCCTTGTCCTTGTGCATAGATCCATAGACAAGTTCGATTTGATCTCCTGGTTGTAGAAGAATGGGTTCTCGTCCTGAGTTCCCCCCACCACGGGGAAGGATACAAGGCGATAGGCAGGTCCTCCAACACCTATCGACAGGATGTACAAGTCGAAGTGCTACATATGTTAGTGAATGGTCGAGTTTGTAGAAGATGGGTGACCTACTCTCTTCAATGACAGCCTGCACATACTTCAGGGATTTGAGAAATTCAAAGGTCAGTTCTTGGTTCGATGCAATACCGCCGACCTCTTTCCGCAACTTCTGCCAGACTCCAGGACTTCTAGCAAGATGAAATATCATATTTGCTGTCACTGTGCCGACAGAATCCCTGGCGGCGAAGAAGACATTCATAAGTTCACTTCGAATGTAAAGCTTATCGTCTGAGTGGTTCTTGACAAGTTCCCTGAGCAGAACATACTTGTAAGCTGATGATTCAGATGGAGTATCAGTAGATAGCCCCATCTCTTTGGTGCTCCTCTGGTACTCAATTTCTTCCTCGATGTAACCATCCACCACAGCATGAATCTCGGAGCATTTCTCAAGCCACTTCTTGTCAGTGCCAATCAGCCATGAAAACTGGCCTGTCATGTAGTTCTTCCTCATGCCCCGTAGGCCCTCATCGAAAGCTTCCGAGAATTTCTGCGCTCCGATTGTTCTAAGTGGTGTCCGAGTTAGTATCGAACAAAGTAGAGATTCGAAATGAAGCTGGTAAGTGGAGGGTTCTCACAATTCACATTCTGTCAGAGAACCAGCAGACTTGCCGAAGATGAACTCAGTAGAGCTATCTAAGAAGAGCATCTTCGTAAGAGGTTGGATATCAATCGTGGATCCATCACGAGGGATATGTTCCATGAAGCGCTGGATATGTATCTTCAACGAAGACAACTGCGAAACTTGTGATCGGCTGAAAATGGGATTGATGATATCTCGAGATCTTTTCCACAACGCCCCATCAACAGTAAATGCACCGTCACCAAGCAGTGGTCCACAAGACTTGCGATTTGTCGGCTCGTTTCCAAACTTGTCAGCTTCTGTAGCGGCGACGGCTTGAATCATGAGAGGATCCATCGTCATCCAATGATTTGCTCCAAAGAAAAGAGTATGGACTGTCTTGCCATATTTGGCGAATATTTCGTCGTCTAGAGCCAGTAGGTCTCCTACTTGCGTGTACCTGATCTTTCTGATGAATAGATCCAGTCCAAAGAATGGATCGAGGTGATTGTACTTGATAGGAGAGGAGCATCCAGCTTTGCTCGAGGCGGACGAGATCAATACTTTCTTCCACAAGATGTAACACGTCAAAAATACGATACTCGACAACAACGTCGAGAGTATAGAGATGGCCATTGTACCGTTGTGACGTCTGGCGGTATTCAAGCTTGCAGAATTCCGGTGGGGACAGGATAAATCAGATTGGGACCAACTTGGGATCAGCTTGGATCGAAGTCCTGAGCGACTGCAATCAGAACTCCTAAAGCATGATCTCAACACTTGAATGGCTTGCAATGTGGAGAGGTAGGTTATTGTAGGCAATCCTCAATGCTCTTAAACCAAATTTCACATGGGTCTAGGGAAGATAGTGATATCACGATCCAACATTCTTTATCCGGCTCTGCTGCAGTCAGCAGCATTTAACCTACTTTTGACTAACGAACGGCACATGCTATGGTACTAACAAAAGTTGGGTTTAGGAGCCAGGAAACCTGCAATGAACTGCGTGTACTCCTAGCAATTGTAGCTATGATCCATAGGTGACAATATTGGAGCACGCATGTAAGTAAGGGTTTCCACTGGAAATTGCATCCCTGTAGATTATTGCAGTTCTCGTCGAGAGCCAATGCAATCATCCATGTACAACAGATGAGGATTTGCAAGTAACAGAATACAAGCAATGGATGTTTCTTCTGTGGGATATTGAAAATGCTGGGGTGTCTGGTCAGTGTCAGAGCAGTTCCTTTTTGGGAGCTTTCTAAGCTGATGGAAGACGGCGTGCGCAGAAACTCTTCTGTTTGTTGAGATGTCCGACCAGGTGAATGAATTATGACACCAGCTCTAGATACCTACCTGAGTACGACGAGAGGAAGAAATTCCTCAGCATTATGTATTAACATCTTATCTTCAATGATCGAATGCTGAGGTTCTGGATCAAGCTCAGCCGATTCTCGACTCCAGCTCCAAACAAATGTGGCTCGTTCCACCCCGGCCATTGACGCACGTGCGGTCTCGACTGCCACAGATCTGCTCCAAGATGCGCCGCCAAACCCTTCTGGGAGCAGCGATGAACGTCCGTGGCTGAAGAACGGGCCCAGATTGGGTCAACCCATTGTTGCGCGAGAATGGGCGTTCGCTCCTCAAACAAAAATATATCTTCACTTCTCTTTCTCTTTTCCTTTCTTCTCTGCCTCGGTATTCTCTATCGTCAAACCCCTAAGTCAATACACCAGTGTGATTCCTTCCAGCGCATTCGCGGAGAGTCGGCGGCACCTAGACTCGTCAACACTTCTCGTCCCGCCAATCACCCCTTCAGCAGTGACATTCACACTACCAAAGAACACGACCAAGCCTTCACTTGCGGTATTAATCCGTCCATGATCATCGGTATAGAAGCGCGACGACCTCCTCCCGTATAATCTACCAATTTCTCCCCCCTTCAACCCTCGAAGTTCCATCGCAATCCCTCATCGCATGGCCCCCGGTTCCTGAATTGCACAGTTGGACCCTGCCAAGACTCTTCCCGATCTCGTCTGCACGCCAAAATGGTGTCCACGTACAGTAATGCACAACACATCTCCGAGCCTCCCGAAGACGATCGATCCGCCCTGACTAACGTCTATGATGACGACCACTTCTCCTCTTCCTCGCATGAATCCAATGCCTCGTTACGAAAGCCACTCTCGAGTTTCTGTACCGACGACGAGGAGGATCTCGAGGATGGTTTCGTTAAGAGGTCTCCCAAGGTAAAGAGATCTTGGTGGTGGAATATCAAGGATATCATGACCATAAGGGAGCGGAGGAAAGCGAGTCTGGAGGCGGAGGGGTACAAGGACTTGAGTCAGGATGCCACGCGGTTACTGGCAGATGGTTACGCTGCAAGACGGACAAGGAGGAAGCGGAATTGGTATAACTATTGTATATTTGGTGGGATTAGTGGCTTGACGATTCTGTTGGTATCCTTCACTCCTTTGTTCTTTCATCTGCTAATAATCATAGGGCTTTCCTCCTAGTTCTCAATCTCCTCCTCGGTGTTGCGACTCTCCTTTGGACCTCAGACCTCGACCATGTACTGCAGAATTGGGGACAACCAGGTACAGGAACTGAAGGTTTGGCGTGGTACCCGACCGACTTTACACGCGATATCCTACCTATCCCCTGCCATTCTCACAACGATTATTGGAGACGAGTCCCTCTATTCTCAGCTCTGCGGGCTGGATGTACTGGTGTGGAGGCAGATGTGTGGCTGTTTGATGAAGAGCTCTACGTTGGACACAATACGGCAAGCTTGACACGAAACCGAACATTTGCAAGCCTATACGTTGATCCCCTGGTCAAAATTCTCGAGGACCAGAATTCATCATCAGACTTCTACAACGGCACATCCCATGGAGTATTCGATGTTGATCCAGGGCAATCCCTTACTCTCCTCGTTGATCTAAAGACCAGCGGAGCTGAAACATGGCCTTGGGTGTTGAAGCAGGTCCAGCCGCTGCGAGACCGAGGCTGGCTTTCGTTCATGGAGAATGACACCGTTCACACACGACCGATCACTCTCGTTGGAACAGGCAACACACCTTTCGACGTCCTCACTGCCAACTCTACTTATCGAGACGCATTCTTCGATGCGCCGCTGGATACAATGTGGGAAGCACGTAGGGTCACACCTGAAATGCAATCGTGGCCCAAATTCGATGACTCTCTGCCAGGTGAGAGACTCGATGAAGAAGAAGGCAGCGCAGAGGAGAAGCTCCCCACTTCATCCTCCGAAACACAAGATTTAGGACAAGGATTATCTGGCACATTGCCAGATACAGAGTTCAATCCACTGAATTCCTATTATGCCTCTGTCAGCTTTGGCAAAGCAGTAGGCAGGATATGGAGGGGAAGATTGAGTCCTAGACAAATGAAGATCATCAGAGGGCAGATCAGAGGTGCCCATCGGAGAGGCCTGAAGGCTAGGTATTGGGACCTGCCTGCTTGGCCACTGGGCTTGAGGAATCATGTCTGGGATGTTCTGGTTCGAGAGGGAGTAGATTATTTGAATATTGATGATCTGAGGGGTGCTAGCAAGCAGGTCTGGTGATGGGACTCCTGGAAGCGTGACCGCCTCGTGCATATACCCAACAGGGTCTCGGCGTTCTGGTCTTGGATAAGGCGGCATATCTTGGCGTTGCTAGCATTGCTGGACAGCGTACATAGGAGGCAGCACTGAATACATTTTATTGATACCTTTCAACCATCTTACATTGCGTGACGTCTGTAAATCCCAAGAATTTCTAGCATTGTCTCGAATGCCATCAAGTACTTCAAAATGTAAGACCATCATGACTCCTACGAACACTGAGATTACCTTTCAAGAATCTCTATCCAGACGACCGTACTTTCAGAAGATACTGTCTACCTTAACAGTGAAATGTCTGTTTTATTCTAGGTTTTCTCTTTACTCCTGTTTTCCGCTGTCATTGACAACAATCAAGTTGGCAACGAATCTCAAGCAGCCAGAAGAAGAAACCCTGAGATCGAACCGTCTTCCTGTTGGTAACGGTCACCCTGTGGGGTCGGAATGTACCTGGCCCAAGAAAATGGCGTCTAGTGGGTGAGTGTGGCTAAATTGTCGATGTTAGGTCATGTCATGACAAGCAGCAGAGGATTGAGACCGAATATTTATCGTTTTTTTGGGAGTTGCTGCTTGTGAGAAGTTTTAGCTGCTAGTTCAAGACTTTATTGATTCACGCTATGTTTAGGGAGCGTGAATAAGAATGAGCGCGTGGGTGAATCTGGAGTGGGGATCATGGTGGGGTATATATTCTGTCATTTCTCCTCTCTGACACAGAGACTATCGTTCACGAAGCTAAGGTGCAAATGTATGTCTTGTCTTGTGAGCATTGAGTTTAAACAAGTGTTGAATAGAAGACGACCTATCTATTGAAAATCTTCATACTGCAACATCCTGCGAACAATATGGTTGCCGTCAAATTCTGCAATACTGCCAAGTGTTGTTATTAGTCCAATGTACAGCTGCCTGCTTTAGCTTAAAGATCCTTTGATAATCTCATTTCAGTTCTGCAGCAACAAAAGTCCATCTGCGTCCTCAAGTAGTCCCAGTATACGTCTCCCCGCAGCCGAGAGTGGAAATTCCTCCACATCTTCTTCAGGCTTGGACATCATAACACCTTCTAACCATGTCGCCCACTTCTCCCTCACAGTTCCCTCGATCCTCACCTTCCGAACTCCTCTCAGCTTCCCGAGCGGCACAAGCACAACTTCGTTCTCCTGCCACTCCTCGGGCTCCGAATTCACCCCCTCATACTTCGTCCCCAAATCATCTTCATCGTATTCGTGCTCTTCCCCAGGCTGGATAATCAAGCCCCTCCCACCTTCAGAATTCCTTTCCAATCCATGGTCCCTAAGCATAGGATGAAAGTGCCACGTCTCATCATTTTCACCTCGGGCTTTTCTCATCGCAGTTTGCAGTGGCCTTGTTTTCTCCAACCACTGGACTTCAAGACTGTTCAACCTCCCACCTGGAGCTGCGGCTGTTGTAAAAACATCAAGTGCATTGAAACAAGCTTTCCGTAAAGCCTGGGCTTCAATTCGAACGTCTCGCATCAGACCCAGCACTTCCACGCCCCAATACTTCTCGATCCAAGAAATGGCGTTGAACGTTCTGGTGATGTGTAGCACCCATTTATTCTCCCCGAAGAAAATCTTTCTTGTCGATTCCCTCGTGGATTTGGACACTAGTGAAAGTACTGAGAATGTTTCCATGAATTGTTTTGTCACAGGCTCGTTAATGAGACATTGATTCCATAAGGCGAGGCGGAGGGTGGAGGAGTAGCGTTGACGGAGATACGTTTGTGTGGGGTACTTTGCGAACTCTCTGCGGGATTCTGAACGGGAGAGAGGGAGAGGACAGAAGGCGAGGGGGACTGAGGAGTGGAGAGCATGGCGGAGGATTTCTAGCTTGATCTCGATTGGGAGTGTTTCCATTGCGTGGGAAGGCTTTGAGAGGTGGTGAAGAGGAAGAGCTGCTTGCATCACGAAAAGGGAGGAGAAGGCTGATGTTGGGAATGAGATTGGAAAGATATGGGAGTAGAGATTGATTACAATATAAGTAAGAGTGATGCTGCCGAATGAAACTTTAGGCAGCAAGAGCATCTAAGATTCATTCAAGAAGACAGAGGTCTTTGAATTTCAGCCCAGGTTGCTTGGCTCCGTGAAAGGATCTTCTTTCTGGAGATGCTCTTTGAACAGCTTGTATTGAAATTCTTTAGTCCTGTTGTAGGAAGCAAATGACATATAAAACAGTGATCGCAGTGATATTCAGCCTTTGAGAACTTGATGAGGCTTCTGATGTTGCTTAGCGCATCTAGTCACGAGGCCAGGCGCTGAATGATTGGCTCCTAGCCGAGGTCAGCCTCGCTACGAGATTCACCCATTTCCCCTCCAAGCGGCCGAAAGCCAAAAAAACTTCAAAACTTCATCGATTCTAACAACATCAGAACCGCAACCCACCACACCACACCACCATCTTGCTTTGTCTCCTCCACTCGGCCCAACGTTCTTCCGCCCGCATCGCGAACCCTCAAGGATGGTTGAGAGACAAAACGCGCAATGGCAAAAGAACCTGATCCCGCAACGGGCTCATTGTTATACTTTCTCGTGAAGTTGAATCTGTCTGGGCCTGAAGGTGAGTCGCATTGTCTTTGTGTCGCAACCAATTCAAGTACGCAATGCGCACCAACTCGGCTTCTACAACTGCTTTTCTCAACTGGGAGTTGAAGTCAAAGTGCTCTTTTGCGCACCACTATTCGTTCGTCCAGCGAGCCTGCCAAGTGTATCACGTGATGCACCATACCGCTCTGCGACTGGCAAGAAAGAGTGGTAGAAGCTGACTTAGACAACAATAGGTATTGCGGTATCTGAGCTCTTTAGCAAGTGGACCACGTCCGAAGAAGAGAGGGAGGAAGTCAATGCAATATGGAAAGCCCTTGCTGCCCAAGGAGATGTGCTCTGGGTAGACGGCGAGGAGCCACTCAGCCAAAGTCCTTTGACCAAGCATTCCTACGACGAGCTTGTAGCTGCAAGACTCGGGAGCAAGAAGATCCGTCTCAGAGACCCTCGGTGGGACTTTCCTTCCGAGGTGCCTGTAGGAAAGCTACCATGGCCACCCATCCTCGATACAGAAGCAGGTCGTTGTGCAACACATATCGCTTGCCATAGTGATATATGGGCTCGATACCCTCAGTGGGCAATTATCGCCAGGCAACCTACCCCAATTCCAGGATGGAACAGCTGGAACTTGGCAGCATCGGCTCTATCCCCGGGACGGTCAGATGCACCACCAGAGACACCAAGACGCCGCACAGCTCGTACCAGACTGAAATCTGGATCTTCTAGCACGCTAAGAACCCGTCGTCATCGAGATGATGACGAAAGACCAATTCGTGAGGCTCTGTACACTTCATATGAGGAGATGCAACGTCAGGAAGGAACCTCGGGAGTCTACATGGGCCTCCCTGGCACTGAGAACACTCAAGGACACTCGAAAGCCAAGAGTAGCCTTGTTGCTGTCTTCAAGCATCCTAAACTAAAGGACGATACTCATCTATCATCTGGGAGAGGTTCGTGGGCGCCTTATGTTGCTGAAATTCTGCAGAAGGACTTGGAGCACGTAAAGAAGACTACCAAGAGACCAAAGCGGAATCAGTCGGGTAGGAAGTACACAAAGAGACAAAAGAAAGATGTTGCCCCCGATGCTTCTTCACCACCGCCAAGTGAAGTTCCTGCGTTGGAACATAATTCAACGCCCAGAGTTCCATCACGTACGACGAATTCGGGTACCGATGCTTTTGAAATGGATGCTGGGGCACTACCATCCAACGGAGTAGCAAGTGTTGCTGTATCAAGCCAGCCACTAGGAGCACCAAACGCCTCGTCTTTTCTTGCGCCGGTTCAGCAGATGCCGCAATTGCAGCAAATGCCAGGCTCTTCTGCTCCACAGCCTCAATATCGACATATTGATCCTTACAGTCATCCAATCCAGCAGAACCATTCTGACACACCCCAATTTCCCCCGGCCATGGAACCCACACAGAGCAGCCCGCTTCCTGCAACTGGTCAATTACCGCTTGGGGGTGCTGCACCTACACAGAGACGAAGCAGAAGGACCTCACGTCAAAGCAGGCAATCACAGTCTTTGCCTTCTTCCCGTTCTGCTTCTCAACCCGCTGTGCCACCTTGGCCTCCAACAACCTCGAACCAGTGGCCGCAGGCAAATGCATCAACCTACAATTCTCCGTACCAGGCTGAACACGGCACAGCGCCAACCGCTCCTCGTCCTGATTGGCCATCTCCATCGGCAGTACCTCCGCGTCACCAGGACCATACCCAACAATCCATGGCACGTCACGATAATGTTGACTACAGCACTGGGTATGCATCGTTAGGGTACACTGTGCCTCCGCCTCATAATCACTCACTTCTAGATCGGATCTCAAATTTGGGAAGGGCGACGACCTCTTATTCATCTCCATACGTTACGTCTACGAAGCCCAAGCCTAGTGTCAATGAGCCGCCGTCAGTCAAGACCTCATTTCAACCCATTTTCTCAGCGGTGACTCCACAACAATCTGGCCAGAATGTGAACTTGCCACAAGATGTTGCAGCCAACAAGGGGAATTCTTTGGGCTTCCGCGATATACCTGCAAAGTCTATTACTCGGACAACACCTCAGCCGAACAGCAGGGCTTCCACTCCTAGCTCAGCAATCAACCCCAACAGCCCAGCTGTTTACCAGTCGCTCAATGAGTACTTTCGGTCACGCGAGGGTTCTCATCGCGGAGCCTCGGAGCCTATCCGTGAACATAGACGGTCTTCTCAAAACAATATAGTGCAACAGGCTTCTAGTGCAATACTGAATGCTAGTCCTGCACTACTTGCCGGATCCACGCAGGCACGATCGCACTCCTCGCATTACCAGCAACACACCAAAGAGAGTGGTTCGATAGAAGTACCACAGGAGCAGTACCACGCTGGACCACCGTCTCCAATTCGCAGCACTGTCTCTGCAGCTGCAGATCGACTTCAAACGCTGCTATCTAGCAATCTTGGACAACTTGAAGAACCACGCGATGCGCACATTCAAGGTGGCGACACAGACTTTACTCCACAGCCTCTTACTTCCACTGTAATCGCTCTTGTACCTTCAAAGACTTCTGGTCCGAACCCGATTTACACGAAGTCAAACAGATCACGGAAGAGGAAGCTATCTGCAAATCCCACACTTGAAGATAATCATGAAGCCCCGAAAGCGAAGACTCGGAAGCGAAAGAGCAGTCAGGCACCTAATCAAGCTGCGCTCGAACAATCCCCCGTAATCGATGTCCAAGAGCCTGCCAGGGAGCTGACGGCAAGTGAAGAGATCGAAGAACTTTTACGTGCTGCGTCAGAGCAAGCCATTCCTGGCGACCAGGCACGTCTGCCATGTATCTTCACGAGATATGCTGGAAACCTTCTCTTGTTGAAAGACTTTTCCACTTTGGAATTCTTTTGGACTGGTCAGAACCCACCCCAACCTCCTTTGGTTACTATACCTGTCCTCCAGATTGCAGAGAATCCGATTACATCTATCCGCGGGTCAAAGCCAATGCAGCTGCGGGTTACACTCAAGAACGAGGATGACGAGGAACCGGTGATCCATAACTTCATCTACGGAAAATCTGCTGTGAGCTCTAGAGCAGCGACACAAATGAGAGAAAAGATCGTGATAGCTATGGGTGCCGAGAGACTGCGGACTGGTGGTAACTACCAAAGACCCATCGAAGCCAAAGAAAAAATCACCAAACCTTATCTCTGCACACTATGCAATGCTAGATTTAAGAATCCGAACGGCCTTCAATATCACCTCACCAAGTCGAACACCACATGTAACCCTGGTTTTGATCCGGCCTCGGCCAAAAAGCCACGAGGAGGCAGAGTGGCACCACCAAAGGAGGCAATGGAGCCGACTCCACGTGCAACAAGAAATGCCAAGGCTACAGCGAAGGAAACGGTGGATTCAGATGCTGCCGAGTCGAGTCACGCTTCTGAAAGCAGTGACGATTCGATTCTTGAATGGGCACGAAAAGCAGCTGGTGTCGAATCTCCACGCTCCACCTCCCGAGCTACACGGAAAGCCAAACCTACGCGCGTCTACAAAGCTTTGAATCGAGAGACTGAAGTCCTGGGAGAAATTCTTGCCAGCATCTCCGAGAACCTTGATCAAGATGTTGAGACCCCAGCCTTACCTGCACCTTTTCCATCAGAACTCCCTAGCCTTTCTCGCGTTGCAAGTCAGATATCTTCTACCGACGAGCTTACGGAAACGGTGGCAAGAGAGATGGTGCGCGCCTTGATCCATGCCAACAACGACGTATTTCCAGGCCAAAAGAGCGTGTGGATGGGTTGTGTTGCTCTCTGGCTGAAGATGCATCCCCAAACCGATGTTCTTCCGAGATCTACGCTTTGCTCAAGGGTCATTGACGATCTCATGGATGACAAGAAACTTGAATCCACAGACTTCACCTTCATTGATCACAAATCCCGACTCGTCACTCGGAATCTTATCTATATCTACGGGGCTGACATATCTGGACCAAGAACAGAGATGCTGAAAACTTCAATGCAAGAGATTCATCCAAAGTTCTTTATTCCTTCTCATCTCGCACCTCCACCACTTGTATTGGATGCACTCCAAGCTCTTGCAAATCGTCAATTGGCTAGGCGTCCCGTGCAAGAGGAGAAACTGGCCGAAGCAGGGAACGATGACAATGATCTCGTTATATTTGATTCAGCTTCGCCTGATTCATTCCCTGAAGGAGATCTTTCAGACTCTAACCGGTCCAATCAGGGGAAATTTGCTACCGACGAGGATGATGAATCGGAATCTGGCTCGGAATTCGAAATGGGAAGAAGAAACAATACAAGAGCGGTCAATTCGAGGCAGCGACGTGCTCGCAACTCAAGGCCGCCTTCTGACAAAAGATACAGAAGTCCAACAACAAATGCTAGGATCTCCGAATCCCTAAAAAATAGGTGGAAGGACATCAAAGCAGGCAAACTTGAATATCCTGATTACTCCTCCAGGCGACCCAGTGGACGATCTCGTTTGTGGGGTGAACCTATCGTCGGACAAAGTCCTTCTCAAACGTGGCCCGGCGCAAATGCTTACCTGCCAAACTCAGTGACAGGTGCCTGGGATCGTTCAACTGCTCCGAAACCAAAGCCCGGACCCAAAGATGGAAAGATGCCATTCACTCCTCGTCCCGCGGAGCCAATTACTTTCTTACAAGCGATGGACGGTTCCTGGTCTGTTAAACCATTCGGTCATGGTGTCAAGCCGATATATTGCCGTCCAAATCGTCGAGCACATGGCGGTCCAAATCTGCCTTCCTACCTGAAGAGAATTGAGGATGGACATAGACCTATAATATACCCAACGAAAGACGGAATCTACTTGCCAACCCCCCCGTCGAAAGTGACCACAAAGCAACTTGTACAGAACCTATCGGTAGATATCGCTCCTATGACGAATCCAAAGAGGAGGCATACAAGAAGAGTTAACGTGTCGATGATGCCCCCAGATCTGCCAGAATATTTGTCTGAGGATGACTCGGCATCTGATTTTGAAGAGCCGACTGACTTTGTCGACCTAGCGTCATCTCTGCGCCCGAAGCGCAGGTACACACGGAGAAGTAGCAATATCGAGAATGACAAAGTTGTTTATGTCAATGATATGGAATGGGATGCGGACATTGTGGTTCTGGAACCGAAGAAGATGCAGAAGGATGCACCTCCGAATCCTGGCCTTGATACAATCCCTCCTAGATTTGGCCTTCCTGCTTCAATGTACAAGGGTCCGGATCTACAGAGCATTGATTTCCCCACCAAATACTTTTCTGTCATGTACACAGAGCAAAAGTATATGGGGGAAGATATGGATGGTCCGAAGGAATGTTCTTGGACACTTCGCAAGCTGCAATCAACTAGAGATCTGTACCAAGTACAGTGGGTCGATGACTTTGCCTTCACCTCAGAGTCGATACCTTATCATGAACTCGAAGCTGATGGTCAAGTCCTACCAATAGCTCAGCCGGGCCAAGTGGAAGCTCTTCTTCGGAAGCGCCGAGCAAAGACTACTCTACCCCGGAAAAAGTCCCACAAACAAATCACCTTCAAGCCCGTTGCAGGACGGCCGTCCTTGAAGGAAAGGATCGCTTGGACACGCTCTCAATTGGCTATCACTTCCGACTTCACCACCGTATTCAGAGACCCCAAGAAGGTATCTTCCAAATTCCACATTGAAATTGTAGAGCCGAACAAAGCATCCCAAAAGCGGCAGCGACATGTACCTTCCAACATGTCTCCAGCTGACGAGAATCGGTTCATCGTTGCAGTGGTTGTTCAGCGTATTTTGACAGGTGGATTGGACCTGCTCTCTGATTGGGTGCTGATCGGGACTATTTTCCAAGACTATACCCTGAACTTCCTCGCTGAGTACTGGAAAAGAATATGCGAAGGCAAGGAAGCCGTGATAGACCAGCTCGGCCGAGACTTTCAGGCCGCTTATCCAGCTGCATACAAGAAAGGTGTGGTTCCACCATTCGACTGGAATGATCTGGCCAGCAATGACTGGGACGGATTGATTAGCTGGGTTCAAGATAATGTGGTCTCTGTGTTCGGTCTCGAAGACGCTGCCATTCCAGATTCAAGAGAAGAACTGGAAGAGGAGTTCGATATGCTTGAGAGTGTAGTGGAACAGAATTGGCGTAATATGTACTTCGCTCCGGGTTCAATGAAGTACAAGCGAATAGAATTATCGTCAACCGAGCCTCTCGTCACCTCTATCACGAAAGAGGTATCAGGAAAAGATTCTGACGAGACTCTTCGATCTTATGTGCGAGCCACTGCCTTGACTCCAGAGCTAGATTGGCCTGTCGCAAAGTTGTCTGCAAGGGAGAAACTTGCATCCTTTGACGAAGAGAGCGTCGAACGAGTGATAAGCTCCCTCATTGCTTCCAAAGTCTTGATGCACCGGAACAAAGGCCGTGCCGTTCCTGGTCGTGGTTTCGAAGGCACCGATGCATTCTACGCTAATCTGCGCAAGCACATGAAAGAGCCTCTGTTCATTGAAGCTATCACCTACAAGCGATGGATGGACGCCGAATTCCGATCCGGGACACCTTGTTTGTTGGTGGATTACATGGCGAATGAAGGATCCATTCTGGTTCTAGCCTCTCTTCAGGCTCTCGGTCGGATCAGAATAGATCTCCAGAATCTTCCGATGGAGAAGTTCGGTCTCACCGAATCTGGTTACGAGACCAAGTCGATCCCGAGAGAGAAGATCACATTTGACATGACAATCACACCAACACCTTCTTACCTCTACGACGAGCAGAACGAGATCTTGCAGTCATTCTTCGAACTGAGTCCCCCTAAGGACGAGGAGGAGGGCAGGATTCCAATCTGGTATGGGATCTCGGGGATTTTGATTCCGGATATCTGGAAGAAGGTTCTTGTAGCATTTGCTCAGACTGTGGCGCTGAGAACTGGGATCAACCTAGATGGGTTGACGAAAGTTTTCAGACCCACGTTGGGGAAATGGGAAGTGAAGATATTGATGCAGTGGGGTGTGAGAGCCAGGATTTTTGAGTGCGTGAATGAGAATGTGGAAGGGTGGACGGTTAATGAGTGGTGGTGGGCTTTGGTGGGTAGGATGTGTACGACTTGATTGATGTATTATTTAGGCGTGCTGGCGTGTCAATAGGTTGTATTGATTGCTGGCGTTGCAGAGATGGTGCATTTGCAGCGGTGTTTGCTACGGTCCTGCATTTCCAATGGCGTTTGCTGACATTTGAGCGCTTTCAGCTTCGCATATTGCTCTCTGGCTTGCACTCATGACACACTTTCATGGTCTAGCTTCTGTATCAATGGAGATGTTTCTTCCTAAAAACCTCTTTTTCAGTCTCGAGCTGGCGTTGCATTCCTCCTTGAAAATTCCTTCTAAGGTTTGAGTCCTGTCTTGTGGTTTTGCACATTCAAATTATCCATCACAGCTTAGTTGTAAGGTCTTGAAATATTCTTGACAAGTCCAGATTTGGCTCATATGGATATGAACTCCTAATCCCTCGAGGCAAGTTGCAAAGAAGGCTGAGAAAGACTGCTGGCTGAGAACCTAGTAACCATTAGATCGGGATGGTGAAAAGGCAAAGGTTCACGAAGTACAGCCAGTGAATTTGATGAATCTAGGTATCATCACGCTCGTATAAAAGCACTTCTTGATTGAGAAAGCGTGTCATTTGACGGCGTTGTGAGATCATCCAGTACCATGCGTGTTGATAAAGGTAAAGGACTGCACTTACTTCCCAAGCATCCCCTTCCAAAATGCACCGCATGATAGCACGAGTAGCAAAAAAGTCCAAAAATACAAAATTCCATTTCTCCTCAGACGCTGCTAACATTACATCCAAATCCTTCACGCAGAATCATGTTGAAGCCATCTGCCTCGTGGAAAATCTGGCCACCACATCGGAATTTCATATCATATCCAGGGTAGCAGCATTTCTGCATCAAGATGAGTCCAAAGTTGGCGAACGAGTCATCGGTGATGGTGAAGTCGTTGTGGTTCTATTCATGATGAGCTTTGCTCAAACAGTCAAATGGTAGAAAGAATTGAACTCACGTCGTTGCAGACAGTCCATCCGGCGTTATTTGTGCATGCGAATATGAGGCAACTTCGTTGTGGTACTTAGAAACAATTCAACAAAAGCGTGAAGACCGATATAGGCGGCACTCTGTAAGCCACCGGCACCCCAGTTCTGTCCCGGAACTGGATTGCAGAATTCGTGCCACTAGCAATTTGTTAATGTAATGGTGTGATTCAATAAATCGGATACTCACTCCATCACCCTAAATGAATTCGCGAGGCTTGAGGTTTGAAGGATCGCGGGACTCGAGTAAAGCTGTAGGCTCCTTGATCTCTGTCGCATTGCCGTAGGGAATTTGGAAGTCGGGGCTCTTAGCCTTGACTTGGGCATAGATGTCCTAATTTGTATGAGCTTCTGACCAAGCTGGTTGCATGGATGCTTTGGAGCTTACTTCGCGAGAATCTCCTTCAAACCCTACTACTAGACCATCGATAGTGGCCCTGTAGCGGAGCTTGCCAATGGAGTAACCTTCAGGAAGACCGTCGGCGAAAGAGAGACCCTTGCCATTGAGGATCTGTACTGGTGTCGCTATTACGCAATTTGCCGAGAAGAAGACAACGGTAAATAGGGAGATAAGTCTCATTATTGGTAGATGAAGTACTGGTTGAATTTTGTATGAAACTTTTGCAATTCTTTGATGAGTTTTAGAAGTTGTTCAAGGACTTGAAAGTCTTTGGAGTTATGGACGGGATACAGTGCATGTGAATGGAGTTGTGGTGTGATAACTCAATGCTAATGGTGAATCTAAGCGGAAGCGAGCCTCAAACATGCACAGTCACAAGTTTAGGTATAGTGGACTCTACAGCAAGGCGTGAGTTCATTGATGTCCCATCAGAGGTGATCATGAAAGTAGGGAGGCAAGGCCTTATGTTCGATCGATATTCAGAAATTGCATCAATCTGGTTAAATCCTCGAGTGTGTTTGCCCAGTTTATTCCATGCATGCTCCAGTTTTACATCTCAAGATCAATCTTGCTCTCCCCATATTTCTCTGACTTCCACATATCCCTGCGCTCCCATGCTAATGCCAACACTGACCAGTAAAGTCCATCTCCTGGAGGATATGTCGTTGACCTGCAAGGTCAATACTGAAACAACCGGAACATCTCCGCCCCGTTCGACAAGCGTTCCAATCTAGCTTCTTCCTCCCGCACATACAATTTCCGCCACCGGGAGTGTAAAAACCTTGGCAGCCGAGTCTGTTTTTGTTCTGCTTGCTTCCTGACATACTCGAATTTCTTCAAGTTTCATGTAACTCGATGTCGTCGGGCGGGAAATCTTTTCGAGTCTTACAAAGGCTTTGTGTCTTTAACTAATGGCATGGAAATGACATCAGACCTAGATGTGGTATTTGTAATGCTGCATCACCAGCATTGACGTGAATGTAGAAAGGAACATTAGCGCCCGCATGGACAGTCAACATGTTCGTCTATCATACTCAAGCGGCAAGCGTTCCATCTAAGTTAAATCATTTGTTTCATGTTGTCATCTGGAGGATGATTCACACTAGGAATCCGCTCCAAAGTCTATAAACTTCCCCCGGACATTTCATTTGGCTTGACTTCTCTTCTTTTGATACATAAATATTACAATAGTTACACACAAAGCTATAAACAACTGATATCCGACACAAGATGAATCAATATGGAGGATGCAAAAAGTGCTTTGGCTCAGGCTGCTGGTATTGTGCCGGAAGCCTGTGGTCAGGGTCAAGAAGACCGGAGATTGTGGAAAACATGGCGCAGAGTGGGATTGAGGGCTGTAGACGTATTAATACGGCGAACTTTACCCGACCCTTGAATATACAAAGGTTGATCGATCGCGATCTGAGCCCTTCTGGTTCTAGTCACAGTTCTCCATCTTTGTCATTCTACATGCCATCGCATCTAGATTCTTCGACGAGGCCCGGAAGCTCACACAAACGACAAGCATCATCATCACATCTTGAAACTTCAAAATCTCGTTCAAAGACGTCGGCCATGGACAAGTCTTCCCCAAAACCAACAGTCAAGTCGAAGAATGATAAGGAAATGTGGAAACGTCAAGCCTCATATCAAACATTGAGCACCACGGAAAAGCAAAAGCAAGACAGATGGGCAATATCACAACTACCAATGAAAGGCCGTGGCATTTGCTCCATCTGTCCAGACTTTGGATGGCTCAGGGATGGAGGCAGTTATCGATGCTTATGTGGTCTGTACTTCGTGTCAGATAGATTATTGAAGGAAGGAAAAGGTGGATGTTACATGGGCGGAAAGAAATGTAAGGGCCAAACCGACTTGCCGCTAACGGGTCCTTACTACGAACCGCACCTCACGATAAATGTCGCGGGCCCTATGGGGGGTGATTGGACGTATAAAATCTTCGGGACAGATAACCCGACCAAAGATCATGTACGGTGGAGCTGATTGCGGACTAGACGTGGACCAGCTACCCATATCAAATTTGAATAGTGGATTTTAGATTCGCTTGCATGACTTGGAAATGTACATAGCTATTTTGGGAGAAGCTCCTGCTAGCGGACTCATCTCCACTCTAGACTCATCTACATATCTTCATACCATTCAAACTACTCAGAGTGTGTGGCCGACGATTTCTCAACAACAAAGTATCAAAATTGTACAACTGCTTCATTATTCTCTTGGACTAGGGCTACCGATGTTGGTAAGAACCACGAGGCAAGTGTGCCAAAAGTTCTACTCCTTCTTCTCGAGGTTCTTCGAAGCCCTAGCGATCAACGCTCTCAATTCTTCCGTTCTCTTACTGTCCAGAAACTCCACTACTCTCACCAACTTCTCTCCGCTCTCGTCCATACACATGGTAAACATGTACTCGCCACCTTTTTCCCAATCTTCCTTTGGTCCATCCATGGCCTCTTCTCTCCATTGGGGCTGAGCAGTAGCCCACACCACCACTCTGTTGTTTTTCTCGTCCTCGGTGACCTCTTTGATTTCGACAGGCCATGCGGAGATATACCGGCCGAAGCGGCTGATGGAAGTTTCGTAGACATCATTGGTTATGGGATCGCCATAGCCAAGGGACGCCGGTGCCATTTGATGGGTGCATTTGGGAGCACGGAGGGACATGATGGATTTCAGGTCTAGGTTGTTGAAAGCTTCGATATACTTCACAGCGGTGTTGTATCGTGCTGAAGGCATGGCTGCGGTATGAAAAGCACTTGAATTTTTTTGATCGACGCTGAAGGTTGTCAGATTAATGCCGAGGCGTGCTTGAAATTGATTTGCTGTAATGCTGGATTTTCGGAGGTCACGTCGAATGTCATGATGTTCAATTATATAAAAGTGAGCCTATCGGCTTTTAAGAAATAAGTCCGCGGTGCAGGATATAACACGATAAAAACCGAGAAAACAAAACCACAAGCTGAACATCGGACAAAAGATTTCCCGAATCGGCACCGAGTCCTGATTATCGGTTTATACAGAGTCCCGAGTAGTAGTTGACAGGTTAGAAGACAGGCTGGAAGAAGGTAGGTGGATTCAGGGGTAGCGAAGCGCTAAATCAGGAAGAGGTTTATCGAAATTTCGGTCATTGTGGGGGTCCTCAGAAAATTTCTCCCAAATTTGTCAACATGGGGATTATTCTAAACACCCATGAAGCATTCGACCAGAGCAGAGAAACGGGGCTTTGGCTTGAAATTTCAAAATCCGGTTATCACTTGTCAAGCTCCAATTTTCTATCTTAATACTGATTTTTACGTTTATGATAATCTTCTCTCAGTACAAATATGGCACAATATCACAATCATCGGTCCTATCAAATTTCTCAAACTTTCCTTGCAGTCGTCCTCCAAGACAAGCCGCCTTCTTCCCATCTTCTGGCTTTGACTCTAACACCTTCCAGCCTCCGAGGTGAGCTTGCTCATCGAGATAAACACCAAGCGGATGAAGTGTGTCGTATCTTGCTTTTAGTACTCCGCCGAGACCCGATGGCGACCGCGAGCCAAGTACGACAGTCGCAATGTTCTTGGCTTTTGGACCTGGAACGGGCGCGAAATAATGGACCTGCCTTGAGGTTGCTGAGCTGGGCAAGCAAATCTCACTGCTCCGAGAATGGCATTCCGGTTTCTCTTTTTGCAATGCAGAGCTGTCATCATTACCCATCGTTACATCTTTAGGCTGGCGAAACAGAGGAGCCCGGATAACATGAAGTGTGTTTTGACTCTTGGAGACATACAGGTGATCGGTGGTCCAAGTAAGGGTGTACGGCAAAGGAGAAACAGAGAGCTCTTCGACAGAGTCCAAAGCTAACCCAAAGCGATAGATAAGTCTTGGAGGGCTGCGAACAGTCTTCCTCTTGGACATTCTATGAGTCGAGAGTTGAATGCTCAAATGTATGAATGGCTTCACTGGACCGGGGTGAGGACGAGCATCTTCTCGAGCTTCAAGGGCGGCAAGATGCAGATATTGACCACAATGTGAAAATTTGCCCTGTATCGATACATGACAGGTGCGTGTTGCGGAACAGGGCATTGTTCGTATGTAGTAAGTGTTTTCAGAGAAGTTGGCAAACAGGATGTCCCCTGCGCCAAGAGGCCAAACGACCAGAGGAGCTGAGGGATGGAAGATTGGTGGAGAGTTGTAGAGGACTCTTGGACAGAATTGCTCATACCGAAAGATCGGAGATGGGTTACCTGAAAGGGTGTCGTACACTAGGAGCTTCCCTCGCTGGTGTCCAAGCGCTACGTCCTTTTTCCGCTTTTTGAGTTCGGCCTCAAGATCAGCACCCGCATCAGAGAGCTCGTCACTCCCAAAGTCGCTATCGCTATTGTCGTCGCTATCACTATCGTCTCCCGAGAGTCCCCGTCTTATGATCATCCGTCTTATAGATATTTGAGATGAATCGTCGGAATTGTTTTCGGAATCCGAAATTTCGTCACTTGCGGAGTAGTCATCGGAATCATCATACATAACACTCCTACGTCCTCGTCGTCCATGTTTCTCCTCGTCCCATTCTTCGACTTTGAGATCGCCATCTTCAGAAGCATCACTCTTAAAGTCTGACAGAGACGCTTCCGAAGCCCAATCGTTCCACTGTTCATCATCCTCTTCATCTGAGAGGGGCTCTGTTGATGCTTCGCTACACGATTCACGTGCCGAAAGAGATTTGATGGATTCAATGGAGGAGTCAGAGTCGGCATCCGTATCCTTGTCTTGCATCTCAGCAACTGCTTTCTCTAATTGTTCTGCTTTCTCCTCATTTTCATCATCAGAGTTGCTAATAGAACTTCGAGAGGAGTTCGGACTCGAAGACCTAGAAGACCCATTTGACGAACGAAGTTCGGTTAGTGGGTTTTCTTCCGATGTCGAAGATTCCCGGTTTTTCTGCGACGAACCAAGTCGGGAAAGCTCTTCCATGGCTTCCGAAAAGATCTTTCCGAAATCTTCCAGTGTGAAATCATCCAGTCCGATTCCATTGTCTAGATCTTTGTCAGATAAGCAGCGCCGAGATGTTGCTGCTAAGAAACGTCCTTGGTTTGCTAATTCCTCGATATATTCCTCATTTGAATTCAAACATGGTATCTGTTCATAAGTGCCACTTTCCGAGTGACCGTAAATTTGGGAGCCAATACGCGCAAACTTGAAGTCAAGCGTACACGAGATAACAGGTTGTCTCCCAATAATTTTCATCCTCAAGGGTTGATCGTAGAGATGAGTTGCACTTGTCGGAATCATAATTGTTGAGCTTTCTTTCACCTTCGGGGAATGTTCACTATACATCTTCCACCTTTCAGACATGACTTGAAACTGAAGAGCATCATCATCGCTTCACAAATTAGCATTCATTCGTAAGCTTCAGCGACTTGCAAATACTCACCATTTCAGAACTCTGAAAAGTTGTAGAGCATCTCCAGAAGCGTTGACAAAATCATAACATCGTTCGTGCTGTTGCTTTTCGGTCTCTTTTCGAGCCAAGAAGGGGAAACTCTTGGGTTGTGGCAGCTTCTTGCAACTTTGATACAGGAAGCTCTGTGATCCAAGGGTACCCCACAAGCAGCGACTCAACTCTCCTGGAAAGGGACCATGACTCGAAGTAGTCTTATCTAACACAAGGGCCCATTCGCCAAGGAATTCGTTGTACTGGTGTGATAAGAGATCGCCGTCGGCGGAGTGCTTAGAGAACCAACGAGGAAACACACGCTTGTAACCAGGTCCGGCTGAGATGCTGAGCCACATCGTGAATTGTCCTGCGCATGTTAGTGATCCCCAACAAGTCTACAAGACTTGCAGTTTCAATTTTTGATTGGGGCTTAGCATAAGGCTGAGCTCACCTTCAACCATCAGACTCTGAACTTGGAGCAAGGTCAAGAAGTGTCTGGATTTAACGAAAGCAGAAACCAGATTGGCCCAGTGTTCGGTAGGATGAACGTCGTCTAGATGCATACTCCAGTACTTCGCTGCATACGAAATCAAATGGTGCTGCTCGATGTCTTGCCCATCCTTAGTCACGAATGTATCGTCCTTCTTCTCTAGTAAGCGTCCGTAGCAGGGCTGGGACAGGTATACTAAACAGACGCTAGCCAGCGTTTGAGAGGTGATCAGCAAGGTCTCGTCGTCTACTCTTCGCGTGGACGATTTTGAAAGAATTCGTGGATTCTTGAGTAGAAAGCTGTGTACCGCTGCATGCGACAGTGAGCACACGTATTTGATCTTGTCTTCAGCCTCCTTGACTTCTTGGATCTCGACAAGAGGTGCACAAAGTTCGAGCACTTTGTGCCTGAAGAGGGGTGCGCTCTTGCTTATATTCCGGCCGTGGTCTGTTTCACAAGCTCCCACAGCCTCGCAAAGTTCTTCCAGCAGTAGCGGTCTCTTGGCAAAGCAGAGGATGGACAATATTTTACTGAATCAATCATCAGTTCTCCATGTACTTGGAGTCTAGAGTTCGTAAATCTTACCTGACCGTGTGACGGTGCTTCTCATCGATACCTTGGATCTTCTGGTGGTAATATTTCTCGAAGTCTCCAGGTAGTGCGTCTTTCAACCGCCTCTGCAAGTCTTGCAAGTTTGGGGCATCTCTGATATCCTCTATCATCAAGAACGCCCACAAGAAATTTCCTCTAGCCTTACTCTTCAGCTCCTCGATGACGAGAGTCTGAGTTCCAGGGTCAAGATTCATGTCTTCCAACAATGGAATAGCATTAGTGAGAAATGCTTCGACCGTGTCTTTGTTCGTCATTTCGCTAAGCTGAATGGTGGGCAGCGAGCCTAGCACTCTGTTAATGGAGGAACGTTCCTGACTGCTGAACCATAGTCCGGCAGTTGCATCTTTTGCAAGACTCGAGAGAAAGCTGACTACTTCTGATGCTTCCTCCCATCTATTGTCCACGCACTCTTCATCAAGCCCATCAAGAAGAATGAACGTCTGAGATAGTTCGGAGATCAAAAGTACGATCATTTCTTTCATGCTCTCTTGATTGTCACTCTTGTTCTTGGTAAGATCATATATCTCGTCTGATACATCATCTCCCTTTAAATAGAGCTGATCAAGAAGCTGCTGTACGATATTCCGGTAGACCGTTGTCGATGAGAGAGGCTCATTGAAGCTGTAATATTGAAATGCAATCGCAGCATCGGCAGTAGTAGCCTTGATGTGTTTGATAACATAAGAGCAAACCACAGACTTCCCTGTGCCGGATCCGCCTCTCAACCATAGTCCACGAGTTGAGGCTTTCTGTGAAAGCCATGCTTGGAAGTCGGTGGTCTGTAGAAGCCAGGGGTATGTGGCTGTGCTTCTTTCGAGCGCTCTTTCTCCTTTTCTTTGGCGAAGATAGTTGCTCTCATTGAGAGTGGACATCCCTTGAATCCACTGTCGTACTTCCCTCTTTCTCTTATCTACGCAGCCAATTCGTGTCAGCCTATGTTGTCTACTGGCAGACTTTCCAAACTTGCCGGTAACGTACCTCTTCTGTCTTCATCACGAATCTGTTTCTCCTCACGCTGCATCTTGATGATACGAAGTATATCATTACGGGCGATTTCAGCTTTGCCGTACTCTTCGAATGTATCTTTTCGAGTCTCTTGATAAATTCGCTCTTGAATAATTGAGACGAGCTTCGCGATGTCGTTTCCATTCTCAGAGATTGTTGCCAGAATGTCGTCGATCTTCTTCAGGCTGAAGGACGTCAAGGATTTTATAGCTAGGAATGCACCTGCCACGGATGTAAGTCCAGCTGAAAGGAAACAATATGATAGTCAAACATACCCGAATGGCGACATTGACTCTCAACCTTTGCATAGAATCGAAGTATCTCTAGATAGGACGCTTTCAGAAGTTCTTGCATGGCATCGGAGTGCCCGAAAAGATCCTCGTACTCCTTCAGTCGATTCAATTCATTTGTCAACTTGTTAAGCTGCCCTCTGATGAGCTTGTAAAGGTTCACGTATCTTCCACAACACTATGATGACAAGAGTTAGTTGCTTGAGGATTTTGAGGAGGTCTTAAATGTCAAAACATACCCCCACCAAGGCTCTCAGAGAGCCCCAGACCAGCGCTGTCGGCATTGGGTCTGCTTGGCCTGTAATTGAAAGTTAGCCGGTTCCCTCAGATAGTGATCTATGGGAACAAACACAGTGTATCTAGAATCCCAGTATAATCCACCATGGCTTGAATGATCGGCTCTAGAGCTCCACGGACGTGATTGTGCGAAGTGTCTTGTTCCATGGCCTGTAACGTTTTCTGGACATCCTCAGCTTTGACGATGGATCCATCCAGATACTCCTGTACAAAACTCGGCTTTCTTTTCTTTCCAAACCCTTGGACGAACTCGGCCAGTGCATCGCTGAATGGAGAAGACATTTGCGTTGCTTGCGATAAGGACGCCGATGAGATGCTCATCGACTTGGTGGTATAAGTTGACAAGGACATCTTGATCGGTGCTTGTGGCGACTTCCTTTGCTCGAAGGAGAGAAAGCTCGAGGCGCTGCAGCCTTGCTCAGACTGCGCGGTAGGGTTTTTCGTCCAAACTGTCGAAGATGTGCAGGCGTTGACGGATCCGTTCACCGTGTGCAAGGCAAAATAATGCGGGACTGGCCGGGGCCGGTAGAATCTGGGGGCGCAAAGTCGTCGAAGCTTGATTTTGAACTACTTCGCCTCAGGCTGTTGATATGTGAGTGGAGGGCGCATGCATAATTAGTGGGCTGTGCCCTTGTATTTATGCAGTAAGCTGCAGCAACAGCGCACGCAAGGCTAGGCATTATCTCGAGGTCCATTTTTCACGTTATTGATTTTCATTCTGTAATTTTGATGTTCTCGTTATAACCTTCATCGATTCTCATCGCAAATTGGGATGCTGGAACCTTACAATAGTCGAAGACCAAGAGCAAGACAAGATCAAAAGAAGACGAGAATCGATCTGCCGGGAATTCAGCAGAACGAATAGAATAGAATTCCATTGGAGTTGGCAAAGACCACAACATCAGAAAATGGAGGAAACCAAAGAAAAACCGAGCGCCAGCGTTCTCCAGCCAAAACAGAAGCGCATAATCCGAGTTGATCAAATATTCAGCAAGCATGTTTGCTCTCATTCCATCTCCAAGACTGACGAATTAACAAATGCTAGAAAAACACGGCAAATACACTTCGTGCCAACGAAAAAGCCTGAAAAGACAGAACACAAATTCAACAAGACAGTTCTGGTGATCCGTCGAATAATCAGCAGCAAGGGACTTGTGGCAGCCATTGAAGTCGATATCAAGTCGCCTGCTTTGAAGGAGGTCTTGGATGAGATATTTGAAGGTGTCGAGGGATTGAGATTGAACAAGACGCCGCCGATAGTTCGTACTGCACTACATCATTTTGACAAATGCTGATGAGAAGCAGGCGGAACCAGAACTCCTCTTCCACGCAGGTGAACAGCTGTATTCGCGACTGAAGAAATTAGAAGCTAGCCCCAATCCAAATGAAGCACTGATAAATGATATCAGTGCCGTACTAGACTTCATACAAGAACATTTTGGTGGGAATATCGACAGTTTGAAATCTCTTTCCGAGCACGGAGAGATAACGTACAACCTGATCTGGGCTTTATTTCCACCGAAAACTTTAGGTTATACAGCCGCCAACATCCAGCACCAGCCACAAGTCTTCATCTTCAAAGAAGGGACAGATATTGAAACTTCCACGGAGAAGTACTATTATGTCACAGGACAGGTGATTAATCATGACGGCATGGACTTTGGGCGAGGTGAGATGCATATCAAGATCCCATACTTTGAAGGCACGAAGAAAGTACGCAGTCTTGCAGCTTATCCGTTCTCACAACATGCTCGTAGAGACGAGCTTCGGAAGGAACTGATAGAGCGCGGTCGGAAATTCGCTCGACTCGTTACGTCGGTCTGTCAGGAGTACGCGGGAATGGGAGTTAAAGAAGAGCGAACACCGCAGGGCATGGAAGAGATGCTATTCGAGGTATGAAGACTTGTCTAAGTGTGGTAATAAGAGATCGAGGAATAACGTGCCGTTTAGGCCACTGGTCGAGTGATGATAGACCCCGGTGCTTTTCGCTTATACCAGCCGAACTGGAGCAATCTCCTAAATCCGTGGGTACATGCAGACATGCCAAAGGATAATCTCAGCGACGAAGAATACCTGATCTGCAATCACCGTGTTCTTGGATTTAGTCTTGCCAGTAAAGAGTGGGGCGCATTTGCTGTGTCGCCACTGAAAGATGTGGTATGGGACGAAAGCGCTTTCGAAAAACTCATTATAGAGCCCAAACGACGAGACTTAATCTGTTCTCTTGTTCGATCTCACAGGAACGATAAGACTGGATTCGACGATATCATTCGGAATAAAGGAAAGGGCCTTATTGGGCTTCTCAGTGGAGGCCCTGGAGTTGGGAAGACCTTGACTGCCGAAGTGGTGGCTGAGCTAACTCATAAACCGCTGTACATGATTTCAGCAGGCGAACTCGGTACGGAGTTAGAGAAAGTCGACCAGCGTCTCCAAATGGTCCTCGACATAACTAGGCGCTGGTCTTGCGTCCTCTTAATTGACGAAGCCGACGTTTTCTTGCAGGAGAGAAGTAACTTGGACATGTTACGAAATGCTTTGGTTAGCATATTTCTCCGACGTCTCGAGTAAGCTTTGAATCAATCCCTAACAGAGGAAGAGAAGAGAAGATGTTGAGGATGCTGACTGGATTTGGAACGTAGATATTTCCAAGGGATTCTAATCATGACGACGAACCGGAGAAAGGCTATTGATCCGGCATTCCAAAGTATTCTCGCCTCAACTTCATGAATGGTACGAACAATGACTGACGAGTTTTTAGGTCGGATACATTTCAAAATCCATTACCCTGCTCTCACGGAAAGTAGCCGCGCCCAGGTGTGGAAGGATTTCTTATCTACTGCGCCCGCTGGTGTCAAAAAACCAGAATTGAGCAATGAGCAGATTGTCCAGCTGGCAAGAATACCCCTTAATGGCCGCGAGGTTAGTCTCTACTTCCAGATTCTGGTGGGAACGTAGCTAAAGTATATGTACAGATCAAGAATACAATCTCTTGCGCGTTTTCGATGTCGAGGGAAAGTGGGATGGCTCTGACCGTGCAGAGGGTAGAAGAAGTGCTAAGTATTCTGGTGGATGATTGGAACTTGGATGAGTAGTGTGCAATTGGTCTGAATTGAAAAAACTGCATAGCGGATACTATAGTCTTTCTGTGTAACCCAACTCAGCGAAAGGGAGAGGCATCAGTATAATCTGCAATGACGCAGCACAAGGCAGCAACTATGTCTGCGCAAGACTTGAGTGTGCAGCACAAACTAAACTTCCGGTGGTTGAACTTAGTCACGGCTAGGATAGAAATCTCCGAAGGGAGTTCCCAACCAACTCGGGCGATAGTGGTGACGCTCTGCCTGAATTGTGTAACACAACCTAAGAATTGACTTGACCAACAAGAACTTTCTATAGTCATCGAGGACTCATCCGGCCAGGAGTCAAAGACGTATGCTTCCAAGCAGGCAGAAACAGATAAACGGCAACATCTCGATCGCGACCACCAGTGTTCCAGCTGCAGCTCTTGCCGTGGCCTTTGTTCCCCCACGCATTTTACAGACAGCCATAGCTGATGCAAAGAAGACTATGAGGACAGATTTCGGTGAGCTATCCGGTATATTCCTCTGATTTATCGCTGGAACTCCCACCACCATCATCTCTGTGAGTATTCGAGCAAATCTCGAAGTAAAACGAATCTTGAGCTACCCTTCGAATTCAGCTGAACAATTGCCGATCTGGATCATTACACATGTGAAACAAAAACACAAATATTTTTAGGTATGACAAGAGCTAAGATCTAGTGTTTAGCCCTTTCAACCTGAGGTCAGATTCTACGAGCGAGCAGGAAAAAGTCGAAGTGGGGTTGCAATTACCACACTGAGGGAGAAAAGAGCCACAGAGCAATAGCAAAACCTTTGAGCATGCGACAATGATGATAATGGGCTCATCTAGACTTCATGCATCTTGCCAATGATGTCAGTGAGGTCCAACATGTTGAGCCACGATATTGATGAGGAGAGGGCAAAATGCGCAGTGCTTGCATGAGAGTGAGACCTCGGCTCGTTTTCCATCCCCACTCCACTTCAGCGAAGTCCCGCACTTGTCCGATGATGCGTGCGCCACAAACCCAACCGTACCAGCCACTCGGCTTCACAACCACACAGCCACACTTGACCGATTACAAGACTCGCATTTCAACCAAACATCTTCTCCCATTCCACGGCATCTCGAAGCCATTCCAGAAAAAGGATCATCTGGTTTCTCTGAGGCATCAAGGTAGGACGGGATCTTGTAGTCATTTCTCCAGCCAAGAGAGCAGTCCTGAAAGAAGAGGAGCCTTGCAAAGAAGTTGCAGCCTTGAAACTCTGGCGGTGTCTGAATCATACTCTTGAAGAGGCGTTTTGCCAAAGCGTGGGGGAGTCTTCTACTGCCGCAATTGGGCTTGTCGTACAAGAAAGCCGTGGGTTATTTCCAGATGAGATCCGAAGTGGCTGCTATGACTGCACCATGCACCGGTGAGGGTCGCGAATAAGACTGGATAGCGGTGGCATATTGCAGGACATGTGAAATGGCAAGTGAAGATTGCCACGATGGCAGGCTGCACTCATTGGCCGGCGAGAGCAGATTTGCAGATTTGCAAATGCAGGGCCCGTCTGGAGAAACGAGTCGGGGCCAGCAGCTGGCCCTCCTCGTCTTCTGGTTGGAAAGTCTGATAGAGTGCCGTCAGCCCTAAATGCAGATGCCTTCAGATGCCTTCAGGCCCCTCACCCCTCAGCGGGATTCTCAGCCCTGTGAGCAACAGAGTTTGGTTTCCCCTTGACGCTCTGGATTCCCTGGACTGGTCTTGCCGTAGTTTACCACCGTTGAGTCCTCCGTCTCACCCACTTGTTCCCATTCCCATCCGCTTCCCACCCCCCTTTCGCCACTAGAGGTGTGGTCATGCTCGTCCTGACGGTCCTGATCCTCGTCTATCGCTGGGCCTTTCCTTTCCGCCCAATATGACGCGCTGCTCACCTGCAGCAGCAACATCGACAGGGCTGTGAACTGCACCTGGCCAGCCGGATAATGGGTCGCACAGCTGGTCGACCACGATCTAACTTTTTGTGACGGCCGAGGAAAGGCCCAGCAGGCCAAGCCCATAAAGTGTGCTGCAACCCCATGAGAGCGTACATTCTGACTTCCCTTCCTCCGTTATCCTATTCATTCTCTGTCAATATATTCTCCCTTCTGGGCGTCGCTCTGTATCGAATGTGACTGCACTGGCGTTCTTGTCTCCTTTCCACGGCAGCAAATTCGCGTCGAACAGTCTCCACACGCCGCATCGAGCATCCTTGCCATTCTGTACTTCGGCATCGTGAGTGGCCACCCGTCCATCGCCCAGTTTGATTGAGAGGAGAGTTTTTGCTGTGCCGGCTGCAGCAAATACCTCGTGGGTTCGAGACTGTACAGAATAAAAAAAGGAAGAGGAAGAGTGAGGTGGAAAAGAAGACCAACTCAATTGTCGGCAATGAGCGCGGAGTGAAGATTGAGGTCGCCTAATAAAGAAAGACCGAAGCACGCAGAGGTCAGTGTCAGTGTCAGTGTCCGTTCAGTTACCCGCACCCCATCCCCATCCCGCAGCCGTGAACGCTCCGGCATCCCGTGTGTCGTTGTGTTGTGTTGTGTTGTGCTGTGCGGTGTTGGTGTTGGATGAGTTATTATTATGTCCGGATGTTGTTCCGTCCCTCTTCCACTTCCTCGTCCCGTTCCTGTTCCTGCTTCATCTGTTCTCTAGTCTTGTCGGCCGGCAGGCGGCGATGATCGTCTTCTCCTTCTGCGCGACCATCCTCTTCTGGTCGTTCCACACAGGCACTTTCATGTGTTAGTTTCTGTGTTACGTTGCGCATCTTCTCTCCCTGTGCGAACACACCTCTTGTACCCTCTTGTACTTCCGTCCTATCTGCAGAGAATGGACATCTCCCGACTCGACCAGATTACTGCTTTCTGACACAGCAATTCCATGCGATATCTCGCGCAGAAGCTTACACTGCGACAGCTAATCTCTGAGAACTACTAAAGCTTTGATCCGCAGATCAAGTGGGCGAACGAGGGGTTGGAAGGCGAGCGATGCATATGGACGGCGCAGGATTGAAAGATGGAGACTGGCACTACTGCCAAAGCCAATAAACAACGAAGGGCGAGTCGTCCCAAGGTCAAGACAGGATGCAATAATTGCAAGTGAGTACCGAATCTCTTCTGCCAGAATTGCATGGACCACCACAGCTATTGTTGCGCACCTGCTAACTGGTCTGCGACAGAGCACGACGAGTCAAGTGCGACGAAACGAGGCCTCAGTGCCAGAAATGTGTACGATCCGGAAGACGATGTGAGGGATATCCTGCATACAAAAGGACGACGGATGTGCCGATACCAATTGCTCCACGATTCCAAGATGATTCCTCCTCCACCTCTTCTCCGCCCTCGACATCCTCCTCAACCTTCCCTGCCTCTTCACCTCCCAGAATCAGATCTATAATGAAAAAGACGAATCGAGCACCTCCTCGAGCTACAAATCGAACAACGAACACGCAGGTTCCAGCTCGCGTGAAATTTGCAAGCACCCCCACGTCTTATATACCTGGGGGGTTCGCTTTCAGTGTAGAAGAGGGCCAGTATTTCCAAGTTTTCCGCACACACACAGCAAATGAGCTGTCAGGTTTCTTCGATTCGGACTTCTGGACCCGGAGTGTACTTCAGGAAAGTCACTCCCAAGCATCAATCCGACACGCAGTCGTAGCGCTGGGAGCGTTGTATAAAACACTGGAGAAGGCTTCTGAGTCGCCTCCCGGCTCTCCAGAAACTGCGGGATCAGTTGCGTCCGACACAGCACCAACTCATTATAATTTTGCACTTCAACAATATGGCAAATCTCTCACACGATTGCGAGAGGCCATTGGAAATAACGAAACCCGAACGCAACGAACTATTCTAATATCTATTGTCCTTTTCACCTGCTTCCAGTCTTTTATTGGCGACCACAAAGCAGCAATTACCCAAATCCAAAGTGGCCTAGGACTTCTCGAGGATCGACGGCAGGACTCCAAGCAGCCTCTCATTCGCCGCAAAGATGACGAAGTCGAAGAAGAATTGGTGCAAATGTTCACTCGACTGGCCATACAGGCCAAGTCCTACGACATGGCTTTTCACTTCCCACATCCATATGTGATAAGGTTATCGCCGCAATCACGGAATGATCCCACTTCACCGCAATCGCCGTCCTCGCCATCCGATGCTACCTCGACCGCTTCCATGGAGTCGCACATGCCGGAAGAATTCAAGACGTCGAAAGAAGCTCGTTCCGCCCTCGACACCCTGTTGGAACGCATAATGCGCTTCAACGAGCAGCTTTCATCCTACCATCCGGGACCCAATAACATACTACCGAAATCAATCAAGTCATTGGGCTACGGATTCGGGATTCAACTCAACCAATGGGACAAAGCCTTCGGAGAACTACTCGCAAACCGCCGCACGCCCGGAATCAGCAACACAGAGCGTGCTGGTATTGACGTCCTGAAGATGCTTCATCTGATGACATCAATCCTTTTTGTCACTGGATTCAGCACCTCTGAGATGGAGTTTGATAATTTCACTCCAAAATTCAAAGAGATTGTGGACCTAGCCAAAGAGGTGGTGGTAGATGAAGAATTGACTCTAGCACAAGCAAGATGCGGGAACGTCGCTGGTTGCCGTCACTCAGAGGGCAAAGCGCTCCCAGAGCACCATTTTCCAGGCCTAGCATCTCAGCGACCAGGAGCATACAGAGAAGAAGACAACTTATTTCATATCAAGGCATCCTTCGCACTGGATTTGGGCATTGTACCGCCACTGTTCGTGGTTGCGACCAAATGCCGAGATAGAAAACTAAGGAGAGATGCAATCAGATTACTGCTATCAAGCCCACGCAGAGAAGGGATGTGGGATAGTATTCTCAGTGGCAGAGTCGGACAATGGATCATGGACATCGAGGAGCAAGGACTTTCAATATGGAGTGGGCCTGCTACCGCTTCTGCACGAGAGATTGTCCCGGACGAACAGCGAGTCATGGTGAAGGAGATTCTGTTCGATCTACAAAACCGGGAAGCGATGCTCCGCTGCGGTACAAGGGGACTTGATGCAGGAGACATCGACATGAGAGCACAAGAACAATATATATGGTGGTAATGGATTAGATACTCAAGTACACAGGCACGACAGAACAGGACATGAGATCACGAGCAATGGCTTGATGAGAGGATACCACAGGACAAGCTGTAGGAGCACATTTGGAACCTTGATTTCTGCACGGTGGACTGGCTTGTGTAAGATACATTTCACACGCTCTCGTGAGCAACAGCACGTTTCGGCGCTGGGATTGATCTTGGAAGCATATTCTTTCTTTCGTTCAGCATACTTGGTGTTCTACCTTGAAATGGAAAGGAAAATCGAACTTCTGGGAAGTCAACATCTATCTGGCAATCAAATCAATACCATTTATTAATTCAATTCGATATCACATCACATTTCTTGGCGCCTTTCCTTTTTTTTCCCCCAGGGGCACGTTCATTATGTGGATTCGTGGCTTGTATGATGTTGTGCCACACGAACGATTATGACGGACGTGGGGAAAAGCATGTCTCGGAGTGACCATGGAGACTCCGTGGGCTGGAAATGGCTGAGCTACTTATTGGTGTAATTGTGTGGTGAGACAGAACCAGAATTGGGCGAATGAGGAGACTTGTGTGACGGGCGTACAAAGACATAATGCAAAGAAGAACCAAGGAGTAGATGACGCGAGACTAAGTAGTGAACTTCAGTAGACTGGAGAATATTGGGATGTACGTTCGGGGATCAGACGAAGAGTTGATATTTTTGGACCTTCTCTCTTAAGCAAATGATTCCTTGACAAAAGGACCAAGATTATTTCGTCTTTCCACTCGCCAATAAATCCCACGTCTAGAACCTGGTGAATGGAAGCCTATCTCCTCGTTAGCAATATGTTCTCAGCATTAACCTTTCCACTCCTCTCTCGACTTCCACAGTAATAAATTGCTACACCCATACAACAACGAAAATGCGAAAACTCACCACTTCCCCCTCAACGTAATAACTGCCCAATTATTCCCCTGCTCATCCGTCTCCTTCTCCACCTTGGTACTAAACGCAATCGCGCTCATAATCCCATCGCCAAACTTCTCATTCAGCACCGCCTTATATGCATATCCATAATTCTGGACAATCTCATACAGACGATAGATCAGCGGCTCGACAGGCGGCATCGGCCCCGCTCGTCCGCGGTCTGGAAACCCGAGCAGTTGTTCGCCGAGCTTGGATTCGGGGATCGAGAGGATGGTGGAGAGTTTCGCGACGTCGGAGGCGGAGGCTTGGGCTTGGCCGTAGAAGAGGGCGGCGACGGCGACCTCGCTGCGGCCGAGTTCTTTGGCGATGGATTCGAAGGTTAGGGATTTGGAGGCTTTGGCTTCGAAGAGGGTTTTGGAGGAGAGGGGGAGGCGGTCGATGAGGGAGGTCTGGTTGAGGTCAGTCAGTATGTTGATTGTGGTGGTTTGGAATCAATGCGGGGTAGATGGAGGGGTTGAGACGAACGTCTAGGACTGCGATGTGGGATTTGTCTGCCATTGTGATGATTGTTTAATTACTGTTATTGCTGTTCAAGTGAATTCAGATAGAGTATAATTAGAGAAAAGAATATCTATAAGAAAGAATGAGATGTCGTTCGTCATACAGTGCATACCCCGCTAGATCGCGGCCGCGGATATGGTTGGTTGTTCTGGAACGTCATACATGCCGGGTGAATCCCGAGACATGCCCGCAAACCCTACTATCAAGGATCTGTTTCACTTATGGTTGTGATCCTTATTGAATAGCCTTTCGTTTGTTGATTAGTTTCCGTTTATGCGTTGTGAGGCTCATGGCAATTCCGGGACGCGGGGTTTGAGGTTGACGGTGATTGGGATGGAGGGGATTCTCCGGTACAACTACACAGTAAGCAACAATTAACCCTGCTAGTAATCATGGTAAGTTTGAAATTCCGAGGATATTATATGCCTGATGTCCAAGACGTGGCGAGATCGAATAGTTAAGTCCGCCTTGTACCCGCAACTTAACTTAGCTAGACAGCTGACTGCAAAGTGTAGTTGAGTAGTCGTCACCTTATGAGACAATCTTCGACCAACTACATAGCGCCATACGCTAAAAACGTAACTGCAATACATACTAGCTCTCAAGGCGTATCCCAACACTTACTCCATAAAGACCATGACCAAATCATAAACTATGTTCGATGTCCAACCAATATCTCACTGCATCTCCCATCCTTCTTCACCCCTTCCAGCATCAGTCTTGACAGGTTTTCTGTCGTAACAGGAATCCAACAAGCTCCAACTCTTGTACGGTGGTTTTCTGTACAGAGTAATTCTGTCCCCTTTCAAGGTCCATAATTCAAACTTCCATTCCATATGAACCAAGATCAACACGACCAGCATGCAGCACATACACGGCCACATGAAAGCGAAGAACTCCGAGGAATACAGAGCAGGTGGCAGAGTGGAGCTGTGATATGCCCCGAGGGAGTGTCCAGTTGTTAAGGCAGCGCTGATTTGGAAGGAAATGTATGAGATCTATAGCATTCATTAGAAACGAAAAGACCAAGAAGTGGTGGGGAAGATGACGAGCAGAATGGAGTGGAACTCACAAATGTGACAAGGAAACTATAGCCGTTGATTCTTCTCTTACCTGCCCAAGTCATGGGCAAGATGACTATCTCAATAAGAGCGGTAATGAGCCCGATGTACCAAAGCGCGATCCAAGGTGCCGTATAGTATGATACTTGGGTAATCTCAGCTGCCAGTGACGCCACGCTTGACGGCAGCTCCTTGCGCAAGATGTCCGAAAGTGTATAAACATAACCCGACTTCTGATTTGTACAAGTAATGTTTGTCTTCATGGACGTCAGAAGGTTAGTGGTGGGATCTATAGCGAAAGATCCGGAACAAGTAGAGAGGTAGTGAATCGAATACCAGTCCTGAATCTGAAGGTACTGAGTTATCGAGCTTGGGTTCGTGACTGAAGTAGGTACAAGAGCTGTGATATTGGCGTGGAAAGTTGAGTTCACCTGGTAATAGTCGGAGAGGCCAAGCGATGAAGTATTGAACTACAAAATTATTCCTGTTAGTCTCTGCGTATAAAAACCCAGCCATCCACAAGTAACCCAAGCTTCAGACGAGATGAAAATCGACATACGGTGATTATGGCAGCAGCCTCTAGCCCGTCGTTGCTCACACCTGCGAAAAGCGCATGGAAAGCTAGAACTATCGCTGCAACGCACCAATATTGAGCAACAAAAGGAAGCCAACGCATGGTGAAAATGTTTGCGTTTGTATCTATGTGGAGATATCGATTGCAAGATGAATGCTCGATCTGCTCTCCGCTCACAACACTTTATAACTGATCATGGCAGCGGGATTTTCGAAAGCCATTATAGCGCATCCGACTCATGATCTTGGACCATATATTTGAACCTGAAAACTACAGTCAAGTTTATTGGCTCATGGCGACAGCAACATGGCAATGATCGGTGGGATGATTACCCGCGTTGAGATCGCGTGCCAAGCGATCCCCGAAGGCTTGCTTCAGCCATCAACGTCGTCCCAATAGGCTCAAAGTGGCTGAGTGCGAGCCTTGTCGGGCTGAAACTAGAAGCATCGCGATTGGAGAATGCGTTCATGGCAATGAGGGAAAAAGGCCAATTACACTACTCTCGCAAAATGAAGCCCAATTGAGCTCGATTCGAGGCACGTGAATAGCTACATCGCTTATCTTGTACAGCTTGCTAACACAAGTGTCAATCGTCTCAGGGGACTGAGTTTAATGACAAGTTTGAATTAAACATCAAGAGCGCATCTATTCTCTAATTCATGCTTAAAAGATCAGCTTGAACTCAAACTTTCCGAACCCAAAGATCGTCATGAAGGAGAAATTTGGAAGAAAGTTCTTCTAGGCGGCATGCCTGCTTGCCAACACTAGGCTGTGGCTCGGGCTCTTGTATCTCACACGAGTGATTGGAAAGTCTAATGCCTCTATCTACTTCAGTGATTGCTTGCCATGTTCCTTCTCATTTCGGACGAACTCTTCCCATACTTCTTGAATATCGTTCTGATAAATCCAGGAAAGGGCTTCTCCACCAAAACTTTTGACCTTCACATCCAAGCTTTCTTCGAAGGTCTGCTGTGGGTTGTTCGTCTTAGCATCTTGTATCTTTTTCCCTTGGTGATCGAGGTGCTCATACCTACATCATGACGAATACATTAGCACAGGAGTTAAGCATATCAGGAATCGAGGTAGCTGTACGAACATTCTCTGGTAGTATGGGGAGCGAATTGAGTCAAAAATATCCAGTGCAGATGCGAGCGGTTGAGAAAACGAGAGAGTGTGGGGAATAGCTTGAGCAAGAATCCAACTATCTTGCATAGCAAAAGCTGCGCCTGAGCCAAAAGCACCTGATTCAGACAAGTCAGTCCAGTTCACAGTGAGATGTTTCAGTTCTTACCAGTGAGTGGGTGGCTCGCATCACCAATCAAGACCACTTTATCCCAAGCAATAAGCTTCTTCAGTCTCGGACCCGAAAACGATGAGAACTCCTTCCAAAGTCCTTGCGGGACTCTAGAAAGCGCATCTCGGACTCTGGGGTCATATTCTGTGAAATGGGATTCGACTCTCTCATTGGTCGCGGGTATGCCCCAACTGAATCGCTTCTCTTTCACCGTTGCGGCTGGCACGACATTGTGTACTGCTATCTCAAACATTTGTTCGTCTTCTGGTATCTCTGAGGGATCATCTACCAGACAATTGTAGAAATGGCCTGCAGTTCCATGCCACCAGGCTGTTGACGAGGTCATTTCTGGGATGTCGAGGATAAGTGACTTGGGGATTATCACTCGCCAGATTGTCCTGCCTGGTCATGAATGAGTAGTGATCATTCAAAGGCGGAAGGTCTATAATCTTACCAGTAAACTGAATTGCATGATCGGGAAAAACACTCTCTCGTACTACCTGGTATGGAGGAATTAGCTGAGGAGCATAGATCTCAAGGATACACCACACACTGATCTGATTCCATCGCCTCCAATGACTAGATCCGCGATGACTTCTTCGCCATCTTCAAAAACAAGGTGAACTCCTCCTCCTTCAACGTTGGTTAATGAGATGAGTCGCTTCCGCAACTTGATCACGCCTTCCGGGACTTTGGCAATGAGTGCAGCCTGTAGACGAGTTCTTCTTACTCGCTGTCCTCGATATCGAGGTTCTGCAGCAGTAGATTTCTGTTCTCTCAAGGGCTTGCCATTCAGTCCATTCCTATCAGTCGCAAGTCCGCGTAAGCGTATGTTCCCACAAATGGATGCAAGGGCAAAGCACCGATGAATGATGGTCTCTTGCACATGACCTCGGACTCCTCGGCCAACGCCGAGTAATTCGAGCACTTTCCAACAATTATACCCAATTTGAATTCCAGCCCCAATTTCTTGCAACTCTTTTGCTTTTTCATAGATTGTGACTTCGACATTTGGGAGTTTTGAGAGGGCGATAGCGGAGCTCAGTCCTCCAGGACCACCGCCGACAATCGCGACCCGGAGAATGGGGAACGTTGCACCTGGCATAATGACTTGTATGAATGTCCTAGAGACAAAGTTGAAATGATCTACAGCGATAGAATTACGAAGGAATACCTAGGGACTTTATTGATTTTGGTCGGGATTTGAATGATTTCAAAGTGGTTGCAAACCACGTGTAGCGTAATTCCGCGATCCTATGGCGTGATAGATAACCTCGCATCTCTAGGGCGAAGCATTCCAAGCCTCCTCATTTCGCACAGCCAAGACAGTTTCCATTGTTGCCTTGATTGTTCTGTTTCTCCTTTCCGGTTTATGATTGATTTTCCAAGCATTCCTGTAGCGTAGTATATTGAACGCTAGATAAGTAGTTACTTTGTGACCCGAACCTTGGATTCTAAATTATGAATTAGTTGCTTTACGAAAAGAGAGCGTGTTTTCCTTTGTAAAGACCTTAGCTATGGATTGTGACAGTAACATAGTTGTGTTTCGAGTCTCCGTCCCTGGATGCTAAGGTAGATAATTGCTTGTTTCAAATCTCGAGACATCACAATCTATACTTGCTATGCGAATTACTATCACGACCAGTGGACTCGCACTTACCTAGAGTATGCGTGTAAAAGCGCAGCGAGCTTATAAAGGGTTTTTGAAAGGTGATTCAAAACCCACGCGGACAAGACTAGCTCTTCCATTGTTTAATTTCGCGAGCTCAATTGTTTATTCCCATTAAATACAAGTATAGATTTTTCATTCAAGACAGCCACTTAGATGCACAAATCTATCATTGATAAGTCCTCTTGATTTCACCCATGCTTGAATGAGCTTACCATACAAGCAATCAAACGCTGAAGTAGCAAACCATTTCACTCAGTAAAGTACAGGTGACAACACCATTCAAAAAAGCCATGCTAATATGCTAATGCAAGAATTATCCTAAAACGAAACGCAGTATCTCAAACTTGTACTGCGAAATAAGACATAATTACCACTTCCCACGACCACCACGGCTGTAGTATCCGCTTTTACCATCACCTCGCTCATTTGGGTATCCTCGAGCATCTTCATATCTTGGCGGATCCTGCTGGTATCCTCGGCTTCCGTCATATCCTGGATCATTTTGGTAACTTCGATCATCCTGATAGCTTCGATCACTTTGGTATTGTCGTCGATCATCTTGGTATCCTCGGCCGTGATCGCCTTGGTAGCCTCCATCATCTCGAAAGCTCCGATCACCTTCGTGCCCTCGTTGGTCATCTTGGTAGCCTCGATCGACATAGGATGTTCGTCCGCCTCGCCCCCATTCTTCGAGACTTCCAGGGCCGTGTCTGGCGAATCCATCTCCACCTCGGCCATAGCCACGCCCGACGCCTGGTCGCGGCGTGAAGCCTGCCATGTCAATTTCTTCAAACATCGCTGCTCGGATCTTCTCAGGACTGTCCTTGCAATGCATTTGAATTTGTCGCAAGACTGTCTCAAAAAAATCGGCATCTTCAGCAATTCTCCGCCAGTTGTAGCCAGCAGTGGGAGGCATTCTGATGGGTTCGTGCTTGTGTTCGTTTGGTGGGTGTTCTTGGTAAGTTGTCTTTGTTTTGTCAGTGGATGAAGAACGGTTCGATAGTGGAGGATGATGGATAAGATATGCTTGAGAGGGGAGATGCCCTTCCTTTTGTAGACGTTTCTCCTTAATTTGAAACTCTATGGTTGTGATTGGAGCAGAGCTTTTCAGAGTATTCACAACGATAACAGTTGTGGAAGGATTAATAAGAGACTGGAGCCTAAGGACAAGGGATGTCTGATGATCAGTGACAAGAACTGATGGTCTCTTCCTCTAGATCCCATGACTCGCCGTAGCTATGTAGTAACTGCTCAGCACCTAGCCTATTGGTCAACCCAGTCCATCCAAGCCTGCACACTCCACTAGCAGTTGATTGCCTGTAGCTGCGATATCTGTTATTCACCTGCGTACAGTGTGCCACTGTGTGTTGAACGATTAACTTTACAAGCAATCCAGCATCATCATCTACAACGCCAACTGCAAACGCAAACTTTCAATAGCTCTCTAACGCGATGACGATAGCCCAAAGCGAAAATTAACAAGTCTTCGCAGTATGGCCAGACACTGTTTAACGCCTATCTTAACAGTCCTAAATCGTATCAGTATCAGAGGCTCGTTGAGATGTATATGTATGGCCGGGGCTATTTTACTAGAATGGAACCTTATACGAAGGAGCTGGAAAGAAGAGAAAGTGTTAGTGTGTACATCTTAGCTTGTATTTAGCAATTGGAAAAACTGAAAGAGATTTATACAATGCCATGTAGTCAAATGCTAGCGTACTTGGGTAGTCATTGTGCGTTGTGAATAGTCTTCCATCCATTATTGGAAGCTCGAGATATACTAATTGCAGTCCTTAAGCGCATGGGAGTATTCAATCTCATTATACTTCTCATCTTTAAACGTTTCTTATGATTTGCTCTCACTCTACAATAAAGATCGGATATTTGAGAGGCGATAAGCACAGGAGGTGATATCTTCTGTTAAGACCATGCATTGGTACGAACTACCTTGAAGAAATTCCACTGTCTCCTTCTTCCAAGCACTTCAGCTCAGATCATCTTGCGGGAGGTAAGCAACTCGAGCATTTTACCCGCGGCGAGCTTATTCTTCTCTACGTCTTGACTACGATACCCCGAATCCTCCGCTATACGAACAACTTCCTCCACGTCGTACACAGAAACCTTCCTCCCATTCGGAGCCTTGAACTCAGGGGACGGTAAAGCCTCGTCGGCACCGTATAGATTGCGCCTCATCACAGCCAATAACTTGATGTCCAACTTTGTGCACGAGGTGAATAATGCGAGCACCTTAAGTCGAATCTGTTCTGTGGGCATGTGAACTAGAACTCGTCGAAGATCGTCCGATTCTTTATCGTATGCAGATACAGCGTCCATCCTTTGTCTTTCTAGGTCTCTCTCAACCTCGTCGATAGAGAGTTGTCTCAAAGTTTGCAACCCTTTCTCAACGTCTCTGGATACCTCCATGGCTTTTGATGACATTTTGTGAACTGATATCTTCGTCTTTGATGTGGGGTTCGATCTTAGTTTCAAGACATTCATATTCTTATGCCCAGACGGGAAAGGACTTTATATACAATAGCTCGGCTTTGTTTGAGTGCTACAAGCTCTACTTGAATCATTGCGCAGTGCTCATGATTGGGATTGTTCGTCATTACTGAAAACCAATTGGAACGACACTCACAGCTCTGGACGACTGATGACTCTTGAGAACCATTCGACCAGAAGACACGTTACGATTGGCAACAGCCTTATAAGACTTTAGTGACGTCACATCTACATCTGACCAACGGATGACAAGAAAGAGAAAGACTCCCTGCAGGAAGCCCGAAAGTCTTTTTCTTCATTGATCATGGCCATGACGGACGATGAGCTATGCGCCTTAATCTTCGACATTGCCGCTATCAACCCAAGAACGACGGACTTCAGAAAGAAAGCAACGATGTTTGACTACATCACAGATCCGGCTGATGCAGCGAAAGTTCATGCATACGAACGAGTGGTTGTGGGGGCATTGGTCAACGTTGCAACATGGTGAATAGGAAACATAAGGACGAGATTCTATTTGATGAACATCCATGTTGGGATATTAAGCTTTGGACACCGTCTGGAAAAGAATCAAATCTCTGGGATGCTATCAAGTTCCACAGAAATCTAAAGGTAGAGAAATTCTTTGTGGATGGACAGGAGAAAACTCTTGCACGGGAGTCGCTAAGATATTGTAAGAGGAATAGCTTTTGAGTGGTCTCACTACTATGCTAGCTGCGGCGATGTGCGATAATAAGCTACACTCGGCGTCGATAATCTTATGTATTATATAACATTAAACTTTGACCACTGTTTACAGTCAAGACGTGAACAAATGTATTACTCGCGAACCTTGACCAGATTTGTGTACTGTACATCTTAACAGCCCGTATCAATTGCGTCTTTAAATCCAACCTCGAGCACTAGCTTTCGCTATCCACTCCGAAGCTAGCTTGTCTTCATGTCCATCTTTAAGCAGGTCCTCCATTTCCAACTCAACTGCAAAGTCTTCAGCTTCTTTCAAGCTGACCGCTTTCCCGCTGGGAGCCATGAATAGAACTTCTGTCCAGTTGACAGAACCGAGAGGCTGCGCTTGGTCAATGGACTCTTGAACGCACTTGTCATAAGCTGCCTCTAGTGCGGAATAGAATATCTTCATCTTGGCTTTGTTGCTGTGTGAAAGAAACTTTATCACCGTTTGATGTCCTGGCTGCTCTTCAGGGTATGTGCCACTAACAAGAGGCCAGCCACTTTGCGACGGCGTATTCTCTGAAGAGTTGTCACCGTGTTGGGGTAATTGTACTGTATTTCTGCGAGTACCAGGATTTCGGAAGAAGCGCCAGACTCTGCCAAACATGGTTATCAACCGCTTACAGGAAAGCTGCCGAACAATATGTTGATAAACTAATATATTATAAGCTGTATGCGACTCTCGTTGCAGCTATCAAGGTTATTCACAAGAGAATACGCATTTTTGGAGTCAACCATGAGGTTGTGTTAGTTTTGTGATTGTCCCCAGGATTCACTTTACCAATGGACCGGTACTACAAAACCAGTTTTCCCAACACTCTTTGAGTTGGCAACATCAAATCTATGGTATCACTTCGAACATCCACCATGAATATTGAGGATATACTAGCCACTGTCCGTGGCCTCCAGAGCTTGCAAGAAGAACTGATCTCCATCATGCTTCCCCACGTCCCACAAGATTCGAAACCTGCAGACGAGTTGTACATCCGCATTGTCAATATGAAAGCCATTCAAAACACACTCATCGTTGCAGAAAATGCCAATCGCAAGCCAGAGGAACAGGAAATCGCAGAACAAGATTTTAAAAGTCCAGGTGGAGTTACTACATCGCTTGGAGAATTTCTCTGCATCATGTTGGACGTCAGGTTGCAGGGGCTGAACGAGCCGGGGCTAGAGAGAGCGCGACAGAGGGGAAAGGAAATCGTGCGCGAGATGGGGTTCTTTTAGGGCTGTGGGAAGTGCGGGATCACTCTACCGGCTGCGTCTGGACTCAGCCTCCAGGCAAGTGGTCGGCATGAGTCATGCCGAGTCCAAACCAAAATACAAGGATACAATAAAGGAACAATTACATACATATATGCCTAACGGTGAGTAGTCAGAGGCGTAATAAATGCTCCGCCGAAGTCTCAATGCACTAATTATTATTATTAAACCTCCCATCTCAAAATGAGTTGACGCTCGATCCCCTTCATATCTCTTTCTAACACCACTCCACTTCTTTCGATCAAAATTCACTTCCTGACCGAACACTTGCTCTCACTCAAGCCCTTGCATTCAAGCAGCAAAAATGTCAACACCAATATTATTATCGCCCCCAACCCTCCAAACCGTTCCCATCCCAACCCTCTCCCCACCCCGCTCAATTTACCTAATTCCCAAACTCCTCACACTCACCGAATGCAACTCTATAATCGACACACACACGAACCTGATCCCCTCAAACATAACGCCAACCACCATCCGCGACCGAGAGGTATTCGCCGATCCGGCGCTTGCGTCCCTGCTCTGGTCGCGGATTGCAACTCTCTTCCAGGGGGAAATAGGGAAGGTCGTTGATAAGGATGGAGAGGGTTGGACGGTACGAGGGCTAAACGAGACGTTTAGGTTGTGTCGGTACACGCTAGGTATATTCCCTCGCCTCACTTCCTGTCTGAGAACAAAATAGGGTAAAATGAAATAGAAGAAAAGTCAGTTGACAGGTGGTACAATGGGAACCAGGAGGAAAATTCTCCGCACATACAGACGGCCGACGTCTCGAGTCTGTGAACGAGCAGGCGTTCATGACCATCAACATCTACCTAGCCAGCGTCCCCTCGCCCAATGGCGGTGCAACGCGCTTCCTATCTCCAAACCACGAGGTGATCGCCAGCGTCCAACCCGTGCTCGGCCAAGCACTCCTCTTCCGTGATGATGTGTGGCATGATGGCGGGGAGTTGAGGGAGGGAGTTAAGTATCTGCTGCGGACGGATGTGATGTATTGGAGGGATGAAGAGTTTGATTTTGAGAGGTTATGTGAGGGTGAGGGGGGTGATGAGAAGAGGGGAAGGAGGGCGTTGGCTATCGCTGAGGGGTTGGAAGATGCCGGAAAGGGGGAGGAGGCCGTGGTGTGGTATAAGAAGGCTTTTCGTTTGTGGCCTGCTTTGGGGAGGTAGCTCAAGGAGGAAACAAAATTTGTAAGTTTTATGTGGTTCTTATTGAGCAACAAAAACCCTTATAAATTAAAACAGCAGCTGCTCAGGTCCAAAGAAAGAGTGAGCAAATCTCATGAAAATATTCCTTTATAATACTGCCTGTTTCACATTTCGCCGCGAGAAAACTGCTTTAATTACGCAAACAAATGAAACAAAAAGACAGAGGAAACGAGTCCGACAAGCATGTTAAGCAAATTGTATCCAATCTTCCAAGAGGCGGAGGTGGATGTGGAAGAAGAGGACGCGGATGAGGAGGAAGATGTTGACGAAGATACCTAGTATCGTTAGCTCTGAAGGATCATGAGACAATGACAAGTATCAGTCAGGCGTGGTGAGAACTTACCGTTGTCGCATTCCAAAGATTCGCTGCATCATACATCCCCAACCACTGCTTCAAGTACTCCAACTTCGTGTCCCGCACCGCATCCAACTGTGGTCGAACCCCTCTCGGTAGCACACTTTCACCAAACATATCTTCCGTATGTCCAAGACCAGAAGTAAAGATCACCCTCGAGTGCTGACGGTCATCGGTCAGCGTAAGGTTCGGCATGCCGACACCCTGATCACGATCGTATCCACCTTGCAAAATAAGCAGTCGCGTCGTGTTGTCCACAATCTCATCTGCCGTTCCCAGGTATTGTTGCCAGAACTCGTTCGAAGAGTTATAGATGCTGCTCTCCCACTCTGGATTTGAGCATACTTCCACCCGGGTGGTGACATCGGTCGGAGGTAATAGGTCTCCGGGTGGGACGGCACTTTCGGAAATGGGGTAGTATTGGCATTGGAGGTAGAACCATGAATCGGCGATGGACACGCCGGCGAGTTGACCGGTGATGTTGGGGCTGCTCCAGTTGACGCATTCTGAGAGATCTTCTTGCCAGTTCGTCATGGCTAAGGGTATGCGAAGTACTTCGCCCGGTGTTGAAGCTGCGAGAGTGGCGTTGATTAGGTATTGGAGTGGATATGGTGGCTGATAGTGTTAGTGATTTGAACGACGATTTGAGACCGCAGAGAAAAGTCGGCCAAGAAGAAGCACTTACAGCATATACAGCTGGGATTGGATAGTTGAATAGTGCAGCGTAGCGGTATGTTGAAATGGAGGCCCCATACAGGGCAGGGAATTGTGTTGCATTAGGAGCAGGGCCACACAAATTCAGATCAGGGATTGCTTCAGTGCAGTTCTTTCCTACGAAACCGTGTTAGTCCATCGCAGGAAGAGGGTTGGTTTAACATGCCTACGATGCAACCATAAAACTGCAGCATGGCACTCTGGATTCTTTGGGCAGCCAATGTAGATGCATCATAGTAGATGTTCGAAAGCTGTCTTCCTGTCAGCAAGTACTTCATACCAAGTAAGATTACCAAAACTTAGCTTACCGCTTCGGATGCCCGGAACTTGTCTGTGTTGCTTGCTAGTGGGCCAAAGGACTCAGTTAGGGGCGCAGATGCAAAACTTCCGTAAAATGTCTCCGGATGTTTGACTCGAAAAACGAGAGCCAAGTTCCCACCGTATGATCCTGATCATGGTTAATCTGTGTCGGCGTGTTATGAGGATATCAAGCCAACATACCTCCGGTGACAATTGCCTTGCTATTTGCAGCGCCAGGTACACTTTTCTGGATGAATTCGATAAATGAAACAGCATCCTCCATTACGTTGTCCAGGCTAAGTGGCGCAAATGAAGCCAATGATCCATCGAAGGACTCCGGAATGCTTGTCCCAAAGAATCTATGTTCCAGAACGGCGAGAGCTGCACCGAGTTCCTCTGCCCAGTCCATGATGATATCATTCTCGATTGGACTTGAGCTTATTCCTTGCTCCGCACCCTGAAGGAAAAGGATCGGCCCTCCGGCTCTAAAGAAGTCAGTGACGAGTTGGTAACTCTGGTTAAAAGTTGCCGAATTGTTGCCACTATGGTCTACTTGCTGTGTGAAGTTGTAGGTGGGATATTTGGAAGTTGACTGGGCCGCGATTGTTCCTGCACAATATAAGGTTGCGAGAGCCTGGGAGAGTCCAGATAGTTGCGGGAGACGCATGGCTGGAAACACAAGAGAGAAGTGATGGGAAAAGAATGTCTTCACAGTCTACCTTAGAGGGAAAAGCGAGAAGATTTATATAGCATAGGCTGAGTGCAGGATGACGCCCATATGAGCCTCATTTCGCAAATTTTCTTCTAGAGGTCGATGCAGCTAAACATAGGATCGATTACAGCGGTGGCTGTCCATTCCTCAACCTTGCTTGGGAAGCTGATCCAAGGACATCAGATGGATCGTGACTGCGACATCGCAAAACGTTAGAAAACAGTCAAACTTTATCTTTATTGGAGTAACCTGGTACCTGAACAGATGCATCTTGTCGATCGCTTCGTATTGGACCTTGTACTTGGTCCCGTAAGCGACGATTCCTTGCTGCAGTTCCGGAGCGAATCGATGTCTCCTGGCATTCAGCTCCCCCACCATTCTCAGTGGCATTCTCGATCCAACCCCAATGCGGACAAACTGCGATCTTAGACCCTTTCGCGCATTGGTAAAAAGTGCTGACAGGATGCGGCCGATGTCACTTTGATTGACTAGTTCGAGGTGCTGTGCTCTCGAGGCTCAGGAAAACTACATCCTGTACCGCACATGTAATTATTATTGCAGCGCATCATTTTCTGCATGTTGTTGTTCACATCAGCAAGCTGACAGCTAAATTTTCGTACCGTCAGCCCCTTTAAATAGCCTGTAGCATAAGCGAGCCCCTAATATTAGCGAGCGCCTGCACAACAGTTCACTGATGTGCGAGCAATCAACTGAAAGTTTCCACGGTACACCAGAGGACCATCCATCGCTACCATCTGAGATTTAGACAGCATGAAAACTAGTAGAGGGAAGCAGAATAATACTTTTGATCCTCATTCTATCCAAACCGGCCCGTGATGCTCTGTCTACTTGAAGCAAGATCAATTCACTTCTTTTGAACCTGAACAGTCAAATGCGCATTCACAACAGCAAAAACGTCTCAATTACAACTCATCATTTCTGCTCACATTTCGACTAACACAGAGTTTGATTGATATCAAGGCATCAAATACTACCGACAAAATCAAAATAGAAACGAGACCTTCGAATGCTTTTCCCCATAATTCCTTTCCCACAGCACGCCCCCCGTCATACCATCCACGCTCCCAGAATCGCCGCTGAGAGCGTCCACCATCCAAAAATCGTTTGAATCTTGATCCCAGTCTCAGCACCCGATACGACCTTCGAAGTCGTTGCGGCTGAGGCAGAAGCACTGCTCGTCTTGCTAGCCTGCGTGGTAGTCGTGTTTTGAAAAGCTGTGGCTGTTGTGGATGCAGGAATAGTTCCTGTTGGCATTGACATGGACATGGATATAGAAGAAGTAACGAGCAGAGTTCCGAATGGCACGGTGGAGGCATAAGAAGTGACCACCGCGGCCACATCCGAGGACTTCCTGCAAGCTGGAGGTACGGGTGCAGCATTATCTGTTGAGAAAACTATGGCTGCGCACTTATCACCAGATAGTTAGCTCAGGTGCCCAACCTCATCCGCTGATGTGGTGGTTATTCCTGCTTGGGAAATTCTCATTATTGTACCATGGATTTCTTGCCTGGTAAAGAATCCCGTCAGGTGCAAATTGCACCATCTGAAGCACAGAATCAAGTCCAACCCACGGTGGATACCCAGGTACAGCAGGAAGGCAAAAGTCGCCAACACCGGTTTCCTGGATTGGAGGGATGATGTTGACCCAAGTATTGGTGTCGTTCAACAGTGGGACTCGGTATTCAAAAACTACTTTGTTGTGGGTAGTGAGTACGTGCACTGGATAGCCAGCCACCCGCCAGGACGTGACATTATCTCTATTTGTCAGGTTGAAGGTATCGCATGGTCCAGTTGCCTCTGCTACGTCGTAATATCCTAAAGAAACTGGAGACTGAAGCACGAAATGCGCGTTGCTGAGAGCGATCAAAGAGGAGCACAGAAAGAGTATGACGGAAAGCTGCATAGTGCCAGTGGTTGTGTGTTTTGAGAGAAGGTTGTGTGGCTTGATTGCAGATCAATAATGGCAGCCAGGAGAAAGCTGCTCACTTTATGCCGCACGTACGTCTGATGATGACCTGGGTAATCACGACTTGGACTACTCGACGCCTTAAATCAGCTCACGTCCCCTGTCGATTAATTAATTATTGATTGTGAGTGCTCAAATGTAGTTCATTTCGAGCCCAGTACTATTGGTGCTGCCAAGTCTTTCTGATTTAACCGTCATTGGGACATCGGGCCATCAAAGTCTAACATTCTCCGTTCTGAGCACAATCGAGGAAAGATCAATTAAATAACAAGATAGCTGTATGTACCGCCAGAATCTTGTTGGTCTCGAAGTCTTGATCATCCGTAAGCTGAGGAAAAATTTGTTCTAGGCAGCAACACGACTCTCCCAGGGGTTTTCAAGGCTATTTCGATTCCGCTTGTTTGCGTGTCAAAGTGTAAGTTTGAGTTCTTGGCCTTGAGTATTCGTCTGTAAAAACTAACGGAAACCTTTTACCGTACGAATAAGACGAGTACACGAAGCCCCCGGACGAAAATAGAGTACAATATTAGAATGTAGGCAAGCAGCCAAAGAAATGAAACAAGACAACCCCCCGAACACTTGAAATTGTAACTCTTTACTCTTAAAGTCCAACAGCGACCAATGCCGCAAATCCTACACCGATCAAAGCCTTTCCCGCCTCGACACGATTCTTTTCAGAAGCACCCGTGAACTGTACCGGAGCAGAGGAAAAGGTACCCGTGGCTTGGGAGAGCGAAACGAGACTATGCGAAGTCGCTGCACTTGATGCTGCAACTGTTGATGCCGCCGAGGACGCAGACATAACTTTGGAGCTTGACGATCCCATTGAAGACATCATCATCATGGAGGATGAACTGCTTGGTGTAGCTCCCATAAACATAGACATCCCCATAGACATTGAAGATGCTATTTGGCTTGCCGAGGAAGAGCTTGCCACAACGCTACTGCTTGAAGCAGGAGTAGAGCTGCCTGTATCGCTACCAGTTCCTGGTTGCCAAGCGGCTACTACGCTAGTGGAGTTGGAGCATGCTGGCCCTGGATCAGGAGATCCTTCTACGAAGGTGATAGGGGCACACTAATTCTCATCAGCGTTGAACAGATGTATCTCCTTTTCCCGGCATCATACTGATACAGCTTCCCATCAGGCGCATTCTGGATAACCTGTAGAACGGCCGGTTGACCAATCCACTCTTTATGTCCTGGTACAGAGCCAAAGCACAAGGTTCCTACTCCGCCGGTTTGTTGAACGTTCATTGCGATAGGGATCCATGTGTTGAGATCGCTGAGAAGGGCGGCGTTGAAGTTCCAGATCACTTTTGGGTGAGTGGTCAGGACTTGAATTTCCCCTTGTTTTGCGAAGCTAGGATTTGGAGATCTGTAGAAATGCTATGGCCGACGAGAATGACATTTCGAGGCTCGGTGCAAGACGGGTCAAGTGATCCTGTGCGAAGGACTTTCTCGAGTGTCCATCGGATCCAACATGGTTCTAGGCGCTTGGAAGTACCGAATTTGAAGCGTCGTTTTTCTTCTAGTTTGGTTTTGAAGAGGATGTAGTTATGGCTTGAGATCTTGCGTGACAAGTCAAACTCCGCTGGTACACATCTTAGGTCTCTAGTATCAAGAATGGAGATGCCCAGTTCCCTGATGTGGAAGCCCTCTGTGTCGAGGGAAACGAAGACAGGATCCTCAAATGTGGTGTTCCTTGAGTTGAGCACGTTGGAAAAGTAAGACTTGCTTGCAATGGCATCGTCGCCGTTGGAAAGTCCGAGACAGTGTCTCAAAACTCCTAGACGAAATGACCATTTGTCTTGTTGAATTCGGCTGCGGCGTTGGCTGACCTTGATAGCGATTTCTGGTGGTAGCATCTCGATATCAGTCACGTGAGAAGAAGAGATCGTTGGATCAAATATATGCTTGATAGGAGCGTTGATGCTGCGAGGATGAAATCCAGATAAGTCAAGTTGAAATTTATATCGTCCATTTATTGAGAATTTATGATAAAGATGTATGGGGAGCGGTCTTTATACCCAAGATTTGAAAATGGACTGGTACTCGCTATGGAACGGGAGCTAGATGGATTTGGCGACTCAATGACGGATAACGAGATTCCACCTAGATGAAATTCAAACCCTAAGTACCTACTTAGAGTACTTGAATGATCGGCACTGCTGATATTCAATGTTCTGCCAACATCGTTGGCTGCCACCTGACTCTCTTTCCCATAATGGCAAGAATCACAGCTGCGGCTTCCTCGACAGCAATGGCCTACTCCCATAGAAAGCCAAATGAGTCGCACCAGAGTGCGCAAAATGCACAGAAGAAAGATAATTCGAACTAGGAAAATATCTATAACGGCATTGCATCAAGTAGGAGAGGTTCAAAAAAGAAGAAATGCTACAGCTGGGACTCGAACCCATGATTTCCTAAGTTTCTAGGAATGGGAACAGGGACGTCATTACCTCTGGACCACCGTAATTGACACTTTGTTTGGGAGGCGACAAGTTGCGCATTTGAGGTTATATGAATAGGAGGAGAGCAGGAGAGCACCCCTTCCCGTTCCACACGCACGTGATGATGGGGTTTAACACCAGTTCCAGCGTGATGGGCGAAGAGTGAAAGCCGCAGACGAGAAACGATCCAAAATAATTCAAGATTCGATGGTTCGATCAATGTCTGCTGGGTCAGCTATCTAGGAGCTAAACCTCTAGAGGCGAATGGCTTCAAAGCCGACCTGCATTTCTTGTTCACTCCACACAGAAAACTGAAAAGTTATAGAACAAACAGAAACGTAAACATGTCCCATTGGGGTTGATGAAGACCTCCGTCGCTGTAGTGGCGGACATGATCCTAAACAAGATTCTTTCATCAACCTCCCAGCAGTAGATAGGAATGCAACACTACCCTGAGTGAGGTACGAATGCTAGCGAAATTTGCCATCTTCCAAACAATTAGTAAGGATAACAGATTTTAGCTCTGGAGTGTGTAGCGTGCACGCCAAACACAATCCCGAATTGCTCCTAAGACCACTGGACCCTGTGACAATTGTGTCGACGAAGGCTGAACCACAAACTGGAGCTGATCGTAATATGCTCGAGTCCCCACCCCTAAGATCAACGGCGACGACGACTCCCTTTGTTTTGCGGCACCCTCACTGAGATGGTGTCATGCATTGTCAAGGAATTGAGACTACTCGCATGTCTTGAAGGTATGGTGGGTTGTATATAGAGTCTGTCGGTGGACCCAGATACGGGGTAGAGCTGCACGACTACCAGCACGACCACCTAAAGCACAAAAGTATGCCATTAAGTTTCTCCATCTACAACATGAGTACCTCGTCATGAAAGCCATTGCCGTGATCCGAAACACCAAAACTCCATGCCACCCATGCTTTCATTGCTCATCTCTGTTCTCATCACAAAGCACAACAGTAAAACGTGTCCCTTACCAAGCAGCAGCATCCCTATCAAATCGACTCAACTCCTTTCCGGCATCCTCCACATCCTTCTTAGCCTTCATACGCATGTAGAAAATCGGACAATCCTTGCTGGAGCAAATAACCTCACAATGCATACTACCCTGACATCTCTGGCACTGTGTCCATAGTCTGCTGAATCGCACTTCGAGATCACTGACTTTGCTCAAGGTCTTTTGGTAGAGCTCTCCTACTCGAGGGGCGCAGTTGGAGCATACTGCTCCTTCGGCTTCGGTTTTACCTACGAGAGGCTTCTTGCAGCCCATGCAGGTAAAGGTTTTCTTGGCGAATTTCATGAGCCCGCCAATGGAGGGAGCGGCGACCGATATTGAGCGTGTGTGGTCGCCTGCTAGCAGGGAGTTTGCCTTTGTTTCGCCAAGGATAGGCTCGAAGATTCTGCCTAGAGGTTTGGCGAGCTGGTTGTCGAGATAGTACTTCGTGTCAATGGGAATGTTGTTCTCAAGCACGAAGATCGGATCTTCGGACCTCTCGAAGTTCTTGGCGCCTGCAGAACCTTTGATGATGACATAGGCGACACGGTCTCCAAGAGTAGGCGCTGAACCGGCATCTCGTTTCTTCATTCGTTCTGCAAGCTCGACGTGTGCCTGCTTGGCAGTGTAATCGGCCTTCGCGAGTGCTTTTGTGATCACAAGCTTTGACATGTCGATCTTGTTCTGCAAGAGATCCGAAATCGTATCCTTGACATAGCTGGATCTTGTTAGTGTTGAGATCTGGATAGCGAGGATAGACTTACTCTTGAGCACCTTGGACGTCTTGGTCGATCAAGATCATCCGGAGAACTGTCTCAATGACGTTCTGAACCAAGCGACAATTGTCTCTGCGAACAGTCTCGATACCCTTGGTGTCCATCTTGTCGTACTTGTCTGGGTTCGTCCAATACAGACCAGCATATCGCTTCTTGTTGATGAGAAGATATGGAAAGTAGACTTTCTCGAACTCAAGCTTTATAGGCTTGATGAACTTGGACGAAACAAACGTTGCTGCCTCCTCACCCAACTTCATTGCCGTGGCCAGATCCTTGACGCCAAATTTAACCATGACCGAATCGGTGTCACCATATATGACTTGGGCATCGTGAGAGTATCCATTGGCAATCGTGTACTTCTTCTCCACTTCTTCCTTCGTCTTCTCAATCATCTGACGACCGTAACTGGTAGTACTACTGGCAATGGCGAGACAAGGAAGTTTGCCGACCGTAGCACCAGTCAGACCGTAGACACTGTTGGCACTGATCTTCAAGGCCAGTTGTCGACCATTCAGCACGGCTTTCTTGAAAGGATCAGTCTCAGTCGCGAGTTCTCGCTTTGCTTGCTTTCTTGCAGTAAGCAATTCCTCCAGAATCTGGGCCAACAGTCCCTTTCTCTGCTTCGTCGTGCAAAACATGTCGTTATTGGGTGTGACGATGTAGTCAACATCCCTGACCAAGTTTAGCTTTTCGACTGCTGCTTTGTTCAGCAGGGTTGTATAGCAGAGGTTGTGGGCTTGAATGATACTGGGATACAGCGATGCAAAATCAAGTGTGGCAATCGGAACGTCATAGTATCCTCTTGTTGGCTCAATGACAGTGGCACCTTCGTATTGTTCATCGGATGCATCTGTTCGAAGGTTCGGAATGACAAGCTTCTGCTCCAAAGCTTTTCGAAACAATTGACTGACGAACTTGACTTGTTGTCCACGAGAAAGAAGGTAATTGAAAGGAACACCAGTGACTCTTGCCATTTCGGTGTAATTCTCGAGACAGGATAACTTATCCATCAATCGTTGAGGTAAGTAGGCATCTTTCAAACAGTAAACAGCCAATCTACGTCTTGATTCCGGAGTTCCGTTGAAAAGCTCAGTGATCATTGTGTGGTGCACATCTTCCTTCTGCTCGCCCAGGAATTGAGCACAGACCGAATTGAGCGTATAACTTCGCAGTTGGTGATCGCGTTGAACGAGTTGTAACAAATCAAGTTGTAGTCGTCCATTGGTATTGGTCGCCTTAGTATCACGATTTCCCATCTGCTTGCTGGAGAAATTAGTCTCTTTCGACACAGATCTGGCGCTGTGTAATCGTGTCCACTTGTCGAAGCCTGCAACCTTTAGATGTTTTGCTCGGTCGAGAAGGTAGGGGAAATCGAAGTTGGAAGTGTTGTATCCAATGATGATGTCAGGATCTACCTCTTCCAAGAAGTCTCTCCATTGACTTAACATCTTCTCCTCCTTCTCGAACTCGAAGATCTGCGTATTGACGATCGAACTGGTGGTATCAAGGCAGAAAACATTTCGGACAAAAGGTTTCTTCTCTCCATATCGAGTGACAACGTTGGCAATTTGGATGACAGGATCCTGATGTGCTTCTGGAAAGATGCCTTTGCGTCCAGCGCATTCGATATCAAAGGATAGAATTCGAAGAGGAGCCATTTTTGCCCATTCTCCTTCCGGCTTGTGTGCTATGAGGTCTCGGTATGATACTGATGCTTCGATTTGACAGTTTGAATGCCGTTGGTGCTGCGGCACTATGTCGTACTTTCCAGATGGCACTTCAACCCAAGACATGCCAGAAATCTGGTTTTGGTCAGAACCTGTGCCCACAGATCAAGGAAGAACATACCTTGCAGTCAATCATGAATCTCAAGACATACTGAATACTGTCAAATGTCAAGATACCATCCGAGCTCTTCCACATGCTCTTGTAATTGGTGTTTCCTGTCTCAAATGTACTCCTGACCTTGTTTATGAATTTCGGGTCTGTGACAGTGATTTTGATGTATGGATTCTGCTGATTCCCTGAAAAGCCGTACAAATTCTCTCGCATGACTAGCTGGACGTGATGTATAGCAGGTTGATGCTGTGCAATCTGGGACTCGAGGTACGTCTTGAAACCGTCACAGTCGTGTGGAGTGAAATTCACAGGTGCCGCTGCAGCAGATTAGTACCTATCTCCCTAAAGTGGACTCGACAGCAAGTGGGGACCAAGAAAGTCGTTTACCTATATAGAGATAATGCAAAAAGCCTGTTACATGGAGCATTGCAGAGTGGCCAGTCTGAAGATGGTCAGCGTGTGGCGGATCAAAGATGCGTCAGAACTTACCTCCGTGACGCCAAACAGCTTGACACAAGCTTTCCCGTCCTCAAAGGTCCCTTCCTCGCATTCAATCTGCTGAAAACAAAGACTATCTTTCTTGGGGTCGAAGTCTGCTAAGCTCGGTCGTGCCCACGCTTGGTCCTTTTCCGAATTGCTCTTCTTCAAACCCGCCATATCCTGCGTCATCTTCACCAGTACCTCAGTCTCGAAATGACTAGGCTGGCTGGAGCCAACCTTCCCTTTGGGTCCATTCTGAGTGCTCTTGAACCTCGTCGCTGGAGACGAAGTCGGTTCGAGCTTGCGCTTCTTTGCGGATGCAGGAGAAGATGGAATATTTCTTCGAGTGTTCGTAGCTTCACCTAGAATCCGTTTCGCTGGTACTCGTGCAGGCGCCATGGTGTAAATGGCAGAGAGGAGTGATGTGCGCCGCTCAACCTCGAATGTAAACAATTGAATGTTTGTCGGACATTCGCGTTGTGGATAAATCAAAAATCCAGTCGCGTCATGGCTTGGGATTTCGTGGACGCGACGTGATATCAAATTTACATGGGGTAGCTGAGTCAGTCACCAGCCACAGCTGATGAGGCTGTGATTTAAATGCCAAGGATTCCGCTTGTCCCGGATGCAGCGGAACGAAGTCCGCTCCACTCTTCCGAGAAGATGGAAAAATCTCTCATGAGGCTCGAGCTATCCTTTATCTCCGACGCAGCTTTAATCTGATTAAGGTCACCTCGCATCACCTATGAGGTTTCAAAATCGTCCAACGTTTTTCATCCCTCGACAGCTTCCATGTCCCTTCAACCCACAGACAGCACACTGCAATCATGCATAGATCATATGCCGTCATCATCGTTCTGCCAACTCAGTTTCTGCATTTCTTTGCCAGGTCATCCCTCCACTCAACATGCCACTATCCACAGGAGTTGCCTCCGCGACGATTCCCACAGTGGTGGGACGATCCGCACACCAACTCCCGGAAATTCCGAGCCAGACTTCCCACCAAGCTCACTACCGACATCTAATACTTGCCCAGCTTATACTTTCTCAGCTTAGAGAAATGCAGCCCACCAATACCGTGAGGCTGTTCATGGTTTAGTCATGTCAAGCTTTGTGGAGAATGAGTTTGCACTTCTCCTTCCATTTCCATTACATTTACATCAGTGCAGAACAGTTTGGGAATGGGCAAGGTTGGCCTGCTTTAAAGTCACATCACATTCCCATTTCCTCCTCCGATTATCCATGATAAAACCGCAGTACCCGTTCCAAGGTTTTTGTATATCTCTTGCGTCGCTCCCCAAAACATTTTTCTTGTCCACCCAGCGTTGTATTGTCTCCCTCGTATTTATCGGCGCGTTGTTGTTATCCAAAATGTCGTTGTACAAGTCATCCTCGACGAGTCCCCGCGATCCCTCTCTCCTTGGTCAAATCCTGGCTCAAATTCGACTACTGTATTACCAGTACGAAGTCACCTTCTCTCCATATGTCATGACCACAGTAGAGAAATGGTTCCTGAACACCATTGTGGTCTCTTTCCTGATCCTCTTGGCGATTGGCATCGTATCCTATCTACCTCCGCTTTTGGTCAGAGCGGGATCGCGAGTCTTCTGGTTATATAATGGCAGTGGTGACGAGCTCATGGTGAATATCACAGCTTCAATGTGGAATGACATAGCGCACGAGAAGGTGCATTGAGTCACAAGAGACGATACATCGAAGATTAGTACCAAGATTCACTTCCTTTGGTTCTGGTATATGAGGCCAGTGCCGCTCGGATATCTTTCTCCATCTCGAATACGACATCTCAACCACGACCTCTATGGACAAGCTTACAACCTCGAATACAAACGCAGAAGCACCTACACCCATCAACAACCTCTATGCCAGAATCTACAAGAGAATCAAGCTAATGAGCTACCAATACTCAGTTACGTTTCCATTCTACGGCCTGGAACCGCTCGAAAGATTCATCCTTCACATCTGCCTTCCACTCTCGGCCCTGATCGTTCTATATGCGGCGTTCTGGGTGTTCAAGATGGTGTTCTTTGCTCTGCTGATAGTGGTGGGACATGCGCAAAGCTCGACATCGACAGATCTGGGAATGGGAGTTCCATGGTAGCGGGTAAGTTGCGCATTGAATTTCCGACCAGGATTAAGGGACGAGGCTGACATTGCCAAGCAGGCTCGGACAGGGCATCCATTCCCTTGGGCATCGACATCTCGAATTGCATACCGAGAAAACAGGATTGAAAGATCGATCGAAACGTGCTAGAGTGAGGGGCGGTGTCGGAGGTTCATACTTTAATTGATCGCGATGCTTTTCCGTCGATGGATACTCACGATATACGACACGACTCATGGAGTTGCAGAGGGAGGGAGGGGCGAGCTTCTTAGGCGTGGAAGCAGGTGTCTCACGGGAGAGCAGCCAAGAGAACATTCTTAGACAAGTCACAACATATAATACCATAATCCTTGCATGCTTCAACTCGTACCTGAATTTCAATTAAGACAAATCAGATAATATGTGGTGAGGGAGAACGTCATCTGAAGAGAGTTTTGGTGATGAGCTTACGAAGTGAGTGCCACTGCGGCACGATCAGCCCTGCAAAAGCATGCGAATCATCTCCACTGAAACCCGATGTCTTGCTGGGATGAAGCCAGCGGGATGTCACGTTATGGCGAGGCTGGACAGAGAATTCATGCTTTTGTAGAGAAAGAAGAGATGGAAGGTAAAACGACAAAGGGGAACAATTTGAAGGATTATTCCTTCTCTAAAACTGCTTCAACATCTGTGGAACATGCATCGCGAATATAAAGTTGAAATTATGTTATGTTATGTTCCAAGGTTACCAAGACTTTATGTAAACATTCTCGCCTCGTCATCTCCAAAATGCTGTGATTGGCTGAGTTTTGGTGGTGTTGCCCGAAAAAAAGGGTGAAACTCGGACCTCTGTTTATAGCAGCAGGGTGGTGGCTGTGCCGGATTCCTACACTTCTACACCACTCACGACCAACCTCAGCCCGGATCCATTACGAACGAGTCTCAGCTCAGCTGTCGAGGCTCTTCCTACTTTTCCTCTCCTTGCCATTATTATCTACCACAAATACGGCACACATTTACGGGGCTCGTTGGTTGGTCTTAATGTGGATGAAAGACGCAGGGTGAATAAACAAACTGCCATCCCGACTCTCGTTAAGCTTCTCCTCCTGTTCTCCTGTTTCACAAATATACAACCAAGACCCCCAGATTCCAGGGAAACACACCTCTTGATTCCTGGACTACACCACCATCACCACAATCATGGCGGCCAACGACTACTACAATCCGTCGTCGCGACAGCAGACTCCGCAGCCGGCATACAATTACCAATCCTACAACTCTCCAGCTCCTCAAGACTACCGTCCCCCAATATCTTCTGCGCCGTCTTACCACTCGCAAGCCCCTTCACGACCAGGCACCGTGCCTCCACGACAGCCGGACATCACTTCACCCATCTCTCCCTTCGAAGCTCCCTTCGATGACCATGTATACCCAATGAGTTCGCAGGCTCCACATAGATTCGACAGCGAGACCTCGTTAGGTCAGGATACAAGATATTATGGGCAAGGAGGTGGCGGAGGGTTGGAACCTTCGAATTCATATCAAGACGACATACCACTACGAGATCATCCAGGCTTGAAGGCACAGGATAGCACAGATCATGTTTACGATGCTCCAATAGCACCAGCTCGTCTGGAGGAAGGAAGGGGGAATAAAAGGATGAGTGGCATGGGCATGTTCAAGACAAAGGGGAGAATACCGTGGGTTACGTATATCTTGACGACGATTCAGGTTGCTGTTTTTATTGCTGAGATTGTCAAGAATGGTAAGCATCCACTTGAGATGCAGAGGATATGAAACTGACGCTTTGCAGCCCAACTTACAGGTTCCCCTATCGAGATCCACCCCTCGTTCAATCCTATGATCGGTCCCTCTCCATACGTGCTCATCAACATGGGTGCTCGATATGTTCCTTGCATGCATTCGGTGGATGGTATTCAGAACAGAGCTTCAGGAGGAGCTATCTCCTGGCCTTGTCCCAATACTACCTCTAGCGATGTCGTTGATTGTCAATTAAACAACCTCTGCGGTTTCAACATGCCTGCATCCGAAAATCCTATCTACCCAGGAAATGCTACAGAACCTCTGCAAGACTTCTCTAATCAGCCTGATCAATGGTTCCGCTTCATCATCCCGATCTTCCTACACGCTGGAATCATACATATTGGGTTCAACATGCTGCTGCAGATGACTTTGGGTAAGGAGATGGAGATTGCGATTGGGCCTATTCGATACTTTCTGGTCTACATATGTTCGGGTATCTTCGGATTCGTGCTTGGCGGGAACTTTGCAGCCACAGGAATTGCCTCCACTGGTGCATCTGGAGCCTTGTTCGGCATTATTGCTCTCAACCTTCTGGACTTGCTTTACACTTGGGGTGAACGTCGTTCTCCATGGAAGGATTTCGCCTTCATTATGCTCGACGTGGTTATCTCGTTCGTCCTAGGACTTCTACCCGGATTGGACAACTTTTCCCATATTGGAGGCTTCTTCATGGGTCTTGTCCTTGGTATCTGCATCTTGCATTCCCCGAACGCCCTCCGGAAACGAATCGAGGAGGACGCACCGCCATACACACCCGTTGCACAAATCAAAGCCAGCGATGGTGATCGACCTAATTCAGGCGTGACAGGATTCGTCAAGAATCCAGTTGGTTTCTTCAAAGGCAGAAAGCCGGCTTGGTGGGCATGGTGGCTTGTGAGAGTGGGTAGTTTGGTGTTTGTGCTTATTGTGTTTATTTTGTTGTTGAAGAATTTCTACGCGTACCGGAAGACATGCTCATGGTGCAAGTACCTGAGTTGCATTGTGAGTCGATTTTGTTTCTATAATTTTTACGAGTACTAACATGGAAATAGAATGTCAACAACTGGTGTAATATCGGGAACTTGCAACTCACGCAAGTCAACACAACAAACAAGCGAAGCGTGTTTGATAGTTGGGAGGCAATGGCGAAGCTTTATGAAGCATAATAGAGTTGGAGTTGATAGAAATTGGCCTGGAGGTACATTATGCATAGCGTTGGCGTTGAGTGAGGTTGACCTATACCAAACATACCAAAATGATCGGAAGATAACTCGAGATGTGATGACATTGATGATACGAATGTAAGATTAGGCTTTAATTGAACTTTTCATCTTCAACTTTCAGTCCGCATTGACGGACATTCGTGGCCCTGACAACGGTCTGGACAATTATCACTATCACACTATCAAGTCCTAGTCTCAGTCCAGACAATTGAACAAACCTGGGCTCCTAATAAAGTAGTCTTAGTTCGGCTGTGCCGATCTTGAGAGCATGGTAACGTCCATCCCTGCGTGCCGGAACACCCTACGTGCCGGAAAAAATAATAGGTACTTTGACTTCAAGCATCGTAAAATCGGTGCACACCTTAATATCTCTTACATTTTCTTTTTAAGTTAGATTCCATCTAGAAGGCAAGTGGCGATGCTTAGATAGTATATAAGTAGATGGTTCTCTAAGGCTCTCCAAGAAATAAAGATACTTTACTTTTAATTTTATATAACAAGCTTTGTTCCCTTTGTAAAGCAAAAGAATGAAATTCTTCTAGATGAATGCCCTATAGCAAGACTTCTGTTCCAAGTAGCTAAACAAGTTCCCCGATAATTAGGAGGCAGCCAAAGAATATTTATATCGTTTTCTATTACCCAATGATTAAATACTTGTAAGATTGGCAATAGCTTGCCGTCAGGGGAGAAGGCGACGGACGTGACGCTGCCAGTATGGCCCTCGAGCGTCTGCAGCCGCTTCCCTGTGGCAGCGTCCCAGAGCCGCACTGTCTGATCCTCCGAGCTAGAGACGACCTGCTTGCCGTCGGGGGAGAAGGCGACGGATGTGACTAAGTTAGTATGGCCCTTGAGCGTCTGCAGCCGCTTCCTTGTGGCGACGTCCCAGAGCCGCACTGTCCGATCCCCAGCGCCAAAGACGAGTTGCTTGCCGTCAGGGGAGAAGGCGACGGAGCTGGCCCAAGTTAAATGGCCCTCGAGCGTTTGCAGCGGTGCTCCTGTCGCGGCATCCCAGAGCCGGATAGTCTCGTCGTCAGAGCCAGAGACGACTTGCTTGCCGTTAGGGGAGAAGGCCACTGACCTGACCCAGTCTGAATGGCCCTCGAGCGTTTGCAGCGCTGCTCCTGTCGCGGCATCCCAGAGCCGGACCGTCTTGTCGTCAGAGCCAGAGACGACCTGCTTGCCGTTAGGGGAGAAGGCGACGGATGTGACTAAGTTAGTATGCCCCTTGAGCGTCTGCAGCGCTGCTCCTGTCGCGGCATCCCAGAGCCGGATGGTCGCGTCGTAAGAGCCAGAGACGACCTGCTTGCTGTCGGGGGAGAAGGCCACTGACGTGACCGAGTCTAAATGGCCCTCGAGCGTTTGCAGCAAAGTATCCCAATGCTCTTGGACTTTAGGTCTCTGTTGAATCCAACACGGGATACACTTCTCAAATGTCTTTCGGACAATACTTTTCTTTGGGGCAAAGACAAGGGCTGAGCAATACAATTGAAGGGGTGCTTGTTCAATCACTAATCGATTGTGTAAAGCAAATCGCTTTGCGTCATAGATAAATGCGTGCAAATCGGGGCTTTCAATAGCCTAAGCACAAGTTAGTCTCTTATAGATAAAACATAGACAGCTTACTGAAACGTGGGCTTCTAAGGATAATATTGCTTGAATCCCTTCTGAGGTCTTGCCCATCCACCCAAGCGCCTCAAGCCAGTGTAGTAGATGAGCCTGCAGAAATCGGTGGGCTTCCTCGCCGTCGGAAGCTTGAGAACTACTCTTTTGCAGATGCTGAACCCAGTAGAGGCATGCGTATTGAACGTCGGGCGGAAGGCATTTCTGAATACAACTACTCTCAACTTGGCTGGCTTGACTACCAGGAGCATGCATTTCGCAAACATCCTTCTTCAGTGTCTGGGACATCAACTGTATGCAGCTAGTAGCTAATAGCTGGTGTGTCTCCTTCTCATCTACCCAGAAATCCCCACATCGATCTTTGTTGAGGAGGAAGTCGCGAAATGAAGGATGATGCAGACGAAGTGGGTGAGCATCGGCCTCTGGGATATCTAGAATGGCATGAAGATCTTTTAACACCTGGTTAATCTTGTGTTTATTAACATCAAGCAACCTGTGAAGCGAGCTAGCAGAGAGCGGGGAGAAGAGAACAACAATACTCCCAAGAATGTGCCGTAGCATGCTGTATAGTTCCTTCTTCTCTATTGCTGAGTAACGTGGATGAACAGACCTTCTGAGGACGGTATTATAGAGCTCGTTCAGGTGCTCTTCTGGCGCAGTAGTATATGTGCTGCCTTCCAGCAAAGTTTGCACTCTCTCGTCTGCGAATAGGCCTTCTTGAATGAATCAACATGCTGTTGCTGCCCAAATGAACAAACTTCCGGCGATCTGAACCAATTCTTTGATGATATCTGCGCCGGGCCAGTCGATATTTAGAGATTGTTCCTCTCTGATGAGCTTGAAGTTGTGCTGCAGGAAAAGAGAGATATCGTGGTCTACGATCGGCGGCGATATGTTGTGGAGTACAAAGTCCCGGTGTTCACCGTCTGGCACTTCACCAAATCCGTTTCGGATTGGAAGGTCAGGTCGGCTCGTCAGAAGGACCTGTAAATGCGCTGTCTTGAGCGATCGAGCATCCGCCAAAAGGTGAACGATGATGCGAATGACCTTGTCATTGTCGCACTCATCGAGCGCATCAACCACGAGAATGTATGGGAACTGGCCACCACCGCTCCCGCTCAGCTTTGACAGCGGATGTACGACGAGATGCTGCCACTGATCGCGGAGAGACTGGCTCGCGATATCGCGCCGCTCTTTGATTGCATCGCAAAGGTACTGATCGAGAGAGGGCACGTTGCTCGCCAGCTGCAACGCAATGCTCGTGACGAATGTGCCTGCATGGCCTACATCTCCACCGCCTCGCGAGAAGAAGAAGCTGGCTCCGAGACGCTTCTGGTCGAGGCATCTACGGGCCACGGTGCGCGCAATTGTCGACTTCCCCGTACCAGCCAAGCCGTGTAGCCAGAAGATACATCGCTCGTTTTGTCCATCAGCCCAGCTATATATGTCTCGAAGAAGGTCGACGCGGGTATTAGGGAGGCAGGTCGGGTCGTGTTGTCGCTGGTATGCGTTGAACGGCGCGTCCACAGCAGTAGGAAGGGTGCGGAGCACATCATGCAAGTCTCAACTGCTAGTCAGCCTCGCCCTTGGGTGTATAGCTACATATACTCACTTTCTTGGTTCCCTAAATACACTGGTGCGTGAAAGGTGGTCGATCAATACGCTGCTGATGTCTTGAGTGATGCCTGCCATTAGCCTCGGCGCGGCGATAACAGCACCACCTTTGCTAGTCGTGCGAGGATCAGCCCTAGTACCAGTGCCGTCACGCTGATGGTGCGTCAAGAGATTCAGGAATATTCAGCGAAGACAGTAAGTTATCATTTCCAATTCAAGGCGGGTCTAAGCAGCAAGAAAATGCCTCGTCAGGCTCATTATTCAGCTGCAGTCAGATAGACAGGATGATTCGCTGCAACCCCGCAGTGTCGCCCTCAGCTGAAGAGAGGCTCTCAATTCCAAATAAAGTCCACCGCTGTCCCCCAACTCGACTTTACTTACTTCCTCAGAACTTCACTCGTAAATAGCCATCTGTCAAACGAGGACCCCTGCCTCCTCTGTAGCCGTTCTTCTGGTTTTGTGTGTGGCCGTCATTTACCAAATCTTAAGACTGAAGTTTAGAACTTATGGATCCTCTCAGTATCACCGCAAGCGCCATAGGTATCACACAATTTGCTATATCCAGTATTGTCAAACTTCATGATATCATTAACGATCTTGCCGAGGCTAAAGAAGTCGCACGAGATATTGCCTCAAACTTGGAAGGCGTACAGCGCCCGTTGGCCGCTCTGGAAGAACTCACCATTTCAGACCGCACGATATATATCACAACGAAAGCGGATCTGGAGAAAACTGGTGTCGTCGAAGCCGTTAACAACTGCGGGCAGGCATGTGCCGACTTTGCAGACAATTTGAAGCGGTGGACGAAACATTCCACTGGCACAACCACCAAAATCTCACTCAGAGATCGATTTTTAGTCGGCGTTTGGAACAAGGAGAAAATCCGGACTTTTAGAATGCAGGTTCAGTCTTGCCAGGCTATAGTTCAGTTTGCAATTACAAGTACCCAGTTGTAGGCGAGCCTTTGTACATCACGATCACGAATTATTGCTGATGCTCTAGAAAGAATCGTTCAACTCCGCTCTGAACAAACATCAGAGATTCATCGCGAGCAACTGAAGACCCAATTGCAGGCTCTCGAGACACAAATCCAAGAGTATATAGATCTCGCCAAGAAGCAGCAAGATGAAGCACAAAGACGTAGGCAAGATCTACAGGAGCAGCCAGGGGACGAAGAAGACGGCGGTGCTCAGCGAGCCCTAGCCACACAGGAGGTCGAGAAGCAGAAAGGCTTACTGGAAGCTGACCAAGTTTCCTCCGCAGTAGTCTTCTTACAAGTGCGGTCCAAACGAACCAGTCAGGATATCAGTAACATTATAATATCAGATGATTCAAAGGCTTTGGTAGGAATGCCGGAGAGTGTTGTTGGAGAAGTCAACCAACGGATCAAAGGCGTAACCACAAAGAATCGATCTGCTGCAGCTGTGGGAGTTTTTGACAAGAATGTTGATATGAGGGATTTCTTCAAGTCAACATAGCTATCAGGGCTCGCAGGTGGAGAGTAGTTGCAGGCTGGCCAACCAGTCAGTCGACTAGTCAACTGACTGATAAGTGAGCAGTTAAAGTGAACCAGTTTAAACATTTTGAATCGTTTCAGTCTATCAGTGATCCAATAGTCCATCCGTTCCAAGCGCCAGGGTCCGAGACGTGTTAGTTGGGCTAGGATTTCGTTTCTACTGCTGAGTTTGGCGTTGGAGAGGGCGGTTTGGTGGAGGGTGTAGAGGATGTAGAGGAGGGCTAGGGTCGGGATGGGTAAGAGGAGGGGGAGGGGAGGGGGGACATTTTGTTGATAGTGAGGGAGATGAGGTACGGAGAGTTGGGGGAGATCAGATGAAGGGGTGAGTGCTAGGTTGGCTTGGTGGAGGAGAGTGTATGAGGCGCAGTCGCTTGTTGTTGGCTTCGCTAAAAAATAGGGAGCGAGGCGCTAGAGCTCCCCTCTCCACAAATTGAAAGCGGATGAAAGTCACTACATCAGCCTGCCACTAATTTGTGGAAGTTATACTCTCAGATCTCAGTGCTATGTACCCCTGGCCTTTGGCGGTCGAAATATCAAACTTATGCCACAGCATCGCGTGAATTTGGAAATTTTCCACGCATTAGTGCTAAGTTGAGGAGGTACTAGGCTTTGAATAATTTAGTATGGCTACGATTGTTGCAGGGAGCATAAGTTTGCAGTGAGCCCAGCACAACAGTGTAGCATTAGCATGGTGAATAAGGGGCTTCTTTGAGGAGTAGAACCTTAAGAGTTACGCAATACCAAAACGTTACCCCTTCTCTCATGTTCAGGATTATTCTTACAGCTTTGCAGTCTACTTTGTTTATTTGATAATGATAATAATAGCATGTGCTGTTTCCAAGGACGACAAATACGTCCCGAGGTAGCGCCTAGACAAGTACTACTTAAAGAAATAGCCGCGTAGACAATTTCAAATTCAGAGTTTGAGACTTTCTTTCTTTTGTAATTGAAGGCACTCTCTACCTATGTTTTCTCTACTTCCCCAGCTCGGAGCAGCAATTTTAGTCATATATGTTTTTGAATCCGCAGAATGTATCCATGGCTGCAGCTCAGAAGCGTTTGGGGGCCAGAAAGCCTCGCTTACCTCGTTACGGTAATCTCGGACTCAAGGGCCAATCACTGACGATCTGCCACTTCGATTGCTTCAATACTCCGTCCGAGCTCTGAATTCCATTGGGTGTATGCATCGCGAGCCTCATTCTAAACACAATTGAGCCTTGGTCTTGTAGCTCCTTCGGAGCATAGCCTCGAAATGGTATTTACGCCGTCTTCGCTGTTTATCCCGTGCCTTAGCGTAAAGAACATAGGCAGGATGCATCCAAAGAAGCCTATCAACACGACTGAGCATCCTTCCTGGCGTGTCTTCGACCTATCGTTTGCCTTCGAGAGTAGTATCAGCCATGTTGCATGATGATTCGGCCCCCAAAAACTCCAGCCCTGCTACAAGCCATTTGAGTTTGAGAATTCCTTTATAAGCTGTCCTCTCCCGAATCGCCTCTTCATGCTACAACCCAAAATAAATCATGTATCGAAGAGTAGAAACTCGGGACGGCGAACATCGTCCCAAGAGTCGCGATGTCAGTCCCGTTCCATCCGATCACCGGACCCCTCCAGAATATGCGACAATCATGGAAGGAATAGGCGGGGAAGACTTGCATTTATCGTTGAGCACACCCGCTGAAGCTAGAGAGATTCATAACCGAACTGAACACCCAATACATGCTAATGCTGGAAACGCCGGAAAATCAACAGATTCACCGAGTCTGAAAGAGGAAGGAGCGTCTGCGCAGAATGAATGGACACCGGGAGTCTGGGTGCGCATGCCATGGCTAGGCTTGATGGCTATACTTGGAAACATTTCTTGTTTGTAATTGTTTCAGCGCGAGGCGCCACTTGCTGATGATATCTAGGTATACTAGCGTTTGTTGTGATACTCGTCTGCAGCAATAACTCGGAGGTTAAAAATTGGAATACGAATTTACAGCCATCCGTTTGGCTTTCCGCTGCGTCGACACTCGCCAACCTATCTCTTGGACTTGCACTGGCAGAAGGGCTGAATATTGTTTTCTGGAGAGAGGCCATCAGAGGATCCAGTGTAAGTCAACTTTTGCGTGCTCGACATTGATTACTAATGTAATAGCTCAACGATCTCAATACGTATGCCAGCGGTGGTTCACTGATCGGAGCCCTATTATCCTTTTACGGAGGCAACAAAAACAAGAAAACGTTAGCTGTCATTGCAGGTGAGACATTCTAGCAGTGAGTAGTGCTTTCTGACTTTAGGTTCTAGGGATCGCCTTGACCACACTTTCAACCTTTCGAGGACCGGTCATCCAGAGAGCCTCCGTAGTATCCTTCACAACCATCGAAACTTCGGGAAATATGACTCTGAATGTTGCGCAATACTTGGAGGTGAGAGAAGAACCACTCGGAGTTACGACTGGAAGCTCCATCGACACTACAGATGCCACGATATCGTACGTCACCTCGAACTTCTCGGAAATTGCACTAAATTTCACCAATCGTCAAGGTGTCTACATCGATGCTCCTGATTGTGGAGACAATTGTACTACAACAGTTCAGGTGAGATATTCAGTCTCCCCCAAACAGCTCCCTCGAAATGTAACAACTTGAAGGGATTCGGGTTCAAACCTACTTGCATTTTCAACAACGCTTCCTTCGATGGTCAAAATTCCAGTATCGGCTCGGCCGGTGTTATCGTCTTCGAGTCAGCCGTGAATTACCGCTACAACTTGAGCTCATCAGATGTACTGCCCAACACACAATTCATTCTGAATTCAACGTTCCTCGAGGGCGGACTTCAAAGCGACGTTCTTCCTACTCAAATTTGCACCCTGGATGTAGCGATCGTCGAGTATTCGGTATTCATCAGTGGCAACACTGTCCAAATGATCTCTACTACGGTTTACGATCCCTATCTCCCAAGCAGCTTGTCGTACATACCTGCCGGATTCGCCACGTCGTATCTCGACGGTAGCTCTGAGTCTGGCAAATCGGGCACCATCACTGCTGTAGGAAGTATCGTTGCAGGGTTCGCGTACTACCTCGATTCGCTATTCGCCTCTTCGAGCGTTCTCTCGTTCCAAAGTTTTGGAGAAACTTTTGAGGACTTGCAGAACGGGAATTGGTCCCTACAATCCATTGGGATAAATGCAAATCAGTACATGTCCCTGGGCACGGGATGGACGATCACTGACAACACCACTTGGTCAAACCCCATGTCCGACATGTTGAATCAGACTCAGGAGTTGGCATTTCGAGTTGCAGTGCAGACTGCCATCAATAACCCAGACCCATCACACGCGCAAATGGTTCCCTACACTGGCCAAAGAACGATCACTGTGTATAAATCGGATTATACTGTTATGGGCATTGCGATACTGATCAATTTTCTGGGATTGCTTTCGGTGTTAATGCTCTATCATGGTTGGTGGGATTTAGGACGAAGAACAAGTCTGAGCGTCTTAGAGACAGCCAAAGCGTTTGGAGCGCCGTTGTTAAGGGATTCAGATGACAACGCTACAGCAAAGCAAATTCTGTCAAAAATTGGGAAGACAAGGATCATGTATGGGGAAGTCACATCGGCGAGGTCATCTGGGGAGTTTCTCATTCCAAGGAAAGGGATTAGGAGTAGGTTGCAGATGGTGGAGGAGGAAAGAGGGAGGAGGCCTAGTCTAGGGACGGTATTTGGCTGATGCGGGGACTTTTTGATATTTTTATCATTTGAAGGTTATAGTAATCTATTCACAAACACTCATTCGCTCGTGGAATGATGTATATCTCGTTCGATGCTAACTCCACCAACTATGTTTATGATTGTTATCTAGAACTTTCGATATCCCACACGAGCAATACACAAGTGATGATCTAAGTGATGATCTGCCTTCTTTAATATAACTTCCTCCCCAGGTCCCCAGTGCATATAGTAATATCCTTGTAACCGACCCTCACCCCACTTCCACCTTAGCAAGAAACACTGCCCTAACGCCAAAGAAGGATAGGTGTTCCTCCACAACGTAGCTTGCAACAAACCCAGGGCATAGCCATGATGTTTCCAACATATCACAGATCGTGCGGTTGATACTATCACTTTACAGTCCGAAAAGTAACGCTGTTGAGCACTGCCGCATTGAGATGTTGATAGTGTAGCCGCACTGTCTGCAGATGAAATACTATGTGTAACACATTGTCGTTGAGGGATTCGTGAGTTTGCTGGTTCTCTTGCTCAATCGTTAGTCTATTCCTCACCAAATTTGAGTGATACTACGAGTGTTAGGACGCTCGATGACCCATAGTTATTTTTTCTTAACTTTTCCGGAAAGATGTTAACGGTTGGAAAACTACGTGTGCTGCAGTTCGCAGTATTGCCAGCCGAGAGAGAGAGGAATACACAAGTTCAACTGAGCTGAGGCTAGCCCAGAGCGTATGGAGGCAATGTATGAGGAGGAACTTTCTATACCTGCGAATATACAGGTAGCGAGATACTTTGGCTAGCAATGAATTCGATTCAACTCAAGTTGTGAGCAAATACATAAGAACGCGGCTCAATTTTTTGTAAAAGAAAACTCCCTTATTAATTCACTTTATAGATGTTGCTCGTTTAGCAATTTTGGAACTATACCATTTCATCCTATGTTTCGAACGTGGCCGAGGTATAACATACTCATGCTCGAGGCACGAGATGAGCTCTATCTTCTCCGCGTCCTCGGCACACAAAATCTTCCTCACGTACTGTTTGGGGGAGTATTCTACTCCGTCTCGGTCCGTGTAAAGATACTTCGTGTCCTTTTCTGAATCGTGACAAAAGTCCAGTGCTTTGACCATCGCCCGTGTCGTCTCGACGCCGTTTTCCATTGCCCAATGGAGAATCGTCATGTTCCTATGCCCCCACTCAGGTTGGGTTACGCCAGCTAGGAGGTCCATCGTCCGTTGCTGCCGCTTTCTCCAGTGCGATTTATTATTGGCAATCTTGCACCAAGGCAGGTATTTTGCTTTGCAGACGAGGGCAAGCGGGACCATGTTGTCGAACTCCTCTGCTTTATGGTTTGGATCATGGGTTTTCAGGAGCCACTTGACAAATTTAGGCAGCGCTAGAAGTGCAGCTAGATGAAGCGTTCCGTCATTGCGCGTTACTTCAGGCGCTATGAGGCGAAAGGCTTTGCAGTTGCCTAGGTATAGAGAGGCTTCGCGCAGAGGGAGCTCTCCTGTGGAATCTAATATGTCCGAGTCCTTTTCGAATGCCCCTGGTTGCGAACTTAGAGGACCGAACGAAGAACCAGGAATTGCGTAGTCTAATATCAGACCTCTATCCCAATCGAGCAGTGCTTTCAGAATAGGAGTGCGCGATGTGTCGAGTAAGCAGCCAAAAGCTGCAGATACTTTTGTCAGCGGTGTCGAATAAGCCGGAAGTGCTGCACAATACGCCAGTCAAAAATAAATACAGTACAGTAGACAGGTAACAAACCTGCATCAGTTCTAGATAGGAGCACAAGGATGGTGTCATTCGCAATTCGAGGTTGTGAAAAAAGAGCCCAGATCAGAGCTGTACATGGTTCGGTCTTCCAGTCAGTGCAAAGGGAATAATCTTCTTTCGTGGAAGCAGACAACCCAGCCACATCAAGAAGAAATCTCAACAGCTTGGTTCCCGTGGGAAACTTTCGCATGCATTTGTACACCAGCTTGTCCTTTTCATGGAAGATAAAGTGAGGATTCCAGCTCAAACGAGATCGTCCCCCAATAAAAACCTCAAACCACTTTATTATTTCCGACTCCTCTTGCATATTCTCCAGAAGTGCTTCGAGAAGTACCCAGCAACTTGCATATTTACTGAGGGCTTGAAACTCAGCAAGCGCTCCTGCTGTCGCCGCTAATGCAAGGCAATGGCCATTGTCTTTGTTAGGATCACCACCCTTCTCCAGGAGAAATTGCAAAGTGGAAATATCGGGTAGTCCAGCCTTGAAACTGTCTACAAGCGCTTGAGAGACAGACAATTTGTCGATGTGCCATACAAACAGGATACGGAATGTCTCTACCGGAACATGTCTTTTGAGCAAGGGAGTCTCGCACACTGTCTTGCATATAACATCAAATGCCACCGTCGCCATGCTGTCGTCGGAAATGTTTTGGGCCAGAAGCTTCACAGCTAGGAGAGAGTTCGGAGAGTTTGCGCGAAGTGCAAGTGAGAACGCCTTGCCTTCTTGGAAGCAGGAAGACGCGCCATTGTTGAGAAATAATTTCGTGAAAGATAGATCACCACCGACATCAGATTCCAATGAGTCAACAAGAGCTCTAGAGACGTTCTCGCTTGAAATTCCTTTGGACAATAGAAGCTGGTAAATCCAATACCTCCTCCCTGAAGTCATTTCGATCTTCGGGGCATGGTTGAAAATTCTTACCACATTTTCGGTACCCTTGACGGTTCTTAATAACATGTCGAGCAAATTGAAAGAAGCCGTCTCTAGCGCTAACGTGAGGATTTCAAAACTAACTTCGGCACCGTATGACAGCAATAGTTGTGGCAGCTGCGTGCACTTTGGAAGGTTCGTAACACAATGAGCCAGTAATTTTGACTTGTCAGGTATATCACTCAGGGCAATCAGTGATAAGAAGATAGCGTCTTTTTCGTTCGCACTTATTGGAGATGATACTACTGCAAGACATGCCTTGGTGAAGGTGTGGAGAGTGGCTACTGCTTGATGACGAAGGAAAAGCCGAAGGCCTGCTTGATCACCAGACAATGTATAGTGAACCTCTTGCAATATCGATTCTGATTGTCCAATCTCGTTTGAGTCTCCTTTCTCCAAAATAGCTCTCATAGTGTCAAGTTGGAAGCGTCTAGGGCGGGCGTACGTGGCGGTACGAAACGCCGCAGTTAATGAGGTAATGCTCGGGTTTGCGGAGAGAGCTCTGGTGAGAAGACGATCATTTCTTTCCTGGATAGCGAAGGAGAGGATCTCTCCATTTTCGATGTTCACATCTAGGCCATATCGAATGAGAGAAGAAACAATCGCGGTTGCATTCGGATTACCTCTTAGTATATCCGAAGACCACAGAGTATTCAACACACCACCTGAATTTTGGGCGCAGCTAAGCAGTAGTTCCACAGCCTCAGAGGTGTAAATCCGCGGATCAACAGCAACTAGAAATGCAGATGCAATGCTTGCTTGGCTAAATTGGCGGGATGTACATAGTATTCGAAGCAGAGCGAGATTCGACCTCGCGATTGCAGCACCAAGTGCAGCGCCTCTCGCGTGGTTTGCATCAGCACCGTGTTGTAGCAAGAGGCGTGCAATCTCCAATCGATCTTGACTAGCTGCGTTCTGGAGAGTCTGGTGGATTGGTAGATCAACCGCTGCTTTTGGCAGCAATAGCTTAATCATACTTAGCGCCATATCATACCCACAAGTATCTATCGCACCAAAGGCAACAGCAACAGCCTTGGATATAGTTTCTTCTCCTGGGCTAGCGTCGAATAGCATTCTGAGGATCGGAAAATTGCCTCTCCGAGCGGCTACCAAGACAGCATTGTTGGTGTTATTACCGACTCCGTCCACTGGTGCTTTATGCTGAAGTAAGAGCTGAATTAGTTCGGAGTCTAGGACGCCCTCTTCTGAGACCAGAGTGTCTAACGGATGACCAAGCGCTTGACGCAGTACTCCTTTTTCGAGAAGAGCTTTCATTGCCTGCAGTCGAATATGCCTTGGTCTTAGGGCCATAGCGGTGGGTATGGTGGTCGAAAGAAGCTTTGGCGAACACTTAATTCGGAGAAGGATGTTTAGTATGTCAAAGTTCGCATTTCCAAGATGTTCCAGGGCTGCCCGTATGGCGGCAGCATGTCCAAACTCAACTGACGCGCCATATAGAATTAGCGTATCGACCAACTGAATATGCTGGCTTCGCACAGCACGAATTAAGTACGGGTCCAGGGGTTGACCGGTAAGTCCCAGCGGGCCCAGAATTTCCACAAGACGTAACAGATCCGAGTCTGATGTTGAACTGGGCACAAGGTTCATTGCCAGCGAGACGGGCGAAGTGAACTTGCAACTTTTGAACAATTTCAGGGTGTCTAACTCCAAGTGTGTAACAGCCCAGTGAAATGCGTTATGGGGCTCCACGTCTACCATGACTCCAGCGTCCACCAATAGTTTGATCAGTGAGAGTTGTCGATTTTTCACGTCATTTACCAGCTCTTGGCGAAGAACCAAACTGTCTGCCACGAGTCCAGCTTCAACGAGCACGGAAAAAAACTTGTGTCTGTGCTTGTTGTCTGGAATTCGGGACACAAGTTCACATGCGAGTTGGCGGACGTCGTTGAAGTACCCTACCCAAGAACCATGTGGGTGTTTTGAAAACCCAGCTTGAGATGCAAACTCGTAAGCGAGCATGATTGCAGTGGCCCGGAGGTTCTCTACTTTCAAGGCCTTTTGGAGCATGTCCATGGAAATTATCTCGGGGCGATGAGCGATACATAGTAGCAGAATTTGTATCCATTCTGTTGCCAAGCTGTGAACTTCGGGCTCTAAGCAACCTCGCCAAGTTTCGGCGCTTATGGCGTTTGGAGCCGATAAGAGAAGTCTCACAAGAGCAAGATCGTGCTGCTTGACACGCTCATGGAGAGTATTTTGGCAGGCAGGAGAAACGACTGCACCGAGGGCGAGAAGCGTCTTCATTGCGTCCATTGAGTGTTTCGAGAGTGCGATTTCGAACGCCCGGTTCAATGCATCCTGGTCCAAACCAACCTGGCAAACCAAAAGGATGTATTCAAGATTTTCTTGCGCATAGATTTGGTCAAGCCACGTCATCTTGCGAGAGTTGGCAGATATCGTCTCGATATTCACAGAGGATCTTCCGTTGAGAAACCCCAAAGATATAGACCTAGAAAGCTTGGAAGACCTGGAGCTATTGGAGCGAATGCCAACAACCTGCGCCCTTTCCTCTTCTTTCTCCAAATTGGGATCGCAAAAGTGGCGCCATAGCTCTTCCAAGGAAGCGACGGATGCGTGATACAGTAATGCCTGTGCAATTCCAGGCGCTGGGAGGGGCTTGCGAGACAAGATAAAATTAAATGCTCTCGCGACCTCATTCTTGGTGAAAACCCAATTGGCTGACTTCCGTTTTGCCTCTTTACTCTTCGACCAGAAGATATGTCGTTTCCGCCTGTCAAGGTCGCTGGCTCCTTCTTGAACGAGCAAGAGTTGTGCTTCTTGGATGTTGTATGGAATGGAAGCCTCATTCTCGAAGGTACCAACGGTCAATACACCCAACGATGGAATTAGCCCCGGTGCATCCAGCCCAGCCTCGCGGAGAATAGCTGCGATTCGATGGTCGTCGGTGAGGGGATAAGGAGGTGGGATATATGGCATACTTGAGTTCGTGAGAACAAATACCACAGATGCGGCTGCTGCCAGGAAGGAGCAGTGGGGAGTGAAGAGGAGGAAGGATTGACTGTATCATGGAGGAAAGCGCGCACGCATCTGCAGCCGATCTTCTCTCCCTCCCTTGTACCCTCGCGGCTGTGTGCATGCGCCGAGCCGCACCATTGGATTGCATCGTATGGTTCACTGGGTAGACTCGGTGAGTATCGTCAATGAGACAACCAATCACCCCGAGACATGCATATACTGTTGTATGTACAAGGACGTCCAAGGAATTAGAAACGCCCGGGACACGGGAGCCTTAGCGATTCGCCTAAGGGATGTGTTCAATCTACGGCCAGTCCATTAAGCCACGAATGCTCGCTAGCTGCCTCTGTCTTTCCTTTTCTCGACTCCGGCTTTCTCTCTGCTTCCCCACCCAACCTCTCTTGGGTTCCATATAGCTCAGCAACAATCCCCGTGTGCTCGTTCTGTGACGGCAATTCGAAGACTGACATTCTTCGCTATCTCTATCTCCCAGTCCCAAATGGCCTCCGATCCGCCTCAATTTGCGTCGCCCGCCTCTGTGTCCCGCTCGGCGACATCACGAGGCCACATTCGATTGCTGGCAGATGAGATGCTGCGCGCCTCGCTGAGCAGCAGCGGGGCCTCGCTTTCTTCGACACCGGCTGCGACTCCGCCCTCCTACCGCCGCTTGCCAGTCCCTCCCACTCCCGCCGAGTTGTTGAGCCGCAGCCGTGAGCGGAATCCCCGTGAGAATTGGACACGCTTGCCGGACGACGGGTCAGTGTCAATCACCCGCGACAGTATAAGCAAGACTAAGAGCAACGGCAACAGCAGGAGCAAAATCAAATCTGAAAATAGCGACTCGTCCGCCACTACCCTCTCGGCCGACGAAACCAAGGCGCGAATACGCGGTCTCCGACGGGAACTTGAGCGGGCAAGGGGCGATGTACCACCGCGACCAACGACCGGATTGTTCGAAGCAGCGTGTTCGACTGACCTGCTGTTTCTAATCGACACTACTGGATCGATGTACCCCTATATCGTCGCTGCCAAGGAGCAAGTAAAGAGCATTGTCGTTGATATCAAGAGATCGTTTCTCAATCAGGCCGAAGTGCGCGTCGCCGTGGTCAGTTACAAAGATCATGGAGACTACCCGAACATCGAGTCCCTCGACTTCACACCATCGACGGACCAAGTCTTCCAATTCCTGGGCCAGTTGGGCGCTTCGGGCGGAAGGGACGCTCCCGAAGACGTGCTCGGTGGCATATTCCAAGCGCGGAACCTATCGTGGCAGCAGCGAACGCGTTGCATTATCCACATTGCAGATGCACCACCACATGGCGCTGGGGAGTTGCACGACTTGGGCAACGGCGCAGATGACTATTCTGTCCCTGGGAGTGAGCCGCATGGCCTCATCTACAAACCGCTCCTTAAAGAACTGATCGAGTTCAACATCAACTACGCCCTGCTCCGGGTCAATTCATCCACGGATCGCATGGCCTGGGCCTTCGCGCAGGTTTATGCTGCCTCGAGTGCGGACGCCAAGCTTCTCCCTTCCAATCGGTACTTTGGTCAAGTAAGTTGCACACAACCAGAAGGTCGCAACAGCGCTTGGAGTGGAGCAACAAGTAAGAAACACTCTGATCTTCAGTTTGAGGAGATGGAGCTGGGCACTACATACAGTCAGCTCCGGCATTTGGTGGTGAGGACTGTCACTAGCTCTGTTTCTCGCACGGCGGGTCGCATGACAATGGCCTTGAGCACTGTACCCACGCCTGTCACCACCTCTGTTTCTCGCACGGCGGCTCGCATGTCATCGGCATTGAGCACTGTACCCAAGGCGCGTGTTTCCGATCTGACGTTGATCGCGGGGGAGGAAGGTATCGATGGAAGTGCAATAAAGTTATTTCTCGAGAAAGACCCGCCGCAGTGGGACACAGTCGGCTGGTTCGATGAGACTCTGGTAGTCGAGGGATTCTGTCCCGACATGAAGCTGCAGAGTGCCAATTCTTTGAACGAAATGATGAGCGCCGACGAAAACATCAAACTAAGCGTTGCACAACTTACAATCCACGCAAGATCGAAACCATTTGGTGAAGGTGCAGTACGCGTAGCCTCTTATGCCCGCACGGAGTCCTCGACTGGCAAGTTCGTGGTAAAGTTCTTCAAAAAAGACGGCAAGATGCTAGCCCACCTCGCTGAGGATATGCAAATCCAGGCGCTCTGTAAAGCTTTCGCTCTCGAGTTCAACGGTCTGCTGAAGGAAGAGCCCCAGATTGACTTCGTTGTAACGACGTGCCTGCAAAGTAAGGGGGATGCAGAGTCGGAAGGCGGATGTCTTTCGCTTGAGCCCTTTATCGATGGAGAATACATCAAGTACAATAACAATAGCATGTTTGTGAAAGAAGATTCTCCTGGCGAACCCGACCCGTTTAACCAGATAGCACAGGCTTTCTCACACTTTACTTTCGAGCGCTCATGGGGATACTTCCTCGTGAACGATCTGCAAGGAGTAAGCGGCTTGCTGACCGATCCATCCATCCAGACGCGCGACCACGACAGGTTCAAGCTAGCTGACACCAACTTCCACGAGGAAGGCTTCAAATTCTTCTTCGCTGCTCATAAATGTAATTCCATCTGTCACGAGCTAGAGCTCAAGAGCAATGGTGAGATGATTATCTCAGGCAACTACACTTTTCGGGAGCGCTGGCCGACTCTAGAGCCCACCGTTTGCTGTTCCAATAAGCTCTGCCGACGGATTGTCCGCTTGGCGAGCACCCAGGAGTCCGAAAAGTTCCGGGGCTACCACTGGTGCAGCGCGTGTTGGCCGCAGTTACAGTCGTCTATGGTTAGCTGGGTCTGTGAAGGCCCCGGCCCAAATCACGAGTTCGATATGTCGAGATTCTTCTACGAGTCTCAGGGTCAGCTTGCACCCCACAGATGTTCGGAGCACCTCGCGAAAGACAAGAGTGTGTCGAGCATGGCCGTGATGGGTGGGAGCCTGTGGAGTAAGATGAAAGCTGAGGGCTCCAAAGAGTCTATCTCTGGGAGGAGTTGGTAAGTAACCATGACAGTTGATTCGCGATGACGACACCAAAGGCAAGTAGAGAGGTGGTAGAAATAGTGTGAGAGAAGCTTCAAGAGAACAAATCAAAAGTAGCAGTGCGCACAATAAATCTGGCTTCGAAGCTCAATCAACTCAATCCTGACGTACAGCAGAATGTTCCAAGTTCTGACGAATCCAATGGGATCCTCAGGTCTATCTGTGAAATAGCAAAGTGCATCATGAAGTTCTCTTAAAAAGGGCGGTTAGAACGGGCCACAGAAGGATTGAAACAGTGAAACAGAGAAGCAATTGCGCTGATAGGTATCGATGTGCAACTAAGGCACCGACCATGGCTGCTATTCCTCCAGGGCGTTGAAGCCTTGACTAGGATACGACCTCCAAGGCAAAATTCAGGTGAAGAAGAACAATGTGTTGGGTTGGGTCGTAGTTGGGGCGAGCGGAGACGGTGGGAAACAAGGACATCAATTCATCTCGTCTATTGGCTTGATGGGAAAACAACATGCAAAAACCTGGAAGCATCGCAGCATTGACATCGCGATGAGCTTTTCGAAATCTGCGTATCCAGTGAAGTGAATGAAGAGCCGGGACTGAAAAGATCGCGTTGTTATTCTTGATCACTGTTGCAGTTGCGTTTGGTGTCTTGAGAAGAAGTTTGTTGAAAGATCTTGTTGCTTACAATGAAGGTTATTGGCTAGCTATAAACCGGTTAGCGGTCTCCACAAAAAAGGTCCCCCAGCCTTGCCGATTTTCTGCTGCTGCAGAACAATTTTCTCGAAGCAACTCGACCTTGCGCAAAAACTCCAAAACGTCGAATATCCCCGCCGCATTCAATACCCTCCTGCACCGTCAAGATGGGGAAAGGCAAGGGAAAGAAGACCCGCAAGGGCGACTTGAAGAAAAATAAAGAGCCAAAGATTAAAGGGCTTCCCAGCACGAGACCTCCAAATCCAACCAAGGTCGCAAACAAGCTGGCAGCAAAGCAGAAGAGAGAAGCTCGACTCGCAGAGCTCAAGGCAGCCATTGCCAAGGATCCGAGTCTGCTCAAGCCTTTCCCGACTCCTATGCAGCGAACTGAGCCATTTATGAAGAATCCAAATGCTGCGAAATGGCCGCATTTGTTCAAGAGACAGCTGGGATTGATCGAGATGCATATCGATAGTATTACGCGCATTATGTCTGCCATGAAGAACGATGGCGACACTATGAGTGAGAAGGACAAGTTGGACTGGGAGCTTGGAGAGAGGGGTAATTGGAGGGCAATTTGCGGCATGCTGGATAAGGCGCGACTGGTGCTGTCGCAGACCAAAGAGGCGGCGCAGGGTGTTGTGAGTTTTGTGTCATGATTAAAGGCAGAATTGCAGCTAATGGTATAAACAGCTGCCTCCCGATCGATTGAGAGACAAGAAAAAGCTCGGTGTTGTGGGCACAACGTTCGTACCTCTAGTACCACAACTCGACGAGAAAGCTAGACAGCTAGGTTACAATCCAAAAGGCAAGGGCTCACTCGGTAGAAGCATGGATTACCTGGACAATGATGGTGATAGCGACATGTCAGATGCATTGGAATCGTCAGAAGAGTCAGGTTCTGAGGATGATGGTGATGGCAAGAAATCCAAGGAGGGCGAGAAGACTGAGAGTGTCCCAAGTGCCACAGAGCCAAATCCATTCTTTGTTGTCGACACCCAGCCTACACCAGTCAATCTGACTGCTCTCAATGGCACAGCGAATACACCCAAAGATGGTCTATCGAATAGACAACGAAAGAAATTGGAAAAGGAAGCAAAGGCGGAGGAGAGATTAGCTAAGAGAATGGCTAAGAAAGCTGCATACGAAGCGAAGAAGGCCGCTGCCGCTGCAGAAGGATCCACGAACGCTGCTGAGGAACCCCCCAAGCCCGAACCTCAGAGCCCAGCGGTTGACTTCAGAGCACTTGAGGCCAAGCTTCAAGCAGAGATTGAAGATGGCACCAAAGCCCAACAAGAACACGAGGCTCAAGAAGCCGAGGCGGCAGAGAAGCGGGCTAAGAAGAAGCGAAGACGTAGCAGTGAGGGTGGCGAAGAGGTTGTAGAGAAGAAGGCCAAGAAAGACAAAAAGGAGAAGAAGGAAAAGAAGGACAAGAAGCGGAAGGCGGATGATGAAGAAGACGCTGACGAGGTAATCAGTAAGAAGAAGAAAAGAAAGAATAAGACCGACTCGGATTCGGACTGAAGGATTCGAACTGGGTAGCTTTCACTCCTTTGCTTTGTTTGCTGGAGTTACGATACCATGAGATTTCATTTATGAGGATTGGGCTGGGCTGGCGTGGCATTGTAGGAGTACAAAATGAACATACTATTTCAAACATATCTGTGTGTAGTGTGAAAGGAGATTGTGCCTCTTCTTTCCGCCAGCTATCCCTAGCTAATTAACGCGTAGATATATTACAGTAAAATATATGTACAAATATTGGCCTCCTAGTCCTAGAGGCATGCAGCGATGCTTGTAATCCACCTTTGCCAATTATGACAAGGCTGGCATCTGCAGCACAGCTCGACCGCACAATAGGTCGTGGTATACCCAGAAAAAGGTATCCAACACTTCCTCCAGCACTACCGCTTTTTCTCCTCGCTTCCCCATGATTTCTTTTCCGCAACAACTTTCTCGTCAACCTCTTTAGCCTCCTCATTCTTATCCTTTCCCCAATTCCACACTTCCCAAATCTGATCCATAATCAACCCGCCATAACCCCTCCCCTCATCCAACGCCTCCTTCTCCCTCTGATCCCTCTTCGCTTTCCAATCCTCCCCCTCACTCCCCATCCAAACCTTCTCCAACAACCCCCTATCAACCCTCTCCTTCTCCCTCTGCACTTCCGCTAGCACACCCATCTCTTTCCTCCTCCCCAGTTCCACCCCCGCCATCCTAGCCTCCTTCTCTTCCTTCAGCCTCCTCTGCGCTTCCATCGCCTTAGGCGGTAACCGCGCATCCGTCCAACTATTTGCCCGATGCACGATGCGCTGCACCATGCTGATGCCTGTGTATTCCCTGCTGATCTGGTTCCCACCTAAAAAGGTGCCGCCGAGGAGCCCGACGGTATAGAAGTCTAGTTTTCGGGGTGGGAGGAGGGCGACGATGGGGCAAACTATTAGGGCGCCCCAGGAGACATAGTGAATTAGGTCGGGTTGGTTCATGGATGTGGAGGGCGAGGGTGGTTTGGAGGGTGTTGTGGTGGTCATTTTCCTGGTGAGGTGAGGTTTGGGTTGCGAGAGGTGGTTATCGTTGTGGCATGAGATGGATTTTCTTTCACTAGATTCGGATTAATATCCAGTTCAATGCATTCATAATTCGTCACCAGATTTTCCAGTTGTTATCGAGAGTTCGAAAAAATTAAAGGCTGAGCTCAAGACATCATTCAAAAATTATCCCTGTCTACCGAAGCTTTTCCGAATTGGAAACGCTCAGCCACTACTGCGGCCCGTATGGGCCAAGATAAGCAAATTTTTGGTTAATGTCAAGTTGCCAGAGTGGTTAATGGGTATGACTCGAACGTCCCCGGACTTCTAGATATCATATGGCTTCGGCCGCATAGGTTCAAATCCTGTACTGTATGTGCTTCTCATGTTTAGGAACTTTATCAAAACTAATTTGTCTATAGTGACGCAACCTTGTGTAATAATATTTTTGTTTTTTTTTAAATTGTTTCATTAGTATTTAAGAATAGACAATATATGGGTTTCAATTAAGCTGTTTTCCCTTAAGCTCTCGTAATGTTCTTGTCCAATTCTTCTCCTGAGTAATCACGTGCATCTATTCGAAACGGAAAACGTTTCCCGGCGGCCGCCCCACTTCCCCTCCTCTGTGCTACGCACCTTCTTCAAAAGCACTCTGTTCGCCCAGCAAATTTTCCAATCTAAACATCTTCACAAAATCTAGATCGTTGCAGATTCTCGATCTTTGATCCGGAATCTTCACTGTCAGACGAAACTCAAAATGCCTCTCATCACCGGCATCGCACACGTGAACCTTACAGTCCCACCAGGAACGCTTGAGCAAGCAGCATCCTTCTACGAGGGCACTTTAGGTCTAACCAGAGCACCTGTCCCAGCACTTCAAAAGGATAGTCTTGCATGGTAATCGACTCTCACTCACGACGGGTCAACCACAGCTAAACCACCCTAGGTTCGACATCACGCCAGGAGAGCAACAAATCCATGTCTCAACCAACTGCTCAACAAAAAACGATCCTAAAGCGAGTAGACATCCATGTTTCAAGCTAGAGTCACCAGAAAAATTGGCAGAGCTGAGAGAAAAGATCTGGGCGCATTTTGAGAAGAAGGATGAAGCCAGTCCAAGTGAGGCGGATAAACCAGGTGCGGAGAATAGCGGTATGTACTGAAAGAGTCTGGTGAGTAGACTTTACTGATTGTTGCAGGTGCCAAAGGAGTAGAGTATCCAACTCGATTCTTTGCCAGGGATTATGCGGGGAATAGGCTTGAGTTCAGTCTTTGATGTGAAACATTATAGGGAAGTTTGCGCTTTTGGAACTCTGTACGCTACGGCTTCCTTCTAAAGTCGAAAAAGTCTTTCTATCTCCTGTATCAGATACGCAGAGAGGTAGACAAAAGTGATTTCCCAGTATTTCGGGCTTTGACGCGTGTGACTGAACTATCTGGAGACGATCATCACAGCTCCTATTATTGCGCTCTTCCTTTTGACCTGTGCATATCGAAAGGAGGCAATCATAATAAGCTAATAATAGAAGAGCAGAAAGAGTTGCCCCTTGGGTTTTTTCTGCAAAATCAGTGCCTTTCTGGACAGATGAGCGGCAATGGAAAGTCGAATCACCAAGGCAGGTGGTTTGAAGCAAAAGGCTGATGTACAAGACAAAAACTGCTGGAAGCTTGCCGTTACTTCGTCGCCATGCAAGATTATTTCTTGTTTGTGAATACCCTGGACTTCTTTGGAGGTATACCTCCTCTTTGTCGTAACAACGAGAATCAGGCTTTGAAAATCCAACTAAATTGTATTTAACTTCCATCATTCCCTAGATCTCTCTCACTAGAAACCACCTAGGTAACTTTCGACCTAACATTTCCTGCTGGAAGTAAGAAGTCTTCATTCCTAACCTTACATCTCGATTTCTTTAATACACTAACACATCTACAAAAGTAATTATGTCGTCAAACTCCAACGACATCGAAGACCAATACACCACAGTTTGGGCAGACCCCATCGACCGGCTAGCCCTCCCATACGCCTGGCGGAAGGGCATTCGATTTTGGACCGGCAATAGACGTTGCTACAAAATAACATCTGGTCCCATTGACGAATATCTCATCATTGGAGGTGGCTACGTCGACTATGCCGCTCTCGAACAAGCAAATAGGGCTCATGATCAAGAAAACCGTGATCGCGCCCGACTAGATATGCACCTTCACACAGGCACTTCGATCCACGAGAACGGATGGTCATATTCTCCTCGAGGCGAGAAATTGCGTATGAGCTTGTATCACAAGTTGATGTATGAGGCTCGATTGGAGGAGGTGCAGAGGAGAATGGTGGTCTTGAAAGCAGAGCTAAAGGGGAAACATGATGCGTGGAAGCGAGTTGCACTGAAGGGATTCGAGGAAGATGTTCCTCGGCTGCAGTCGATGTTGAGGATGGTCGCTAGGTTGAATGCAATGCTGCTTGAGACCAATGCCGGCTGGAACTGGAAAGTTGCGATTCCTGCCCAAAAGATGCTTCGAGTACGACAAGATGATCTTGCTGGACGGTTCAGCAAGACCTTTGCCGAGTTGGGCTTGGATGATGCTCCACTTCGTCGTAGAGCTGCTGGTTTGCCTTGAGCGGCGGACACATATGCATGAGTTGTGACAGATAGGAGACAGGTTCAAGAATAGTCTGATACATTGATTCAGAATCAGAATGGAAAGTCGGCTTGATTTGATCTCGATACAAATAAGTTTGTCTCTGAATGCATGCATAATACTGTCTTAAACATGCAACAATCAAACCGTCACATCTGGCCTCGCTCCTGCAAACGGAGCAGCAAATCCATACCTCTGCCAGTCCATGACCATGCCAGGTTCTCGCTCTAGATATAATCAATACGGTGTTGAAAGGGGAAGCAGCATATGTACCATGATCAGGTGGGAAAGTAGCTCTTCTATGCTCATAATACCTCTCCCTCAAATCCTTTCCGTCCGCCTCGGAAGCATAAGTCGCATAAATCATTGACCTCGGCTTTTCCGTGCGATTTGGTCCAGAGCGATGTGCGAGATGTGATCCAAAGAAGAGAATATCTCCTGAAAAGTTTCAGACTCAGGCTTAAAACGGATATCAACATGCCTACCGGGTTGCATTGGAACGGCAATCCATTCATGAGCTGCTTCCCATTCTGGATGTATTTGACCACCACGTAGGAATGTGACATCCATCTTGTGAGATTTAGGCACGACTTCAAGACAGCCGTTCTCTATAGTAGCTGTATCCACAGCGAGATTGGCTGTCACATGCTCAATCTCGCCGATGTGATCATAAGCTGGTGCGTCGAGATGAGCTGCAAATCCGTTGCCTCTGTACTATATCAATAAGAAAAAGACAAGAAGAGTTGATTGGTAGCATACCGAGCAGACTTATAATTGATCTTATCTTTAAACAGCAGCATTGGCTATCATCAAGTCAGCTACTACTTTGATAAATGGAGCATTACTACTTACTGCTCCTGAAAGCTGATTGAGAACACCAGTCAAGGCTTTACCCCTCAAAAACGAATCAAATTCAGGATGATAATCCACAAACTTCTCAGTCCTCATCAACTGTCTCTCTCCACTGACGTTTATCTCGTCATATGGCATCCATTTTCCCTTCTCTTTTGGCCACGATTGGACTTCTCTTGCCCATCTCTGCAGACTTTCAGGGTTGAAGAGGCCATGTTCCGATGCTGGTACGAAAATGAAACCCTCTTCGTGATATTGGGCAATTTGTGTTGGCGTGAGTATGAAAGTCATCTTGCCAATCCTAGAGTGAGAAAGGAAGCTTAATTGTTCCGATCAGCGACAAGCATGTGCTTAAAAAAGCTGCTTCTTTATGTTCACGGTCAAATCACGAGACATCATAATTCAGATCTGGGTGTCGGACTTCGTTCCGAGAATTGCATTGACCGGGCTCCCATTCTTGACCAATCGCAGCAGACATCTCCACACCAAGTTGCACTACGGTGTTCGTGCCGCATGTGGTCGATCAACGGATGAGAATTGGCAGGTCAGGATGTTGATTAGCAATATTGAAGTCAGGAGTGCAAAGGTCGCCCGAAATTCCAATGCTCATATAGATAACCAAACCCAGCTTCACACATTCCTTTGCTCATCATACTTCATCATGGCTACCACAATGCTCCCGTCAGTAGTTCAGCGCGCAGAGGAGACCATCGCAACTCTCTTCTCTTTCATTACTGCTCAAGGCTCATCCGATTATCTTGGAGAAAAAGTTTCTCAGCTTGAGCACTCTTTGCAGACAGCTCATCTCGCTCGCAAAGCTGGAGCAGATGACGAGACGGTTCTTGGCGCTCTTCTTCATGATGTAGGAAGATTCATCCCTCAGAGCAGAGAAATGCCGAAAATGATTGCGCCAGGCGGGACGTTCATCGGCACAGCAAGTCATGAGGTTGTGGGTGAGAGGTATCTGAAGGAGTTGGGATTCAGTGAGAAGATTTGCCAATTGGTTGGAGCTCATGTTATGGCTAAGCGATATCTGACTGCTGTGGATGGCAAGTATTATGATGGCTTGAGTCAGTCGAGTAAACAGACTTTGAAGTTTCAAGTAAGTATAATTGGTAATGTTTTTTGAGGAATCTGCTGAAAATTGAAAGGGGGGCATATTCAATGATGAACAAGTCAAGGAAGCTCAGAAGGATCCATGGCTAGAGCAAAAGCTCGCGGTTCGCAGGTGGGACGATCTTGCAAAAGATCCGAACTTGAAATCTGAGCGACTGTCATTTTATGAGGACATGGCTATCAACTCACTCCTCAGTACGTGTCCCGCTAGATCTCAAGAGTTTTACTAACCATCACAGAATCCTGGAGTGGCATTGAGCTTCACTCAAGGAAATACTCTTTACCCCAAAACCCCACCGTGGTAGTTTGCGTCGATGGATTCGATCCAGAGTATCTGGACGAAGGCATCAAGGACGGAATCATACCAAACCTAGCCAAGTTCGCAAAGGATGGTTTCCACAAGACAGCGAAAAGCTGTATGCCATCTTTCACCAACCCAAACAATGTCTCCATCATCACTGGAGTACCACCGTCCGTTCATGGTATCGCAGGCAACTACTATTTGGATCCACTAACGAGAGAAGAGCACATGATTGTCGACGACACCCTCCTTCGCGGTACGACTGTTCTTGCATTGTTGGCGAAGAGAGGAGTCAGAGTTGCCGCTGTTACTGCCAAGGATAAACTTCGACGCATTCTCTCACATGATCTCGAAGGATTAGTCTGCTTCTCCTCCAAAAAAGCAAAGGATGCAAATCTGAAAGAGAATGGAATTGAAAATGTCGAGGAATGGATTGGTCGACCCGGACCAGCGCAATACTCGGGCGACCTCTCCATTTATGTACTTGATGCCGGCATTAAATTACTGGAAGAAGAACGAGCAGACATTCTGTATTTGACACTCTCCGACTTCATCCAGCACAAGTATGCGCCAGGAGATAAGGAGGCAAATGATCTTATGAAGGTTCTGGATGCGCGAATCGGCCGAATGGTAGAGCTTGGCGCAGTCGTTGCAATGACTGGTGATCACGGCATGAGCGACAAGTCCAAGGCAGATGGAACGCCAAATGTCATCTTTCTCGAGGATGAGCTCACAAATCGTTGGGGACCGGACTGTGCCAGAGTCATTTGTCCCATCTCAGATCCCTTCGTTCGCCACCATGGAGCCCTTGGATCATTTGTACGCGTCTACGTCAAATCAAAGGAGCACATCGGTCCCATGCTCGATTTCTGTAAGACACTCACTGGGATTGAAGTTGCCTTATCGGGAGAAGAAGCTGCAGGAGTCTTTGAACAGCCGTTGGACCGAGAAGGCGACCTTGTCATTGTCTCCGAGAAGAACGTAGTGATTGGAAGTCGGAAAGACGAACATGATCTATCCAACCTTAAGGGACACCGTCTGAGATCACATGGTGGTCTTTCAGAGCAGGAAATACCGCTCCTCATGTCCCAGCCAGCACACGGCACCTACACAGAAGGGCGAAAGAACTGGAGAAACTTCGACATCTTCGACTTGGTACTGAACGGGGCTCATGAGCGTGCGTAGTCCAGTGTGCGGTAGTCCGACCAAAGACAGCGGGCTGGTCATGTGATTACATCAATGTCGAGAATTGAGGAGATCTCTCTTCTTTGCATATTTGTTGTTGGGTTAGGCATGGATTCGCACTCCTAGTAGATATTTGAGTCTTGCTGGCTGAAGTCCATAGGCCAAAATTCTACTCCAGATGTGATTTGATGATCTGACAAGAAATCGTAATTTCCCATTGAGAATCCATCAAGTCCATTCCCCATATTCTAGTCGAATTGATCAACTGGTAGGTCTATAGCTTCCGGTAATTGCATGTCAATGCCAGCGGTCGGTGGTTGAGCTCTTTCCGTGTTCGGGGCCTCTCTTTGTCTCGCATTTTCAAACTGTTCGAGGAGGCTCTTGAGACCTTCCGATATTCCGGCAAGAAGATGTGCCGGTCTGATTTTGGAGGCAATATCATCTAGTACTCTAACGCTCTGGCCTAGGAGGCGTAGAATTTCATGCACATCAACGTGGATAGCATGAATATAGCTCGTAGTAATGCGAAACAAAAACACTGAAGCAAATGCGATCATGGTATCGAAGTATAAAGGTAGGTCGCTCATGAACGATTGAAATTCCACGTCTGTGTTGATGCTTCGTAATATAGAAGTGGCGGAAAGCACAGCATTGTCGGCTACTTCTCTCATCTCACGCGACATTGCATTTGTCGCTGCGTTGTTATTCGAAATGCCTCTGAACGCATGAGAACAGAGGTAAAGCTTAGCGAAGTGGTAGTGCAGGCTGACACCTTTGCGAGGATAATTTCCGATATGTTTATGCTGTCTGAATTTTGTGCTCCACTCTAGTCGACAAGTATCAAGCTCAAGATTAAGTCTCTGGAGGTGACCGATCAGGTTCTCCGGTATGGGGTGTTGTATGTCTGTTCCGAAAGTCTGAAACACATTACTGGTGATGGACCAATGCTTGACTTGGCTGATGAGCCTGAAATCATCCTCTACGATAAATTTACTGGTAAGGAACTCATCTGCAGTAAGTGCTGCCTCATACTCTCCTGTGAGCGGCGGACGCTACAGCAGAACCATCAGAATGAGGTAGAGTGAAGACGAAAGCAGACTTACTCCGTAGGCAATGGAGAATTGATGATCGCAGACATGAACGAGATAATATAACCGAGCGGCCACATAAGCCTTCCTATTGCCCGCAATTGCCCCTCGGTACGCCCTGTGAAGCTGCAACTCAGTCGCAATACGAACGGCTGAGATTCTCCAATCAGCAATCCACTCGGAAGATAATTTGCTGTAAAATAACTTGCCATTACTGATCAAAATCCAGGAAATTTCCGGGAGCCAGAACGCCCCAATACATAGTGCTCGAATGTCGTCCATGTTGTTTCTCGAGGAGAAGGCATGTTGCGTACTCATTTGCACAAACTCGTCGTAACATCTTTCATAGGGAACATCGGAGGAGACAACATGAAGACTTGCTACTGCACATATAGCTGCCAGTAGAAACGGTGAGCTGCTCCGTATTGTGGTAAATGTTGAGCCTTCCTCAAGGACGCTATAAATAGAATTATCATGTTTGGTCATGTAGTAGTTGAACAACATCTCCGCTTGCTCGAGTGTCAAGATTCCGCGAGAAATAATGTCGGGCTTCGACCTCGACCTTTCCGTGACTCGGGCTGATGGAGAGTGTTTTGTGACTTCCGAGACGATGGAGGCTGGGATAGCTGCTGGCCCATAGTCTTCAACCGCATTATCGTTCCATACGTCGCTATTGTCACCAGTCACCTCTTCAATACTTGAAGAGATTGGTTGACCAGCAGCAGGTGTTGGTATTGCCGTGGTTCCTCGTGCACTATCGACGTCTTCTGAATCCTCTAGGAGGTCAGGCAATGATAAGTGTTCTGAAAGTCTCGCCATGCCGGCAGTCAATCTTGCAACTTCTTCTTCTATACGACCCTTCCACCTGAATAATGTTAAAATGGTAATACCATGGGTTGGCAAGACTCACGTGGCATCGTCCTCTAAGAGCATCTGCAGACTTTTCTTGACTGCACAGGACAAGCCTCGCTTCCTACACCTGGTACATGGCACCCCGGAATTCTGGAGGTCACACTTGACCTGATTCAGTAACCGTTAGTGCTTTGACTTTGCAGCTCGGAGAGCCGCACTGAGGTACCTTGTGTTTCCGGCACGAGACACAAGCAGTTACCTTTCGAGATATTTCTGCGGGCTTTGGGTCACCGTACTCATCTCGAAGCGCATGGAGGCGCTGTGCTGAACTTTGATATGCCATTGAGTCGTGATCTTTGTCGAAGGGTGATACTCAAAGCATTGAGAGCAAAGCGTAGTTAGAGGTTGAATGTCTTCAATGAAGCTTAACCAAGAATGGAAATTAGGATACAGCTTCACGTGACTCCCCCACCTCCGTCCACGTTCTAATTCCTCGGCTATGATTGGCTACGGGCTTTGTTCCAGTGTACCATTTTATCTCGGGCTTCGCACCGAACCCTTTTCCTTGCCCCTTTTTGCCTCGCCAAACCTTGCTCGCTAATTATGTCGGACTTCATGCCGTTGAAGAGGGGAATGGAAAGTCTGGACTACCCTGTCGCTTCTATTATGACGCGGTATCAAGGAGCGGAAGTTCCACACGTTGAAAGGGACATCGTTGCACGTGGGTGTACCTTTGTGTCTTGTTCGTTGACACCTTATCTGTCAAGGCCGCCAAAAATTTCGATGCTTACAACCTTTACAATCATTCAGACAGCCATGGCTTTGAAAATCGGGATAGCGGCAATGGAAAGATCTTCTATTAAAGACAAGGCAACGGCTCTAAAAAGATGGATTCTGGATGTAGTAGTTCGAAAATACCCTTTTTTTCCATCGCCATTTCATTCGAATTCCAATTTGCAAAATGGTGTCTCAAAATGGGAGCAATCCCGACAGAATGCCTAGAGCCTCTTGGATCCAAGGTGCAAAGTTTCTTGGAATGTATGAACTTCACTTTTGTCATCTCTTTTTTTGTTATAAAACTTACAAAAATCACAGGGCCGGCGTAGGTTTCTTCGCGGATGGCTACCTCAATATCACCATTGGACTCGGTTCGTCTATTTGCAACCCCTATTCTCTTCAGAGCTCATCGTTGCCTAGTTGTACCTGTTCTAGGTTATATCTACTACAAAGATCAGAAGAATGCAGTGCCTACTGTGCCAGCGTCAGTTATCAAGGGAGGTTTGAGTATTGGTATGATTGTAGGACAACTAGTCTTTGGAGTTCTCGGAGATGCAATTGGGAGAAAGAAGATCTACGGGAAAGAGCTTATGATCACGATGTTTGGCACTCTTATGGTCATCGTACTTCCGACGGATCTCTCGCACGATGGTATCGTAGCGTGGCTAACAGTGTGGAGAATTGTGACTGGTGTAGGAATCGGTGCTGGTAATTACTGTACTTCAAGACTTTTAGCGTCGCTGACCTGTATAGACTATCCCATGTCGTCGACCATCTCCGCAGAACACAACCCCTTTGGATCTCGTGGCAAGCTAGTGTTGGCAGTATTCGGTTCCCAGGGCGTGGGAAATCTTGCTGCAGGCATTGTCTTCCTTGTTCTGTTGGTAGCATTCAAATCTTCGATAGCTCAGGACGTCAACCGTCTTGAGTGGGTCTGGAGGCTTTTGCTCGGCATTGGAATCATTCCGGCTGCAGCAACTCTCTACGCTCGACTTCGAATGCGTGAGAGTGTCCCGTACCAGAAATGTGAGTTCAACATAAGTCGAGCATACCAAAAGTAAGACAACTAAGGTTCTATAGATGTCGAACACAAAGGTGACGGATCCAGGATGGAAGACGCACCGAGAGGCTTACGTCAACAATGGGTCGACTTCAAAGAATACTTCTCAGACATTAGACATGCGAAGATCCTGTTTGCAACTTCTGCTTGTTGGTTTCTCTTGTAAGTCCTAAGAATAATCTGGTTGCGCGCCGAGGCTTACCCAAGAAGTGACATTGCATTCTATGGCATCAACCTCAATCAGAGCATCATACTATCTCAAATCGGCTTCGGAAAGGGGAAGACCACATGGGACACCCTTCATAAATTGGCGATAGGCAACATCATAGCCTCTGCTGCAGTAAGCCTCCCACATTGTATACCTATTGAGTATATACTTATCTAGTGAAAGGGATATCTACCTGGCTACTATGCTGCAATTCCTCCCATTGACATCCTCGGTCGTACCCGGCAGCAATTTATTGGTTGCATTACACTTACTTGTTTATATGCTATCTGGGCTGGTGTCGCAAACATCGCCCCAAGTGGAGTGCTAATCACAATCTTCACACTCTCTCAGGTAAGATGCGAATAAATTTCCTCTGATCAGCTTTAATTAACCTGCTCAAAGTTCTTCCTCAATTGTGGAGGCTCAGCAACAACTTTCCTTATCCCCGTCGAAGTCTTCCCAACTCGGGTCAGATCAACAGCGCACGGCATCTCTGCCGCATCTGGCAAAGCTGGCGCAGTTCTTACAGCCTTCGCATTTGGTTCGGTCACGAATGCCATCGGTATAAGAGGTGTTCTTGGCATCCTCAGTGGTGTAATCTTCCTCGTTGCTCTCCTGACCCTGATGATTCCAGAGACCAAGGGCAAGACTTGGAAGAGATCGAAAATGGAGTCTTGTATGGCGAGGCAGTTGGTCACGAGCCTGCTTCGAACGAGCTATTTGTGGCTCATAAGTCCTCAACTACTGGATCATCTAACGAAGCCGACGCTCTAGACTCGAAGCATGCCACTGACCGCGTTCGATACCAAGAGGTTGCCTGAGCTTATTCCCGCTGCGACTCTCATCTTTCTGTGAATAGTAGCTATGCATCTCTGCTGCAGAGATACGGCACCGGCCGAAGGAGAAATCAAATGTTAATCACAAAAGTAATAAATCGAACAAAGCCCTTGAATCTGTCAAACTGCTATCGTGATTTGCCCCGCTATTGTGTAATCTTACCCGGTCCAAGTACCAGCCAGTTGGATACTTTCTTTGCGCGTGCCGAGCTCTGGGTCTGCCTAGCTTTCAACCTAAGCTTACCTTAGTTTTCTAGCAAGCCTGCAGGCGAGTTAGCGAATTAGGGGGGAAGATTAGCATATGGTGGTCAGACTGCGGGGTTCGTGGAACCTTAAAACAACGACGTTTACTTGTCTTACTTGCTGCTAGGCGTTCTTCGGGTTGATTCTGCTTTCCATAGTGGTGCCATGATTATAATGACCGTGTGCCACGACACAGTCTTCAAACCACGACAGCCACTTTCATCTTTCATCCTCAAGCTGACGATGAAGGCACCAGCCATTCTTTTCTTTCTTTTCTTTGCCAAGTGGTGAGGTAATTAAACTATTAGTCAATTGCCGCTCTTCTGCCAGCTGTTTTTTCGGTGCTCTCCGTAGGGCAGGCTGAGCCACAGTCGCCACACGGGTCTCAGCTGCACCTGCGGCAGTCCCGAAGCGTCAAGCGTCGCAGTAGTGACAACACTGATCCACCAAGAAATGATCTCTTTGGTGAACCAGAAGCTAGTTTTCTCGGCGTACTCAAATGCATAAGAAGCTGCATACTTCTGTTTTTCAAGAGCGATTTGCCTCTTTCTCCAACTTATCGCGACTTGGGAGAAAAATTGAAGACTTCTCATTGGGCAATGGCGCAGCAGAGAAGAAAACCCCGATTGGTAAGATCCTCCGGATCTCCTCTCGTCTTCATTGGTTATCTCATGCTAATAGCGGTAAATGTGATAGTGGCTTGCTCGACTTCCGTTTCAGGGCACACGAAGGGATCGATGTTACATCGCACGTGACAGTACATTGGACGACAAGCACGAGGCTTCAAAAAGAGCAGGAGACTTTTGTCACAATGGAAAGATATACCAAAATCGAGCTTCATCGCTACTCAAGGCCTACGATCCGCCAAGATACCTACCCATGGACCCTTTGTCGTTCACCGCCAGCCTTATCGCTGTTGTTGGGACAGCTGGAACGGTCGCGAAGGAGCTGAGACTATTGCAGACCTCACTACGAGACGCATCTAGTCTGTTGAGTGCTCTAATCAATGAGATCTCTGATTTGAGGATTATCCTCGAGGCTTGTAGTTCAGCAGTCACAGAGCTCTATCGATCAGCCAACTCCCCAAACCCACCAACCCCACTCGCTGATGCAGTCAAGATCCTGGACCGCACAAAGACGCAGCTAGAAGAGCTCGAAAAAGTAGTGAAACACTGCTTTGGTGGTTCTCTAGATTCGACGAATGTCAGTAAAATGGTCAAACTGCGGTGGTTGCGCGAGAAAGGGAAAGCCGAACGCTTGCAAGGCAAGCTACGGGACTCGAAGCAGGATCTGATGATGCTTCTTGAATCTCAAAGTGTGTATGTAGCATCATTCTTACTTTGCTGTGTTGTCCTATGTGTCCAGTTCCGAGAAAGCTAAGTCGAAGTATTTTAGTTCTGCAATATCAGGCTTGCACATCGCGGTTCAAGAAATTGCCGTTGGCAGTACGGAGTTCCATACGACCTCATCCGACAAGATGGATCAGATTCTATTCGAACTATCTAATCACATGAATCATATTCGAGACTTGAATCTCAAGACATCTCAAGTCAACGAGAAGCTCGATCGCCTTAGCCAAGCGCAGCAAGAGCCAGATCCGTCATCTCCACGACCACCGGAATACTCAGAACGTACACCGAATGCGACCGACAGCGAATCACAGACACCGTTGAACAGTGCCATCCAAGTTCGCGCATCCTGCTACCGAAAGACTTGCAGACCCTGGTGCAGCTGTTGTTGTCACATTCGACGGGAAGTCCGAAGTCCAAGCCTAGCAAAAAGCTTCATAGGATCTCTCTTCATTGGCTACACCGGAGTTCCAGTTGTCACGCCTCCATGTAACGAGAAGCAGTGTAGAAAGCGTTCTACATCGCGCATCATTGTTAGCTACCAATTTCCTGGGTGGTTCTGGGAACGATCGCTTTTCACTTCGTTCATGACCGCTGCACGCTCTGGACCAGAGATGTTGATAAGAGTCACTAACACGATACCTTTTGCGTGTGAGGCTTATCAACATTGTCTTGACGGGAACGTGACAGGACTTCAACGGCTTTTTGAACTTGGGAGAGCCTCGCCATTTGATTTGGATCCTTCGGGGATCTCTTTGCTTCATGTGAGCACACGAAACCTCTCATGAAAGATAGCACTAACGATTTCCAAGAATGCTCTTCGATTCGATCACTTCGAATTGTGCCACTTCTTGATCTCTTGTGGCTCGGACTTGTATCAAGAAGACCAGTATGTCGTTGAAACCTTGGAGCGGAATTTCTCTAACCGAGCATGCTTAGCACTGGTCTTAGCGCATTCCATTACGCTTGGGACGCCATCCTAATTGACCCAAATGAGCCCAGTAGCTCCAAAAAGAAGCAAGCACTTCTCGAGATTTTTCCACAAGATGAAGGTGGGTTAGATGAGCGTCAATTCAATCGAATCCACAAATCTGTTCTCGGAATTATTGGGACCGCCCTAGAAGACGAACTCGCCATCTCAACGGCAACCATCGATACTCCTGACAATCTGGGCCGGACACCTCTCTTCTGGGCGTCACGTCGCGCTGACGTGAAAGCCACATCCCTTCTTCTAGAGTATGGCGCCCACACCGATCCTCCACGAAAAGGACGAAGAGGTACGAGTCCTCTACTCGCTGCCGCAGAAGCTGGAAATGTCGATGTTGTGGAAATGCTCCTAGCCCATGGGGCCTCTGTCGACGTCCGAAATGACGATAATTCTTCTCCTCTTCACCTCGCTTCAACTCAACAAGACGGTCTTGGCTGCGTCTCAGCTCTACTCAAGGCAGGAGCAGACGTTAATAGTGTCGATTCTGATGACCGAACTCCTCTCTTAGCCGCATCCTGCTACGGCTGGGCGGATATAGCCGAAGCCTTGATTGATGCAGGGGCAGATATGGAAATACGCTGCGAAGATGGCTGGACGAGTCTGACGTCGAGCATATTCTGGAACATGTATGGCAGCGTCGAGTTACTTCTGGACAAAGGCGCCAACACTCTGGTGGTCACAGACACAGGCGAGACTCTCCTCCACTTGGCAATTCGATATGGCGATACCAAGATGTTAGGCCTGTTACGTGATCGAGATTTAGGTCATTTAGACGTTGGTGCTAAGAATGGTGCGGGGGAGACTGTTTGGGATATTGCTAAGTCAAGAGATGAGCCAGCTGAGTGGCAGACTGCATTTCATGATTTCCTCAAGAGTGTTGAAGCACAAAAGACAGAGAAGTTTACAGAAGAGTCTGCGATCTCATCTGGATCAATGGCTTATACTAGCAGCGAGACACTTCTGGATCAAAAGATGGCGATGAGGACTGTCGTTGAAGTCTACGTTTCTTCTGACGATGACAGCGATCTGGATCATTTCGAAGACGCTCTGGAAGCTGTCGCATAGCTGTGACAATATTGACAATTGATGGCACGGGCTGTTTGACGAGATTCTGTGCAAGGTCATCGGCAATTTCTTTATGCAAGGACAAAGACTATACTACTCTAAGTCTTTGGGTTAGTAGCTGGAACTGAGATGGCCCTATAGAGCGAGTTGCAATTCTGGTATGAGTGTGTGTCTCGCTCTGGGTCATACTTGGTGGTACCAGTGCGGGGTCGTGCGTGGCACGCATATAAAATTGATTTCTGTCTGAATACTGTCTGAGTTTTGAAGAGGGCAGAGCAGCACAACATTTTGGTGGAGCCTATCAAAATCTGGTGATGGTAGTACGACCATCTGCTGTGTTCCTGTCGCTACACCGATCGGGATACATGTCTTAATTAGTGGCCTGACATACAGACTTCACCCAACCAGTAGCAGCTACTGCTACTCAATGTAAGGGATACGCCACCAATGCCTCGTTTATTCTGTCAGCGGCATCTCCGAGGGAACATTCCTCGTGGTCTTGATCAGCAGCATATATATCGCACAGAATCGCCAGCTTCTGAATCCAAGCGAAAGGAACAATTCAGTGACTCAACTTCTAAAGCTTCCTCCAGTCATGGCTCAACAAAAAACAACACCAGGTAGTATACCAGCTACCCTGAAGCTCCCTCGCTGTGGTGAATGGCTTCCACAAGACACCACTACCCTCTCAAGCTGGCTTTCGGCTGTAATCAAGCATGTTGATGCCAACCCGAAACCTCTCGTTCCTGTGCTCCAAGAGTTCCAAAGTGTCATCGAAAACGATGCCAAGATCTTCATGCTGTTCCACCAGATGTTCACTCAGATTCCAAGAAAGAAGCCCTACTGGGATGATCCGACAGGACAACCTCAAGTTCGACACTACCAACATATGCTTCAACTCTTCAATCACATCTTGACAACCGCGCCAGAATACAACGATACCGGGTTGGTCGGCTTTCCCATCAATGCAATTCTCGACTGGCCAATGGGGACACCCGCCGGAGTCGATGCATTCTTGAATCCCGAAGTAAACCTTCAATTCAAAAATATGCTAGCCGTGTGGTCAGATTTCTTGATGTCTTCGAAGTCGAAGTACGTGCTGAACACATCAGCAAGTGGCTGGCTTGGTACGGCAGCTCTGTCCGCGATGCAGACTACCAATCAAGGCAGCTCCTTCGTCAGCACATTCGAGTGCCAGCCGACTCAGGAATTCTACGGATATACTTCTTGGGACGACTTCTTCACCCGTCAATTCAAGCCCGATGCACGTCCCGTTGCCTTGCCAAACGACGACACGGTCATTACGAACGCGTGTGAATCAGCTCCCTATCGCATCGCGACCAATGTTTCGAAGCACAGCAAGTTCTGGATCAAAGCACAACCATACTCTCTCTTCCACATGTTGAACAACGATGAATATGCTCCACGATTCGTTGGCGGAACAATCTATCAGGCGTTCCTAAGCGCTCTCAGCTATCATCGCTGGCATAGTCCCGTCAATGGCACGATCGTCAAGACGTGCTTGGTTCCAGGGACATACTATTCTGAAACGCAGGCTGAAGGGTTCGCTTTCTCGGAGATCGATGACTATGGGAGGTCGACCACCGAAAAGGCTACCCAGGAGCCTGATCCAGCTGGCCCCAATGACTCTCAAGGCTACATTACCGCCGTTGCCACTCGAGCTCTCATCTTCATCCAAGCTGACAGCAAGGATATCGGCCTCATGTGCTTCATGGCGATCGGGATGGCTGAAGTGTCCACTTGCGATACAACCGTCAGGGTAGGACAAAAAGTGAAGAAAGGTGACCAGCTGGGAATGTTTCATTTCGGAGGGTCAACACACTGTTTGTTCTTTAGACCAGAAGTGAAGCTGGTGTGGGATATGCATGGACAGGATGGAAATGTGGGGTTGGATAGTAGCAACATCAGGATCAATGAGAGGATTGCTACTGTTGTTACCAAAGACGGCAAGGGACCGGTTTTCTTGCCGCCTAGCATTCCCAAGTAGGTTGCTTGAGGAAGATGGAAACGGAAAAGTTTTTAATGCAGTTGGGGTAACGGATACCAAATTGATGATTGAAAATCAGATCGAAAATGAAATGAAAGTATGCTGCACTGAGTTGTCTGGAGTATACATGGTTCAATTTGGTTCCTTCATTTGGTGCATTTATACTGTCCTCCCTGGCCGTTCAATATCATGCGTGATGTATGCATGGTCTCCAGGTCCTGCTGTCTTATTTTCCGCTCTCAGGGCATCTGCCAGTTCGTACCGAGAAGGAATAGCAACAGTGACTGGTTGTTCACCATACTCTGGTGGTGCACTCTCCGGTTGTGGGACCGGGGGAGCGGCTTCTTCTTCTGGTTGTACATGTTCATGTCCCACTTCAGGAACATTGCAAAACCTGTCCGCCCGATCACAACACTCCATATATGCCGGGGCTGCTTCACCAAACCCCGCAACCCTCTCGAATATACCCTGTCTGACCTGCTGTAACTCCTGTCGCGAGTCTTCAAGTTGTCTGGCAGTCTCTTTAATCTTTGCCAGTCCTACTTTCTCAACCTCCTTCGTGTGCGCAATCAATATCCCCAGTTGCTCTTCCACTTCTGATATTTGTTCCAGTGATTTTATGATCGCCTGAATCATACTCTCCCGCGAGTGACTTCTTCCCATGGGTATTCTCGCTGCAAGAAGACTTGAACTGACAACCTGATGCTTTCCCACCAGATCGGACGGTAGAGGAAGGAGGTCTTCGTCCGTTTTACCCATCTTGTCCAAAGCCAACGCAAGAGCTGCGTCACCTCTCTCAGTCCAGTAAGTCGATTCATCGAAGAAGAACAGTCGCTCCTCAACCGATGTCAATGCATATTTCATGTTGCTTTTCGCTCTCCCCAGATACGTCTTCACCACGCCCAGTCCACTCTTTGCCCTCCTAGCTCGTCTGATTCCCTCCTTGACACTCTCATTTGATTCGTCTGATGTGTAATATTTGTGTTCTCGCTCGTCCTCGTCCCCGAATCCAGGAGTTGGTCCCTTGAACAACTTTTCGTATAGTAAATCGATTTTCGCGTGTGCATCGCCGTGCTTCTTCACAACCTTCAATAGCTTTTCTTTCTCCGCTTCAGCCTTCTTCACCTCGCTCTCCAGGGTCTTGCATCTCTCCTCCGCTTTGCTTTGCGCCCCGAGAGCAGTAAAGTATTCCCTCTCCTCAGTCATGGCCTTTGCTTCGAACTTGGGCAGCATTTTCGTCGCACGATAAAACCATTTCTTCGTGACTGAATTGCGTAGCTTCTTATGGGATTTGAATCTCAGTTCTGTCTGAGTTTTGAGGGAGTCGAGAACATTTTGTTGTTCCGTGAGCGAGGTTTCTAGTTTATCGAAATGGACGAGGTGCGCACTGTAGATGGAAGGGGCTTCGGAGGTCTTGGCGAGAGTATTGAGCAGCTCTGAATTCTCGGATGCAGCGCCGAAGACTGCATCTCGAATAGCTTCTGGTGATGCCATTTTGAATCGGTATTGACGAAAGCTTCGAGGAGGAACTGTTAACTCGACTGAAAGAACGTGCAATTGCGACAATTGTGGAGGAAGGACAGATATTAAACACAGAGAATAATTTCAAATAGGGCTGAGCGTGACGCAGGATGACAATTCAAACCTTGACCCTTTCTTATCAGCAGGCTGCAGAACTGGAATCAATTGATCTTTCTCATTGGCCGAGCTTTGACGTGGCTGTGAGATTCTAAACCTTGATGTGGAATCATGCTGATCACGTGGATGAGACCGAGCTAAGCGAGCCCCTGATTTGGAAGCAGCACGTCTTGGCGTGGCTGAGCATGTCCAAAAGCATCTATTTACGCCGATTAGGCGAATCAGCGTAGATGTGGCAAAGAAAGTGGCTTCAACCACCTGCTCAGCCTCAAGTTCCTCTTCAAGCGACGTTGGTCATTTTGGCAATGGGCTGCAGTGATTCGTCAGAGCTATGCCACGACAGCGAGCCAATAAGCTTCTTTAGATTAAGTGCAGATGTACGCGTGGTTCAAGGAACGGGTCGTGGCTAGTATTCATCCCGCGCAATATATACAAGTCAATGTATACAAGTGTACCCTTCGTATCTTGTTACGATTTCCGAGTAGGGTGGCTTGGAGAATCCTAACAACCAATCTTGAAGAAACAAAACTTATGCCAATCAATCAGGAAGCTAAGGCATTTGTCAAGGTGAAGGTTTGGGAAGCCTCGAACCGGGTTGAAAACACAGCGTTCATCATATCAAAAAACGCTCTGCCTGTGACATGTAGTACATAAAGGCTCACTACGGGTACCTATTGCCAGTCTTATTCCTCTTGTCAACTCTTCTCTTGTTCGTATTGATAGCCTTGATCTGAAAATCCTTCCAAGTTTGATTGTGGAGCGTCACTTCATCTTTTCATACATAGTGCCAAAGTCTGGCCGCCAGCAAGGTCTCGTTTGCTGAATTGTGTTCTATTGAACTTCAATCATCAGAGCCTCGTGTGCTCAATTCTCGAAAATAACTCATCACGTGTGAGAAGAATCGGCACGGTGCATGTGGCTTTCTGGAGCCTTGTGAAGAAAGTGACTGCCAGCCTTTCCCCACCATCACTATAATCCTCCAGAAATGCCCTTTATCTGCAGCGGGTAGTGCCCAAACTCTTTTGCTGCCCAAGATCCTTACATGAAAACCAATCAAGAGGATCGACGGATTTGTGTGTGCTCATATGATACCTCACAAGTCGGGCGTAATCAATTTTCAGACTTCATGTGATTGGAACGCTGATCAACCTGACTTGCCATGACATTGTCGTTCCCCGCATTACATCTCAGTCTTATCTGTAGAGTGGAGTGTTCGAGATGACCTTTACTTTACCCCCTCCTCATCCCTTGGATTGATCCACCATCAACCTTCTTCGATATTCTCTCCTATGCTATCAAGACAATCAGTCTCTTTTTAGACAAAGCAAAGCTCGTCACTATATCCAAGTATGACTTCTCGATCTGCCTGGACAGAAGCGTACAAAACGTATCGGGAGGAAGCCGAACGCGATAAACAGAACGCTGCATTGGACCAAGGTTACAGCAAACCACTGTTTCAATCCACGTCCTCTATCACCATAGATCGAGGTCCGCCATATTTCCAGTCCAACTTGTCCTCTGCACGAGACCCTTCCGCATCCTTTCAAGGCTCATCCCTCGCCACATCCTACACGGGGTCTCCACAAGCCTCGTCTGACCCCGGAGGACAATATTCATTCTCCTCATACGACAGTCAGAGTGTCGCAACCTCCCGGCCTACTCCTGCGCTTCTCAACTGGGAACCTGACTCTCCTTCCCTCGATTGTTACGATTTCATTGTTAAAGGAAGGGAACCATATTTTAGACTGAAATCAAACTTTGTAGCCACAGATGTGACACCAGAAGTTGTCTACCTCGACCTTGAAGCGTGGGTATCTTAAATCTTACATGGGACTATATTGACATTATCTAGGATCCCAAAGAGAGGAATATATCGATGCGTATATCCATTCGACTGTACAGGGAAACAGACAGTCTTCACCCGACCCGCCGACCTCGAACGGCACTACAAAAATGTTCATAGCACACAAGGCCCCAACCAGTTCCGCTGCGATTACTCAACATGTGGTCGACGTTCACAGCCTTTCACTCGTAAGGATCATTACCGTGACCATCTCAGAGACTATCACAAGGAAGACGTCGGGTCTGCCAAGAAGGGGAGCAGAAATCCCATAAACGCGAATGGGAATATCTGCAGTCGCAGTGGTGGAAAGATCGAAACGTTTCAGATCAGTGGTGGAGATGTGTTTGTCTGGAAAGGGTACAAGTGAATTCCAACGGGTGGAGTTGTCCCGTCTGCAAGAGGGAATGTGAGGATGATCGAAGGAAGCTGAGGGAGAACACGAAGCAAGGCAAACAAAGGCTTGGTAATGACAATGATGGATACCCCGCATCATTCCGACCCGAGGATACTGAGACGGCTTTCCAATGTTCTTATTGTGAGGACGCAGGCTGGGTTGATAACGGTGTCGGGGATTACGTAGAATGTTCAAGATGCTCAGCGGGATACTCTGGATCGAAATGGTGATATTTTGAGCTTTCAATTGTCTTGGTTTTCTTCCCTTGTTGGGTTAATGAATTTTGATAACGGCCTTGTCAGACAGGATCTTCACTTGTGTATTCGATCTTCATTTTTCCGTATTCTCTAAGGATCATCATGACTCCCCAATTACCTCTGACAGTCCCTAGAATTATCCGAAGCAAGCTCAGTAGCTCTCGATATTTTCAAAAGTCTTCCGTAGTCAAGCTCTTCTGTCCAAGCAGCTACTGCCAGCAGCGAGGGGCTCATTTGATCCGTACACCAAGCTCAGGCTCCAAATCCTATTGGTAGTTGATCCAAATTTCTCCATTCCCACGGCTGTTTGATCGTTGGTGGCGGGCCATTCTTGTCAAATGTCGCAAAGCCTATGACCGCATTCGGCATTGTCCACCTCAAATCTCCGGATGCCTCTTGGCTTTCAAAATCTCTAATTCTTGTTCGCGCCTTTTCAATAAATTTGTCCGCAATATATGCTGCGATAGAACTTCCCTTGTTCTCTGGTCTCAATTCCCATTTTTCCCCCTCCGCTCCAATGTCTTCGAAAAGTTGGGATGGAGTCGGGTTCTGAACATCTGGAGTTCGAATTTGAGCTTCGTTGTCAATGGATACCAACAACTCCAAGAAACATTGAAGATCAATTGATTGATATTCTCTCCAGCTTGCCATATCCCTTCCTTTGGGTTCTTTGAAAGTGCGAGCAATTCTCCAGTCTCCCAACAAAACCTGTGGATATGGAGAGCTATCTGAATTCCAATCCAAAAAAGTGTTTGATGGAGAAATATCACCATGGATGAAAGGTTCCCAGCCAACTTGAACCCCTTGGCCATACTGCCAGCCAGAATGGATGTATGCGATCTTCTCAGCGCACTGTCTAGCGATGTCCCAGAGCAAAGCACCTGGGAGGAATCGTATTTTTGTGTGGTGATTAAGATATTTCGTATGAAGATCTGCAAGGTCGCCACCATTACAATATTCATAAATGAAAACATCATCATTTTGATTCCGGTCAAGCGTATTGGTGTAATCTATCAGTCGTGGCGCAACATCTGTGGGAAGATTCCGAACCAAGAGCTCTGCGCCACTATTCTCGTTCGCGTTGAGATGTTTTCGGATGTACACGTTGCCGTCCTGGAGCGAGCGGACCAATGTTGTTTGGGATTGAAAGCCCTTGTCGATGGTGCGAATGAGGATGTAGCCTGGGTGATCATGACGGTGATCGAAGTGAACCACTTGTGTTTTGCTATCGAATCCTAGCATATTGCAAGCGGTAATACATAAAAGTAAATGAAATGAAATCCATCTTGAGGGTATTGAAATAGGCTGCTGCTGAAAAGAAGAGTTGTAGCTACTACTTTGAAGTTCTGCTACCCAAAGAATACTTTTGTTAGCCATGATTTCAAAGAGCGGGAAGAATGTATTAACGCAAGACAAATATGAGCTGGAGACTTTAAGAGATACAAAAAATTGACTTAATCTGGCATTTTCATCCCCTAGCTTCAGCGTTTGACTTGTTAATGGAAGACTAAGGCGATCAAGTCAGACCTATCAGCAAATCTGGCCTTAAGTCTTTTGCTATCGAAGGCTCTAAGAAAGAAAAGAACAGATGAGGAGGCAGATTGCTCGAGACTTTGAAAGCATTTACCTTCTAACGACCAGAATCTCCCCTCACAAAGTTCTTTCGAAACTTGAAAGACGGCGAGATGCTTTGTGACCTAAAACGATACACACTTCATCCGATCATTTGTTTAAACTCATCGCATGTTCATTGGCGGTGAATATCCACTCCAGCCACATGAGGTTTTAAGTAAAGGAAGCTTCTCACAAAGCGCTTAGTGTCCTATTGTTGCCAAAGAAGTCTTACTGTCGGTTCTACTACTGAGGTACCATTCTCCAAGTTCATTATCATTCTCTTCAGTAGGTACTATCCATGCACTAGAAGAAACTCTCGTTCATTTTGCGAAAATTTTAAAACCCTCACCATCGCTTGCCCTACATTACTGGACGAGCATTGCTCGTCGAGCACTGCTCGTTTTCCTTCTTGCGGAGGTTTTGAATAGTGGTCAGAGAGATCCTCCGTCTTTTTATATCTCATAATATGTTTTACCCGCACTACAACTGGTGAATTAAGTCTAAATCTATTTTGTTTCTGTCATGAGCCGCGAGCAATAGGGGTGAATTGATGCTACCGACATGTCAATAACGTAGCTTCTGAATTGTGTGCAAGATAGAATTACCCTTATTTCTCAAAGGTAATGCAGTGTCCATGGAGCCGGTGACAAAAGAGAGTCACGGAAGACTCGTACTGTGGTGAACTGCAATAGTGTCTCGCTCTTACTTGACGACGTCTCAACTTCGGTCTTAAATTCATCACGGCCGCTCGGTATTTTGTCATACTATATGTCACCGTCCAAACATATCTTTTTGCTGTCAAAAACTGCTGTATATTTGGGAATACTTCGAAGAGTATCCTTGAAGAATTGAAAAACAAATTGCTTCAAGTCCCGGCTCAACACGCTATCGTCTTCATCTCTCAGCCATCGCCTACACTGTCTCCAAATCCTCTCCGAGATCGATTTGGGACAGCTCAAGTCTATGCTACTCGTGGGAAGCAAATCCCGATGGATATTCTTTTTATATCAACATTCAGGCTGCTGACCTTATAGCTGGGTCATGAGTGAATAAAAGTTGCTTCCTAGAGAAGCCACTTTTTGTGAATCTTTAATGTTTCTCTCTTGGAAAGATCTCCCGGCAAATATAAATGCTGAAACTGTACTTGGCAAACAGGCAAGCTAATGGTGAAAATGGCAGAAGGAGAACGGCACAGGATCTTGTCCCTTGTGGCAGCAAGATTAATCGACACAATCGTGCTACTAATTTCAGAGGCATGGTGAGATTTTTCAGTCAATATTGACTGCGAGATTTGAATAGATCAAGGTGCTGTCAATGCTTTCCATGTTGTCACGATATTATTCACTTTATTGTCAGCTTCTTCTAGTTTTTATTCTATACATCTGGAGGTATCTCGTTGAATGGACGATTTTATCGTTGTCAATTCTCGAAAAGAAATATAGAGCAGCTAGTTTACACTTGGAGCCTTCCCGTGGTCACGAACTTCGTTGCTAAACCCACGACTAACATACAACGTGGTACGGTTGCCGCTCTTCGATATGTTTTCTGTGCTTGTTATACCGTGGTAAGTTAAAAAAAGAAAGTACTCCTTGGATATATCGCACCAGAAAGCAGTCACACTTACTTTTGACAAGAATTCAACTTTGCTCTTGGCTATCACTTCTTGATTTTCTTGTCGCTGTTGCGTTTGCCATGCTTACAGTTTCTAGTGGATCTTTTCAGAAGGCGCCAAAGAGAATTTTTAATCTTTTGCTCCCGTCTCTGAGGAAAACAATCAGTTGTTGACCGAGGATTACACATCCCGTTGTCGATCAAGTTGACACCATCACCTCGTAGACATAATCTTCTATTATTCACACTAGCAAGCAGAACCTTCATATATGTGGCCAATCTTCCATACTAACGCTGTAATGCAAGAATAACACAAACCTAGGAGAATCGTCTTATTTCCGTTTTCTAGTTTTCGTTCAAGGTATATGGAGAACGTAGTCTCGGTAGGGCGTATAATTATACCCGATGCTCCTTTACGTCGCCTAGAACTTTCCTCAAATTCACTCGAACCATTACTGTAATCCCTCGCGTTGATTCACTTCCCCTCATTAGGTGGTTCAATTCCACACCTTAAGTTCACTCCCTTTTCTGCGGATTTGAATTTCAGAGCAATCTGAAGCTTTCTCTTCAAGTATAAATACCTCACTCGATCTTCAACCTGATAACTCTTATTCCAACGAAGTGTCATGACTGGCTGGCACACCATCCATTGGCTCCCAGGTCAGCGCGACCTATCCGAGAGCAGAGTATTGTTGAAGCAGAGAAACTCTAGTACTTGAATGCGAGTGAATATTGTGATTCTTGCTATCATTTTCAACTCCATTGTCATGTGCTCTGCTGCCAACTTCCCATTACCATTCATTTCAGTTGATCAAACGCTATCCACGGCCACATTAGTCCGGCCACGGTGAGTTAAGCTTAATATTTCAACACAAGTACGCTGTAGAAGTTTCTGCGAAGAAGCCGCATGTTCGGTGTCATTAGATGTGCATTCGTTTGAAGAGAGATGGCTATCAGAGGTTGAAGGGCTTTTTATATTAATATTTGTAGAACAAATCTTTGCTCCTTGCTGGTTCACTCTCCGCACCTTCCTGTTTCGACTTTGATTCACTTTTCGATCGCATCGCACCTGAGACCCTTCGATTCACACCAATCCTCTCCTCCACTGATATCTGCCCACAAATAAGAAGTATAAATACCCAAGTCTCAACCCCATTTTCCTCACAGAACCAAGGAACACGAAGATCCAGAGAAGGGTGAGCGCGAGAACCGTCTTCACGCCCATTAAGTCATGAATTTCATGTATCGTGAATTCTTGTGCTGTCCCCGCGATCAACCAGCTCTCGATCACGATCTAACTTTCTCTGTTCAAGGCACCTCGTCGATGTCATTGCCAAGAACCAGCTTGTTGCCAAATATCAATTTCGTTCAAATAGTCGCCAAACTGATAAACAAAAAGAAAGGCCAAGGAAACAAGACAGATAGTATAATCAAACAAAATCCATCAGAAGCTGACTGAAGATGGGAAAGAACCCCGAGCAACAGCGATAGAGCCGCGGCGGCGGCGATCAGGAACTGATCCTGCTGTCTTACCAACGGTCCCTCCTAGCCTCTTTATAGAATTTCATTGAGCTACGGCGTGCGTGTAAGATTAGAAATAAATATCTATAGTATTCCATTCACCCCTTGGTACCTAATTTCCGCCACCCCACTTTATTCACTCTCAATTGCAACACTAATTCCTTGTCGTAGTCTCTGACACAGTTTGAGCTCGACCCATCAGGAGAAGTATAAATATCTCCCGACTCTTCCTCCAACTTACTGTATTAGACTCGAGGTCAAGGAAACCTAAGAGCTCATGTGCATATACTCGCCGCTGTTGATCTCATCAAAAGCTCCTGACTTATCTGCTCCGGAGCTCTCACAATGAAACCTGTTGGTTCAGCCTCGTTTCATTGCTTGATAGTATCTTAATAATCATGTAGATAGTTTATATATATACAAAAAAAAACTTGGAATTTTTCCATAGACCCTCGGTCTTGATCTCATTCACCCAGCAGTCCTCATCTCTCATACAACACCAAACAGGTCGCCAGTCTAATCATTCACTCTTACTCTAACCTCCCCCAACCAGCCTTGCTCATTCCAACGACTATATATACCCCTCACCCCTCCTGATCACACAGCAGCACACCCAAACACAAGAAGGGAAAGGTGACAAAGGGCGACGATTGTTTCCACCCTCCCATGCAGTAACCCGGCCCGCGAGGACAGACCTTATTGTTATCCCGAGTCGTGCCTGAAACATAGGTTGATCATTGTTCGGTTTGTATTTGTTGTCACTCAGGGCCCTGTTGTCAACTCTAGAACGGAATAGTTCCGAAAGTTGAAATTAAGAGTGCTGTGCAGTGACCCAACTCTCAGGGAAAATTTTCTATACCAACCTCGAAAATCCACACTAAGGCCTCTTATCCGAACGTTCTGAATGGGGCAATTCTCTCTAGATGATATTGGCCCTCATTTTCCAATAGAGATCTGGTATTTATAGAAGAAATCAACACTAAAGAAATGCTGGGCCGAACGTCTTCCCTAGTATCTTCTATTCACCACATCAGATTCTCTTCCCCCACAAAAACAATATACTCTACTCTCCTCAGGTCACTCATTCACTTCCACTTCAATAAACCCATCAAACCCACTCCAACGAGTATAGATACTGCCTACAAACTCTCTCTTCAACAGTAACTCCAAAATCAGGACCAGAACACACCAGAACTAGGTACTGGACCGAATGCACCATTTATTTCTATGCCGGCTCCGGGTCTCATGCGATGATATGGTTGTCGTTGCCTAGCTTACTGTTTTCAACTGTCTCACCATCATCTCGTCGCTGTGTTCGTTTGAATATTCTGTTGCAAAAGGATTTTGACTTCTTTTTCATCCTCCGCGGAATTTTGTTGTTTCTACACGGATGCGGGCCCGGGTAAATGGAGATACTAGCGATTCCTCTCCTTGGTACCCGGTGCCGCAGCTTATTTCCATGGTCTTTGGGGAACATCGAAGAAAATCTTGTCCCTCATCTTCTAGTCGAGAGCTTGTCTTTATACCAAAAACAAACCCTCGAAAATCTTGAATCGTAGCCTTTGTCTCTAATTCACCTATCAAAATCTCTTTACACCCACACAGCACACGCGAATAAATCTTGCTTCAAGGCAATTTATTCACTCTACCCACTCTACCCCGCCCTCTAACAACACCTCTATTCTAACGAGTATATATACCTCTCCCTCCTCCCCCAAAAGCTGCTCTTGTGATAGTAAGTAATACACCAACGAGGACGCACGTGTTCCTGCCCCTGCTTCAGAATCCCATTCAGTAGCTTGCCTCGCTGCTATTCAAAATACTATTGCCGACTTCCCATTATCAGTCATTCTCTCTCTTCACCAAAAAAGAAAATAATAGCTTTTCATTTTCTATTACGAAACAACCGTCGTTCTGTAATATGCAGAACTTGCTACGTAAACATCTACAATGACCTCTGTCTCGGAAAGATATCCAAATCCGTCGCCCACGGGGATCATGGTCATTTCCTTTCAAGCTGGTTAAGTTTGTTTCTTATTTTCCAGTGGAGACTGTGTTTTTATACTAAATATCGACCCTCGAAAATGTGTAATCGAAGCCTCTCTAATTCACCAACAAATTTCTTCACTTCGTATAGCACAATCCAAGGATCTCTCTATGAAATAGCTAATTATTCACTCCACCTTAGTGGATTTCTTTTGCTAGCACCTCCATTCTAGAAAGTATATATATCCCCCTCATACCTAGTTTTCAAATAACAACTCAAAGCCCGGAAGACCGGGGCTTCAACTGTGTGGGACCACATATTTCGTAGATCGTCTTCATGCTAGGCTTTAAAACGCTATGTTGTAGCTTTGACTATTATTATACACGTGGTTGTTGTTGTTGTTGTTGTTGTCAACTCCCTCACTATCATCCCCCCTGCTTAGAAAATAGCGAGCTCCCATCTTTTAATTAAACCATAGTCCATCCTTTGCACTCGAAGCTTGGTGAATGGCAACGCATTTTTTCTCGCCCGGGACTTCATTCATTCCAGCTGGGTAACTCAAACCCGCAAGGGGTTGATTGGAATGCTCAAGGGTTGCTGTTCATTTTCTAGTAGAGGGAGACGTTGTATTTATAGAAAAAATATGGACCCTCGTAAAGCTCTGTGACTCGACCGAACCATTTTCGTTGTAAAGTTTTCTATTCACTAATTGAAAGTCTCCCCACAATACAGCACAACCAAAACTCCCTCCTTTGTCACACCTTCTTATTCACCCCACCCCCTTCCCCCCGCTTCAAGCAATCCCTCCATTCCACCAACTATATAAACCCTTCCCCTCTCCCCTCTTTTGAGAAACAGTAACTCATAGGAAAACAACAAGCGTCGCCTGCATGCAAGGTTGCCACCAAGGTACGAGAATGAAGTTAGCAGCACTCCATTCGATGCCAGTTTCAAAACAACTCTTGCGTCCTAGTTTCAATTACCACTTGTCGCTGTCGACGTAGCTGTTATTGTCAACCCCCTCCCCTTCCCCACCAACTTCACCCTTAAACCCCAAGCAACTAAAATCCACCCCACCACCCCACCTCCCACCATCCAAATCCCATATCCCGGGCCCTCTGGAGCTTGCCCAACCCCATGCCCAATCCATGGCTTCATCAATTTGCTGCAAAGAAGAAGATTGGTTTCTTGATTGAGAGGTTTATTTATAGGAGAGCAGCTACTGTTGTTGAGGGGGTGGTGCTCATGCGCGTAGATATTCACTGATACCAAATACCCAAACTTACCCTCGAGCTCTCGAGGTCTCGATTCCAGAAAGAAGAAATTCACCCGAACTCACCGTCTTTCCCCACTCCATCCCTAGAAACACCACCACCACATCCCCAGAAATATAAAAACCCTCTCCCCTCCACTTCCCTCTCCTCCTTAAACCATCAAAGCCAACGAAATGCACGTCAACATCGATCGAACAAGCTGATACCCGGCAATACGGAAACTTGTGGGATTCACGACTTAGGCAAGGGAGTAGAGTAGCTAAATCATGCTCGATGTAATCCGGGTTTGGAGTTACGTGTGGAATTCCGAGAGTAAGAGCTGTCTTCGTTTTTGGTTGCTGTTGTTAAGTTCGGGTTTACTGTCGAGTTTGGTTGGCATTTTGGGGGAATGAGAGCCGACTATTGATGATAAATCTCAATTCCCCTGTCCTCGCTATTGTAACGAACATGGGGACAAAAGTCCGTGCGTTCAGGGCATCAGAATCATGAATTTTATTAATTAATTAGCTGTAGACCAGCCACATCGCTTAATTAAG